CCGGACCGGAATTCTGGGGTGGGGGGGTGGCGTTAAGCGTTGCTTATATGAGCTTATTATATTATATATATGCCTTTGGAGGTGCAGAAAGGGGCCAGCTGAGCAAAGGATAAACCCACCTTTCGTTCTCTTTTATTTTGCTTTATTTTTACTTTATTTTTTGCAGAAGCAGCCGTTGTAATGCGGAGCAGGGAAACCCGTCGCCTCCACCCAGTCGCCAGCCTCGGGCAGCGGCTGCAGCCAAGATGAACTCTGCAGGGGAGAGGCAAAGCGAATGTATTTCGTCCCGGTTGCCCGACCCTCCAGCCCATCCGCCCTCCTTTGCAATAGTACTCTAGGATGGGGACCCCCCGCCCCACCCCGGCCGCCGCGCGGAAGAGCCCCTCGCTCCAGCTCGCTCCGAGACGACACCCCACCCCCGAAAGGCACAGAACTCCAGCCCAACTCCTAGGCATCTCCCGGCGTTCAGCCTGGGGGGGGCGCAGGACCTCGGCCCCGGTTCCCGATCTCCTCCTCCTCTGGCATTTTCCAAGAGCCTCTCCAGGTTGGCACCGAAACCAAAACCCACTTGCAGGTTCCGATCCTCGCTCCACCTCCTGCCCTTCTCTTGAAAGCAGCCCAGAGCCGGTTCAGGAGAGAAGAGAAACTCCGGCTCCACGTTTTCATTCCTCCCTCCCCGCCTCCCCCGGTTCCCCTACTTAGGAGCTGTAACCAATACTGATAAGCTAACATCTTCCACCTGGGACACGGCTACTGACAAAACCTGGCCTGGAGTTTGTTAGGGGGTGGGTTTCTTTTTCTTTTTTTTTCCTCCACCCCCCCTCTCCCTTTTGCGTTTCTCCTCCTCGCAGTGAATCTCGAGGCTCTTACCTGCGCACCACCCTTTGGAACTTGCAATCCTTCGGCCAGATTTCATCGGAAATTTGAAATCCCAACAGCACCGGTCCGAGTTCACCTTTCCAGACTTTCTCCGCACGGGAAAGGTGCGGGCGAGGGGGGAGGCCAGCCGGGGAGAAAGGCTCCTGCGAAGCATCCCGCCAGGTCGCCTTGCCTTTCTCCCCCAAACGCCGGACTCTCCGAGCCCGCCTCGTCCTCCTCCTCCGTCTCTTTTTTCTGATCTGATCTATTTTTGCCTTCAAACCTCATGGTGTGTGTGCGTGTGCGTGTGCGTGTTTGTATATATCTGTGATCAGCTTGTAAAAAGAAGCTCCCCGATGTTTTTTGAAACAATGCCGCGTTGCTTTGGTTCGTTTGCTCCTTCGTTTGGCTTTTGTCCCCCGTCCTCCCCTCGCCGCCCCTTCCTCCCTCCCTCCGACCCCATTTGCAGTCCCCATCTGGGGCCGACCCCCATCTCGGCCCTCCTGCCCAGCGCGGAAAAGGCGGCTCAGGCATCCAGGAAGGTCGTCTTGGTTGGCCCTGCAAGGAGAAAAGTAGCTCAGTTCGATTGGGATTCGCCCCCGCCATTCACCAGCAGCGAAACTTGCGGGGCAGCTTGCAGGCTGTGCGGGATTTAAAGGAGAGGGGGAACGAGTTTCGCGGAACACTAGCGAAGTTCGATTGGGGCGGGAGGGAGAGTTTCACACGCCTCTGCCGGCCTGCGCAGGGGTTTCGCCACACTTTCCAAGCAGATTCCCCGCTGGGTTTCACCGACTCCCAAACGCACATTGGCGCTTCTTTGGGATGCGAATATTTCTCTGTTCCTCTGGGTGGTTTCCAGGAACAGGGCACATACAGAGACGGTTGGGCACACTCCTCCCTCCTGGTGCTTTTGCCATGTCAATGCATATCACCTTCCATTGGAGTTTGTGGCAGGAGTGTCCAGAATTTGAGCAGATCCTGGCTCAGCTCAGGCCCAAGGCGTTTCCCTTCAGCGCCTGACCCGGATGGGGAGCTAGGCACTGCACCCTACTCAGAAGGGACCCTGTTGCTGCCTCCCCAAACCTGTTAAATGATTCCAACCCAGAGCTGCCTCGCCTCCTTTTTAGCAGCTGAAGCTTTTCCTGGTGAAGTGGGGAGGGGGGAAAGCTTCCACCATACACCCCCATTTCATCCTAGCTCCTGCTAAAGGGAGTCTGGCATGCCTGTGGCAGTCAGTATGCCTATAGGGGAAGCCGCTCTCTCTGGACCTCACCGTGTGCCACCAGAATCATGGTTTCAGCCACCGCCAAAGGACCAGTAAGCCACCGCTCCACACGCCTGAGGATAAGGGTTAGATCAGAGCCATGGTTTGCAGAGGGCTGTGAAAATTCATGTAGCATAAGATAGTCTCTAGGGAAGCAAAGGTGTCGCTCACCTGAGGTGGCACCATCTTCCTTGGAGATGGCCTCTTGCCTTGGTCCCACCCTGCCAGACGGGCTCAACCAAACATCACAGTCCTCTTCTTTGCAGCTGGGCCTGGTCCAAGGCCTTCCGTCAATGGGCTTGCACACCAACACACATCACCCTTTTGTGCCATCCCATAAGCAGGTTCTCACTGGACCGTGTCCCATGTGCCCTTTGAACAGCACTTTCAACGATGTCCACAGGGCAGCTTCCCACATCTTTGGTCCAGGACTTTGATGAGAGACCAAAAATGTGGACAGCAATGCCTAAAAAAGCAGTGGAAGAAGATGGGAGAGAGGCTTCTAGCGTAAGTTTGAGCACTTACTTCCTTTGCACAGATTATGCCCATCCAACAATCTGGGGGGAAACCCACAGAAGCTGAGCTGTGGTTGGGCCTGCCCAGTTTTTTTCTGTGCATACATGCAAGCGTAGCCAATAGGGCACCTTCCAAATGATGCTAACTGCAACTTCCATCATCCCTGACTGGGGTGGGTGGGAATTGAAAGTCCAGCAACTTACGGAGAGTTCCCACATTAGTTACTCCTGCTCTTGAGGGTGTCCTCTGAACAGAAGGGATCTTAGAGGACTCTTTCTGCTTAGCTATGAAATCAGAACACCCGACTACACAGCTCCAGGGTGGAAAGTCAGCAGGGTGGAAAGTTCAGTATTCTGGTCGCAGTTGCCCATGGAACAGCTGTCATCTCCTCGCTTATTAACAGGACCCAGAAATTAACAGGTACAGAATATGCGCAAGGACCGTGAATGTGTTGCTATGTTTCGAAATTCCATATTGGTGTTGCCCAGTCCAGAAAGAGGAGTACATCTGGGCCCTCTCTGCTCCCATGAAGCTCTCATGTCTACCCATCCAAAGGGATCAGTAACAGCATCCTGTTGGGTTCCTTTGCCCTGTTAAGAGAGACCACGCAGATTCACGCTTGTAACCTGTCTGTTTCATGGTACCCTGCGCTCTCTGCCGTCGCCATTGCTACTCTCCCAGCTTGCCCCGCAAGGTTTGGCTGGCCTGTTTCAGAAGCACACCTTATGAGGGCAGGCTGGGAAAATCCCTGTCCACCCCACCCCATGCCCCGCCACCCCCCACCACACGGCATCGTGACCCCGACGATCTTGGCTGTCTTTGAATAGCATCCTGTACATAATGACTGTAAAATGGCGAATCGTGTGTATTATATATTGCCTCATTCTATAGTGTATATATATGTATACATATACATATATATAATATATATGAAAGACTGTAAATGTTAAAACTAGTGTTCTTATTTAGTATATTGCTTCACACTGAAGATTGTGTGTAACAAGCTGTTTCTAAAAGAAGTTTATTTTCCTTAAGAGTTAAAAAAAGAGAGAGAGAAAAAATCAGGTCATTGCATTCAAAAACATCAATAAAGATTCAATAATTGTTTTGGATGTTTGCAGAGTCCCCTAGTAAACTATTTTTCTGCCACCCCCCATCCATTGAGGGAGTAAGGATAGATTAACCAGTTGCTCTAATCACCCAATTCAGTAGGTGCCCAATAAACTTGAGCCAATCGCCTGCCAATCCAATCAATTCAGGCATCCCTCAGTCCGAGGTAGCGTACTAGGCTCCCCTAGAAAATCCTCACACCTGAGACCTACGATGGCAAGCCATCGATCGGAGGAAAGTGTCTCTTTCCAGGCAGAGGAAGATTTGAAACAGCAGCAGCGTAACAGGTACGAGGACTGCAGTGCAGATTTCAAGGTCAGGATGGGAACAAGAGAGGCAGCCTGTGCGCGGACATGTGAGGGTGTGCGTGAACATAAACAGAAACCCGCCAGAGGAAGAACGATGCTATATGCATGGTCCCCACTGGTACCCGAATAATTGACCGCCAAGGGACCTGACCAGCATCTCTGCTTGGAGGAAGGAGAAGACGCCCATGCAACAGCGATCACATCCACTGTTTTAACTAAGGGATGTGGAACCTGTTGCCTCCTAGTTGTTGGACTACAACCCCCATCGCCCCTGACCTTGGGTTCATGCTGTCTGGGGCTGATGGGAGTCGCAGTCCACAGGAACTGGAAGACCAGAAGCTCCACACCCTTGGTTTAAACACGGAAGGTGCGTTCACACATCTTCGCTACTAAACAACTATACTACCAAAGGAATGTTTGCACAGACTATTAGGTCATTACAGATGATGTATCAAAGTTCCAACCCTTTTATGGGAGTCAATTTGCACAATCTAGTGTGAAGTGGGTGCAAATAGGGGTCTTTATAAGAAAAGGAGGTTTGCCTGTTTGGACGGCACAAAGTTGCTTTGGCCACGCATAGCCTTCCTGGATCAAACAGAAGCTGCATCCAGTCTCGCATCTTCCTTTCAGTCTTGCATTCAGTGGCCAGCCAGACGCTTTCAGGCAAGGCGTCAAAGCAAGACTTCTTCCCCACTGGTGCTCCTGGAGACCTGGGTCTTCACTAGAGCACTGCCTCTCTGAACCTGGAGACTTCATACAAACCACCGTAACGAACCGCCATTGGCAAACTTGTGTTTGGTCCACCCATGGATTTGAACGGGGGCACGTGGGTCTCAAATGGCAGGTGGTCTCTTTCCCACTCCTCTCCGTGACCTGCTGAGCCCCACTCAAGCATACTCTATTCCTTTCCCACTCCTTCAATAAAGTGTCACAGACAAAAGAGGTATAAATAAGTAGGTCTTTTATTTTATCATCTGTACAAAAAAACCTCACGCTATGAAAATAACTTTTAAATGGAAGAGGTGTGTCTGAGCAACGCAGATTGAGGAGGGGTGGGGTGCGCTAATATCTCTCTCACACACAGAAACACCCCCGAAATGCTCCTGCAACAGAAGCCCTGAAGAGGGCACAGTTCATATTCCCACCATGATTAGGCCAGACCTTCCTGCCTCTCCCGTCACACCTGCGCCCCGCAAGAGGAAATTTCTCCATAGCAACAACATCCTTAACCCAGACAGCCTGATGGAACCAACACTGGGGGTGCTTGCTGTTAGGACCAAACATCTATTTGGAGGGATAGAAAATGAAGCAGCCTGCCCCTCTGACCTTTCATCGTTTCCCTTCCCGTACACTCGTGAAACAAAATAAAAAACCCCAGAGAGAATAGTCTGCTTTTTCTTAAATGGGCTGGCCGCCTTTTCTAGCAGGACTCCGGTGCCTTTTAACAGCTGATCGGCAGGCAGAAATTCAACCGATGAAGTGCCCACAGCCAGCAGCTTCAAGAATTAGGGCAGTGACATGTGTTTGCGTGTGAATTCTACTTTGGGGAAAGACTGCCAGAAAAGGAGTGGGTGGAATATACATGTGGCAAAACTTTCTTAGAAATCCATGCGCACACGCCCTGCGGTGTGGTAACAAGACAGTGACCGCATGCTAGCATGGGGGTCCAGAACACCCGAGCCAGAAATCCACAATTCCCAGCCCACCAAAATATAGCCAAATCATTCACAGGGAGCCACTACAAAGGGTGGAGAGACAGAGAACTTTCTTCTGTAACCGAAGCACAAAGTTTCTCCTGGAGACAATTCCACCATGTGAATATCCATGGGGAGGGTTGCCTCGGGCAAACCCATGACCCACCTCCAGAAAAACCCAGAACTGTAGCACTCTGCCACTTGACAGGAGTCCCCATCTGCCCTCAGAGGACGGAGGAGGAGCGAAGCGGGAGGCGTCTGACAGCAGAGACGGCTCTGGAGAAATGGAGCTCACATCTAAGCTGCTCACATCTGGCCAGAGAGATGGAGGGGCACCCTGCAGTGCTGGTGGTTTGCCACCAGGGGTCCCCTTTGCCTTGTCATGGGCTGCTGGCAGGAAGTAGGGGAGACTATCTGGGGAGGTGGAGACAAGAGAGAAGAACAGAGGCCAGCCAATGGGAAACTGGGCAATTGCAAAGCCGCCAGCCCCCCCATAGGGGTGCTACAATGGAAGTGCAATGAACCACCACAAGCCATGTGTGCGTTTGCAAGGGTACGTGTGTGTGTGTCTCAAAATGCAGAACCCGGTTGCAGGAAACGGAACGAAATGCACTTGCGCCCCACCCAGAATGGCTCTAAAAAGCAACCTTTTGAGACCCAGGACATACTTCTGACCCAAGCATGCATTTGGGGACCCAATTCCTAACCTTTCCTCATTTATTTGCACGGTGGCGCTGCTCCTGTTGCAACCCATGCTGGACTCGCTAGCAGCTCCCCGCCTGCCCGTCGAAGAACCAGCGCTGTCAAGGACGTCCGGTTTTTCCAAAGCTGCCTCAATGCAGCCAGCGATAAATCTCCCTTCTCCCCAATTTTGACAGCAGGATAAGCACGCAGCCAGGAGGTGCTTCATCCAGTCACCTTCTCGGAAAACACCACTTGCTTGCTTGCGCTCCCCACCCCCCAAGTCACATAGGTCTGCTCAGCACACACAGCCACAAGGAGGGGGGCTCCCCCCACAGAACTTAGGGGGAGATGAGAGAGTAGCCCTGCAGAGTAATGATTACCTAGAGAGAGAGAAAGAGCGGGGAGAGACGGGCTCCTGCAAGCCACGCCAGATCCTTTGTCTCGCCTGCCAGAGTCCAGGAGAACACACTCGCCATGTGCTTAGAGGGGTCGCCTTCCCCCTCTGCCCTCTTCCTCCTCCCCACAAGTCCTCCTCGGTGGCCCCTCTCTCTAGCTGGAGGTGACAGTGGACCCGCTTCCCAGCCGGATGATCATCTGCTGGCACTCGTGCAATGTCCTTTTGTCCCCCAGCTTCTCCAGGGATCGGGCCACCTCCGCCAACATGCCCATCCTCTGACCAGGACCCAGAAGGAAGGCGGGGGGCAGGTAAGAGCAGGCGAGGAGGAGGGCCTCGGCCTGCTCTCGCGCCGTCGGCTGGCTCTCGTGGTCGCTGGCTGGAAAGGAAAACAATGTCGGAAGCTCAGTGGGATGGGGCACGGAAGCAAGAGGTGGCCCTGCAAGAAAGGACAGGCCACCCCCAGGGCCAGATTTAGGTTTGATGAGGCCCTAAGCTACTGAAGGTAATTGGGCCCTTTCTATGGCCAGGTGTCCTTTGTCAACAACAAATGGTCGCTGTTTCTTGTGCTGAATATATGCTATGTGGTAATTTATGAACCTAATAGGTATCTAAAGCCATTGGCACATAACAAAATATGTATTTTATCAAAGTAATTGTTGAACTGAAATACAATTAGGAACTATATTAACAGTGAAATACAATTAAGAAGTAGTATATTAATAGTGAAATAATTATTAAGCTCTAACTGTATGTAGGTTTTATTTTGTTTTTCATCTTATATTTTGGAAATGTACATCCAGTTTTATTTCCCTTTAAAAAATTTTGGGGCCCCCAAGAGAGTGGGGCCCTAAGCTATAGCTTGTTTATCTTATACATAAATCTGGCACTGGCCATTCCCCCCTCCCCTGATGGCAGCATGGTGCAATGGTTAGAGTGTTGGAGAGAGACCAGGGTTCGAATCCCCCACATTGCCATGAAGCTCACGGGGGGACCTTGGGAGCCAGTCACACCTCTCTCAACCCAACCTACCTTACAGGGAAGTTTTGGGGATTAAATAGGAGGGGAAGAACCATGTACGTCACCTGGGGGCAGGAATGGGGGGGCGGGATGTGAATGCAACGAATGGATTAATAAGGCTGCATCGCTGGCTGGCACCAGGGCCAATCCAGAGACCCACAGCTTATTTTCACTCCCAATGCTGGGCTCTACCCTTTCAACTATCCCTCCCTACAGACCCTCTCAGGTGTTATGATTGGGGTGGGGTGCTGCGGTGGAGACTGGCCCCTTAGGGCAAATGGGGCATGTACTCAGCTAGACCCCACCTCTCTGCCTTCTTACAGGTGGTCCAGAGAGGAGGCAAGCAGGGCCCCAAGGCGGAAGAGGCATTCAGGTGTGAGGAGCAAAACATAGCTCACTTGGCAGAGCATAAGACTCTTAATCTGAGGGTCGTGGGTTTGAGCCCCACATTGGGTGAAAGATTCCTGCATGGCAGGGGGTTGGACTAGATGGCCCTCGGGGTCCCTTCCAACTCTATGATTCTATGAAATCACCCGCTTTCAGAGGAAAGAGCTGTAGCTCAGTTGCAGACCACCTGCCTTGCATGCAGAAGGTTCAATCCCCAAAGATATCTCCAGGTGGGGCTGGGAATCTCCCCAAAGAGTCACTGCCGATCAGTGGAGGCAGTACTGATCTGGATGGACTAGTGGGTCTGATTCGGAGTAAGGTGGCTTATGGTGGTTCATGCATGGACCAAGCCCACACCCCTGTCACTCACCTCCTTTGATGCTCGAGGCAACTCTCCTGCGCAGGCTGCGGTCCAGCAGCTGGTGGGTCCGGGTGGGGCTGGCTCGGGCCATCAGCCGGGCCGTCGCCTCATGGAGGAACACCTGTGGGGGGCAGGCCAGAGTCAGGAACCACCACACTCCCCCCAGCAACACCCACCGATGCCTCCCACCAGAACCGCCACGAAAACCAGCGCTGTGTCGAGAGATCTCTCCCAGGGTCTCTAAAGTTTCTGTCCTCTGCAAAAGAGGCTACAGGTTCCCTGCCTCGTTCTCAGAGCACTTGAGAATTTATTTAGAAATTTGTCAGAATTCTGGTGGCCAAAGGCTTTCAAGCTGACTTCCCCGTGGCAAGGCAGCCAACTCTTAAACACATGTGCTTTTCTTTACAGAAAAGATTTCTCTGGCGCTTTGCAGCCTTCCCAGCTGCCTGCACTTCCTGATCTGGTTTAATTGATGGCTGGGCACCCAGGGAGGCTGCAGAGCACAGACCACCGGCGAGATGAATTGCAGAATGAAAGAAGGGATGCTCACAACAAACACCCCTTGGCCATCAAAAGGAAAACTAATAAACTGAAACTGACACGGGGACAAACAGAAGAAGATGCCTTCACCCCGGTATGGCTCCCCTTTATCACATACACAGCCCAACAAGACAATGACAATAATCTACCAACAGCATACAAATCAATATGGCTAACCTGATCCAAAACACCCACCCACCTCACTCACACACGAAAACAAAGATCACCACAGCCAATCACACCCTAGGCCAACCCCAACCTCTCTCACCACCAAAGGAACACAAGTAACGCTGACACCAAACTCTACATACATTAAGCATAATAGAAACATCGCCACCCGACCCCACCCCCATCCATCTTCCCTCCCTCCACTCCCCCTTTCTTTTTCCTTTCTTTTTTTTTTCTTCTCCCCCTAATGCCTCAACAAATGAAATGGATTTGTAAAAATGTTACATGGAAAAAAAATACGAGGCATTACACTTACTTCTGTAAAACAAGAAAATCCGTAATAAAATATTAGAAAAGCAAAAGGAAGGCAAGGATGACACAGACCCTGCACCTGTGAGGATTTCAGCAAAAATTTGAAACTTAGCACCCTTAACAAACTACAGCCCCCAGGATTCGGGGGGAGGGCTCGACTTTTAACATGGTATATGATGCAGATGTGACCTCAGAGCCTCACAACACGCAGAGGGCTGCAAATTCCACATTGTCAAGCCCTTAACAGCTTGGGACCAGTTTAATTACAAGATCTGCCCACTCGACCAACTGATCAGTGGAAACAGCACTGTTAAAGGTGCCATATAAAACCCATTCCACATTTGTAAGAACTCAATATTTTAGTGTGGCAGCACCTCCACTTTGGAACTCCCTGCCTATTGATAGCAAGCAGGTGCCTTCAAGTGTAATCTCCAATTCCTGCACAGACAAGTCTATTCGGATGCTGAGAAAGCGGATGGGAGTTCTGACCACTTTCTAGTCCATTGCTACGTTAACATTACAAAAGCTTTAAATTATTCTTGATTTCATGGTATTATCTTTCCGGTAAACCCCTTTGAAGGTTTTTTTAAATAAAAAACAACAGCAATCGAGCTGTATATAAATTTGGTACGCAGGCTGAGACCCTACCTGCCTGTGGACTGTCTCACCAGAGTGGTGCATGCTCTAGTTATCTCCCGCTTGGGCTACTGCAATGTGCTCTATGTGGGGCTACCTTTGAAGGTGACCCGGAAACTACAACTAATCCAGAATGCGGCAGCTAGACTGGTGACTGGGAGCGGCCGCCAAGACCACATAACACCAGTCTTGAAAGACCTACATTGGCTCCCAGTACGTTTTCAATTACAATTCAAAGTGCTGGTGCTGACCTTTAAAGCCCTAAACGGCCTTGGCCCAGTAGACCTGAAGGAGCGTCTCCACCCCCATTGTTCTGCACAGACACTGAGGTCCAGCTCCGAGGGCCTTCTGGCAGTTCCCTCACTGTGAGAAGCCAAGTTACAGGGAACCAGGCAGAGGGCCTTCTCAGTAGTGGCACCCGCCCTATGGAACGCCCTCCCACCAGATGTCAAAGAGATAAACAACTACCAGACTTTTAGAAGACATCTGAAGACAGCCCTCTTTAGGGAAACTTTTAATGTTTAACAGACCACTGTATTTTAATACTCTGTTGGAAGCCGCCCAGAGTGGCTGGGGAAACCCAGCCAGATGGGCAGGGTATAAATAATAAATTCTATTCTATTCTATTCTATTCTATTCTATTCTATTCTATTCTAATTCTAATTCTATTCTTCTTATGGGACAAATAAAATAAACAGACTGGAGAAGTCTCTGAGTCGGCGTGAGACAGCTTCATAGGATTACTAAAAACCAGCGCTCTCGGCAGTGACGGCCGCATTGTAGAGCCAATGAGGAGCTTACGGGAGCAGTGAAGCCCAGCGCCGCACTCACCCTGTGCATGGCAGCCTTGTCCGCTTGCGCCAGGCGCCGGAGGCTGCTGAGATCCTGCTGGAAGCCACGGAGCTCAAGGGTGGAGGCTTGGTAGGGAGCGCCATGCGGCTGTCCTGCTTGCATCTGCTGCTGCCAGAGCCTGGTGCGAGTGATGAGCAGGAGGTCACACAAGAGGAACTGCACAGCCTGAGAAAGAGAGAGAACGCAAGACAGTGAGAAGAGACCTCCCGGATCAGGCCAGTGGCCCACCTAGTCCAGCATCCTGGAAGAGCGGATTAAAGAGCTTACCATCTGTTCGATGGAAGCAGAGGTTATATTTTCTGAGAATTCTTGCAGAAAAACAATCTCTTAAAGGACCTTTTGATGGCATTTTACCATTGTACTACTGAGAGTGTATTAACTTATGGTCTGTGTGTGTGGTTTGGGAGCTGCACGGTCAGGGGAAAAACAATGCTGTCCAGGGTTGTAAAGATTGCGGGGAGAATAACTGGGTGCACTCTTCCCACCTTGGATCAAATCTATGCTTCCAGGTGCCATAAGAAAGCTGCAGAGATAGAGCAGGATAGTGCGCACCCCGGAAATGATCTCTTTCAGCTTCTGCCTTCTGGAAGAAGGTACAGGGTTATAAAGACTAGGACTAGCTGCCTGAGAAACAGTTTCTACCCAAATGCGATTTTGGTTTTAAACGCAGTGTAAGGAGTCTCTATGTGAGTATATTGTATTTAAAAATGGGGTATCAGAGTTTTTAGGGGGCTAACCAGGTTGGGATAGCTGGGCTTGTTGGTTTTTGAATGTCTTATGTAGATTTTTCAATTTCGTTGTTCTGTATGGGACAATGACAATAAAGATTATCATATCGTATATGATTTCTACTCCGGTGGAGAGTTTCCCTTCAACAAAGGGCAGGATCATGGCAATGAAAATAATAAGTAGAGTTGGGGCAATAACACAACCCTGTTTCACACCTGTTCCCACTGTGAATGGTTCACTTTGAGAGTCGTAGTTATCTGCAATTGTTGCTGTCATATTATCATGGAGGAGCCGAATGATATTCACAAATTTATCTGGGCAGCCAATTTTCAGAAGGACAGTCCACAGGGCATTGCGATTTACAGTGTCAAAAGCTTTAGTTAAATCAATAAATGCCATATACAGGGGTTGGATTTGCTCTCTGCGTTTTTCTGAAAGCTGTTGAGCAGTGAAAATCATGTCCACTGTCCCCCTAGAAGGCCGAAAACCATTTTGGGATTCAGGAAGGGTCACCTCAGATATTGATAAGAGACGGTTTGCTAAGATCCCTGCAAGAATTTTGCCAGCTGCAGCTAATATGGGCTTTGAAGACACTCAAACTCAGGACGCGAAGGAGAAACGTTCTAAGAGGAAGGCACGCTTGGCAAACTCTCACCATGATCAACTCCCAACTGGAAACCTATGTCCCCACTGTGGAAGGACGTGTGGATCCAGAATTGGCCTCCAGTCACTTACGGACTCATTGTTAAAACCGTGTTTATGGAAGACAATCTGACTCGGCTACGAGTGATTGCCAAAGAAGAAGAGTCACCGAGAGACAGGAAGGGCTGACAGTTGGTGGGTGGAGGGTGTTGGACTGACGCCAGGAGCGAGCCAGCAGTAAATCACACTGTGCAAGTTGGAGGTGATTCTTTATTAGCAAAAACATGACTTGCACAGGAGTGTCAGGCCTAATGAGCAAAGCAACTCATCTCCAGTAGGTCTTGCCCCCATGAAGCAGTTTCTGAGACTGAAGATCTCTGCCTCCCCACAGCTGCCTAAGTCCCTCCTCTCCAGGGTTTTCTCCAAGCAATCTGAGACTGTGCCTGTGTGACCCTAATTTCTCTTCTGCCCTTTTCATGCCCCTTCTGGTTCTGGGAGGCAAGTGGGGAGGGGAGCTTGTCGCATGAAAGGGAGGCACCCATCACTCTTCAGCAGCCTGACTCATCTCTGCCTCTTGCCCTCTTTCCTCTCCTGCTTCAGCTTCTGCCTCTGAGTCTGGACTGCTCTCTGCCACAGACTCTCCCTGCTCACTTAGCCCTGTTGCCTCTTCAGCTTCTGACACCTCCTCTTCCCAGTCTTCTTCCTCTGACCGCTCATTGAAGTCCCACCACCCCTTCCCGAGCTCTGAGCCTTCTTCCCTCGGGGGTTCCCCAGTTGGTTCCTCCCACCATTCCTCTGTGTCCAACCCCTCTGTGACAACCCAAGGTCTTCCCCGATCAACCTCCCGCTCCTGCCTCTTCTCGCAAGCCCTAGGCTGCTGCCAAGACCCTCCGCTGGGAGAAGCGGCCTCAGGGCTGCACTGGAGGGGCATTGCACACTTTGGCTGCACATGCAATGCAACTACAATGCACCCCCGACACCACCACAATGCCCCCCCCCCCGCCTCTGCACAGCCTCCCGGTTTCCGCAGCCGCCAGAGGTGGGGAAAGGTTGTCCTCAGAAACAACGAGACCAGGATGTTTGGAGAGAGAGAGAGAGAGAGGTGGGGAACTTCAGGACCAGGGGCCAAATGTGGCCCTTTGAACCTTGCACTCCAGCCCTTGGACCCTCCACAGACCACATGCCCCTGTCGAGACCCACAGAAACCCTCATTGAGCCTGCTCTGCGTCCTCCCTCCCTGAGGACTTCTGTCCGGGCTGTACTAACGGCTCCTTGATTGCTGGGATGGAGAGAGATGAGCAAGTAGAATTTTGTGTGTGGCTGGAATGCAGTCTATGGGTACAAAGGTACTGTATTTTTCCATGCATAACATGCCCCCTTGTATAAGACGCCCTCATGTTTTTGAGGACTCCAAATTGAGAAAATGGGGGGAGATTGCCCAGAGATGTTGAGCTTTTTCGGGGGGAGATTGCCAATAGTTTTTGAGCTTTTTTTAGGGAGGATTGCCCACAGTTGCTGAGTTTATTTTTGGAGGGGAGTGCCCAGACTTGTAGAGCTTTTTTTGGAGTGGGGGTTGCCGAAAACCACTCAGCCACAGGATCGCCACAGCCACGCACATCAACGAACCCCCAATCGTCTGCACGCTCGCCGGAGGACATCACCAATAGCCAGCAGACCTTGCCACACCAACCAACCATCCACAAAAACAGCACTGACAATCTCCAGCTCGTGGCAGCCGCCAATCTCCTGTCCCACCTCTCCACTATCCTAGTATAAGACGCCCCTGATTTTTCTGCAAAATTTCTTAATAAAATAAGCTCATCTTATACACGGAAAACTAGTGTATGCTGCATCTGCTGCTCTGCCCCCTTTTGCCTCTGGCCCCCAACTGCCTCAGCATGCGGCCCCCGGAAGGTTCAACACAAGGGAATGGGCCCTTGTGCTGAGAAAGTCCCTTCACCCCACAGATGCAAAAAACCCAAGATAGACAACTGCTCATGGCCCAGACCATCCACACCGCCCCCCTTAAGACTCATTGTCTTCCAAGCAGAACCCATTCCCCACTTAGCACCTCTCCTGATTCTAAACCCCACCCAGAGGGCAGGAGCTAAAGGGTTGCTGGACCACCTCCATCACCCAGGTACCTCAGCCACTGCCTTCTCTTTTTTTGCAAAGGTGTTCATTTGTTCAAAATGAACAAAATCTGCTTTTCAGACACACAAAGGCTCCCAGGGCAGCTTGCAAACGTCAGTGACCAGAAGAGAGTCCCTGCCCTCCAGGCTTACACTCAAAAAGACACAGCACTAAAGGAAAGGTAACTGCGAGGGAGGAGGAAAAGAAAAAAAATAAAACTCAAGTACTCTTTCTTAGTTACAGAATTTTTGGAATTGAAGGACAAGGAGGAAGGGAGCCCAAGAAGTGGGTTGAATCTGAAGAAAGGAAGGTGTCCAGACAATTGGGGGAGGGAAAGACATTGTTCCTCTTCAGCCACAAGATGTCAGGGGCTGAGCAGAGGAGGAGGAGTGGTGGAGACCACCTGCCCATCCTGACCCTTCCAGGGAGGAGGAAGAGGAAGACAGTATAGATTCACAACAGCAGTTTGAGGGAGGTTGCAGCTCAGAGGCAGATGAGGGGGTAAAGCTGGGAAATCACGGGAGAGGCAGAGCAACATCGGGCTAACACGTTGTCATTAGAAAGCATCCCAGAGCCTCCGTCTCCCAGAACCCGGCGAGCCTTGAAAGTGGGAGAGCAAAGAGCTCAAAGACAGAGGGCACGTGGCAGCTCCCACAGAGGAGGTGATGAGAATGAAGAATGAGGAAGTGGGAGAGACAGAGGGTGGAGATTCACTTGGGACAACAACATTATCCAAGAGGCTGGGTTCTATAGCCTCTCTCTGTAAAGACTGAAATAAAAAAGGACTGTAAGAAACTTTTCCTTGTCTTTATATTTTCCTGGGCAACCAGCCGGGAGACACTGACACAACTTGAGGCTCCATTCAGAGCACTTTAGCTCCAGGACGAATCCAAAGCTCCAGGCCAGGAACCCCCAAACTCAGCCCTCCAGATGTTTTGGGACTACAACTCCCATCATCCCTAGCTAACAGGACCAGTGGTCCGGGATGATGGGAATTGTAGTCGCAAAACATCTGGAGGGCCGAGTTTGGGGGTGCCTGCTCCAGGCAAACTAAACTACACCCCCTAGCCTTGCGCCGTTACCCCCCCCCCCGTACAGCTACAGGCTGCGCCTCCAGGGGGCAAGTAAGTACAAATTAGCTCCGCCCACCCCTTTAAGCACCACCTCGGCCTCCCGCTTGGCCCCGCCCCGGCTCCAGGCTCCGCCCCCACCGCAACTCACTCTGTCGATGGCACTGGGGGGCGTGTTCCCTGCCAAGCTGTCTCGCAAGTAGTCACCGGCTCTGTCGCACTGGCCCAGGCTGCAGTCAAGTTTGCCCATCAGCACCCGCGCAGCCTTGAAGGTATGCAGTGCCGCGCGAGGAAGAGGATTCCTGCAGCGAAGAAAGGAGAAGCAGGATGAATTGCCAACCCATCATTTCAGGGGAGGTGGGAAACCGCCCGCCCCCATAATCAGCAAAGTTCTGTGTGGGCTGAAGAGCTCTGGGAAAGCTGCAAGGTCTGCCTTTGGCCACAGAATCCAGTTTCCTTTAAATAAATTTTTAAAAGCTCAGGGTTTGTTTGCTTAAATTCAAGTTCCTAGCCCCTATGACTGTGGAACAATGCATCCTGAAAATGACCGAAATGAGAGAAGTTAGCTAAGCAAGCTCCAAGACGGAGCTTAAGAACGTCACAGCAGCAACCAGTACTCAGAGGTAGACTTCCCCTGAACTTGGAGGTTCTCTATAGCCAACGGAGGCCTCACAGAGGGTTGCAAAACCCAGCTTTGCACAATTTTTATTCTTCTTCGTTTGTTTTAGGAGGAGATGACACTCAGCCCCCTGCCGATGTCGCTGAGCAGCCTGGCTGCCATCACACTCCTTACAAGCTCCTTGCAGGATTTTGCTGTCTTTGGCCAGTCTGGCATAGTGGTTAGGGTGTCAGGCTGGGGACTGGGAGACCAGGGTTCAAATCCCCACTTGGCCACAGTTTAAGAAGGATGTTGACAAGCTGGAACGTGTGCAGAGGAGGGCAACCAAGATGACCAAGGGTCTGGTTGAGGGAGTTGGGTATGTTTAGCCTGGAAAAGAGGAGACTTAGAGGAAATATGATAGCCATCTTAAAATATCTAAAGGGCTGTCACATGGAATAGGGAGCAAGCTTGTTTTCTTCTGCTCCAGAGGATAGGGCCTGAACTAATGGATTCAAGTTCCAAGAAAGGAGATTCCGACTAAACATCAGGAAGAACTTTCTGACAGTAAGACCTGTTTCCCTTGGGAGATTGTGGACTCTCCTTCCTTGAAGGTTTTAAAGCAGAGGTTGGACAGCCGTCTGTCATGGATGCTTTAGTCGAGATTCCTGCATTGCAGCGGGTTGGACTAGATGCCCCTCAGGGGTCCCTTGCAACTCTCTCTATGATTGTTTGATGTTGACCTGGTCTCCCTCTCTCTCTCATAGGGGAGCTACCTCACAGGGGTTGTTGTTAGGACAAAATGGGGACAGGAAGACCTCGGAGCCACCCTAAGCTCCATGGAGAAAAAGGTAGGATATAAACAACAACACGTTAATATTTTTCCCCACCCCACTTACTCAGAGGCCTGGAGGGCCCTTGGCATCGATTCCACCAGCGGGTACAGGCGCTCCACAGCCTCGTCATCCCCTTGCAGCCCGTGGATCGCCATGGCAACCACAGATGCCCACCAGTGGGCAATGGGATCGGTGCCTAGAGGAGGGAGAGGGACATGGCGTCAGGCGGATCCTGCCAGAAACACTGAACCTCTTATGGCAAGGTGGGTGTTGCGGGCTCAGAGGGCCAGATCCTTAGCTTTCCCCTTGGACCGGAGGGGCGGAGATACCCAGCTGCCAGTCACCTGACAACTCCATCTCATCTCGCTTTACTAGCCGACGGAGCCGGCGTACAGCTTCTGGTTCATGTGGCCAGCATGACTAAGCCGCTTCTGGCGAACCAGAGCAGTGCACGGAAACGCCGTTTACCTTCCCACCGGAGCGGTACCTATTTATCTACTTGCATTTTCACATGCTTTCGAACTGCTAGGCTGGCAGGAGCAGGGACTGAGCAACAGGAGCTCACCCCATCGCGGGGATTCGACCCACCGACTTTCTGATCGGCAAGTCCTAGGCTCTGTGGTTTAACCCACAGCGCCACCCGCGTGCCCTAGGAAATCAGAAAATGTTCTGATGCAAATCGCCCGCTGCAAAATGCCCTGATTTGCACAGAAAGACCATATCCCTATCAGCAGCAAAAGTGTCCTCTAGCCTCTATTTAACTGCACAAACCTCTGGCTTCCTTCTCCTCCCTGTCCCACAAGTCTCCAGTTCCCTTCCAGACCCATCCCGCCTAAGGAAACTCTTGGCTTGTTGCTCCCCACCTGTGGCAGCATCCAGACTGGTGCTGAGGGACGGCGTTGGGCTGGGAACGGCATCTGCACAGCTGTTGAGGAAATGCAGGTACTCCAGAGCGTCGGAAAACTCTCTGCAGCCAAACAGAGGAAACCAGGATGAATTTTGGTATGAACGCTGGTGCCAGAGCTCCCGTTTCCAGCAATTTAACCTGGTTTGGGCTTCTAGTTGGGGAGGGGGCAGCCAAAAGGAAGTCCCCTCCCCAGTACCCCAAGCCAGGGCTTCCAAGGGCCCAAAGCGAGACACAAAACAATTAATGCGATTGAATGACTTTTTTTAAAAAAAACCAAAACATTAAATTGAAAGCTTGCCCAACCACCAAAGATCAGGACCAGACCCACTCCAAGGCCCCATCTCAATCCAGTTTGGACCTTACACCAGACAAGTGTCTCCCATTTCCTCCAGAAACCCATTCACAAAAGTCCTGGCTATGTGAATGGTGTGTCCAGTAGAATTCAGCCCTAAATATTCCTTTAGAGTCTGGGGCCTGCATAACTTAGGAAGAAGGTGGGATCTTTCCTTGCACATTTTGCCTGCAAGAAGCTTTTGCATCACGATGCAACGTTATTCCAGGGGCAGAAGAAAACTAAGTTCCCGTTGACATTTTTTGCAAATACCAATTCCATTTTAAATCAGCAGCACCATCCATTTCTGGGGTTTCCCCAATCAACAACAAACCCTTCCAACACCGTGTTGCAAAATTGAACTCCCCAGATATTCTCTATCAAGGTCTCTTCCACCCACACATCTGCAAGCACCCACAGCCCCCTTCTCCAAGGGGGAGGAAATAAACCAAGGTCACCTTGGGAAACCAGCTGCAAATGGCAGGAAGCAGGCAGGATCCCACTAGACCTCTGCTTAGTGGAAGATAAGGCTCTACAAGCCACAAGAACTATGTTCTCCCTCCCCTGTTGGAGGCAGTATGCTGGGAATCACAGCTGGGAAGAGGACTGTTGCAGACCTCACCTATCGTTTCTCGGTGGGGATTATAAAACCTGTCGGCATGCCCTACGACCCAGCGGGAAATTATGGGTGCAGCTGCCCTTAGGAAAGGGCAGGAAAGGTTCTCGGTTCAATGTCTGGCATCTCTGGGATTGGGCTGGGAAAAGACCGAAACCCTTCAAAGCTGCTCCAGTCAGTGCTGGCAAATACAGTGGTACCTCGCAAGACGAATGCCTCGCAAGCCGAAAAACGCGCAAGACGAAAGAGTTTTCCGTTTTTTGAGTCATTCCGCAAGACGAATTTCCCTATGGGCTTGCTTCGCAAGACGAAACGTCTTGCGAGTTCTTGCGAGTTTGTTTCCTTTTTCTTAAAGCCGCTAAGCCGTTAATAGCCGCTAAGCCGTTAATAGCCGCTAAGCCGCTAATAGCCGTGCTTCGCAAGACGAACAAACTGCAAGACGAAGAGACTCGCGGAACGGATTAATTTCGTCTTGCGAGGCACCACTGTACTGGGTGGTCTGGTAGTCCAATTCAGAAGAAGGCAGCTCCCTGCGTTCCAAGGGGATAGGAAGGGATAAACTGGGAGCAAGTGAGGTGGGTGGGAATCCCCTCTCCAGGGCAGTTTGAAGGGGGATTCGGCCAAATCTGCAACAAGGAGAATCAGTACGGACAGCCTCGGTCCAGTATACCTGAAGGAGCGTCTCTACCTCCATCGTTCAGCCCAGACATTGAGGTCCAGCGCCGAGGGCCTTCTGGCGGTTCCCTCGCTATGAGAAGCCAAGTTACAGGGAACCAGGCAGAGGGCCTTCTCGGTGGTGGCACCCACCCTGTGGAACACCCTCCCACCAGATGTCAAAGAGAAAAATAACTACCAAACTTTTAGAAGACATCTGAAGGCAGCCCTGTTTAGGAAAGCTTTTAATGTTTAATAGGTTATTGTATTTTAGCGTTCTGTTGGAAGCTTCCCAGAGTGGCTGGGGAAACCCACCCAGATGGGCGGGGTATAAATAATAAATTATTATTATTATTATTATTATTAAACACAGCATTTGAATGTTCTCACTCAGCATCTATAAATATGGCGGGTACCAGAACTGGCTGGAGCCAAGGCGGGAGAGAGCAACATGTACAGGCGCTTCAAGACCCGAAATCCGGTCCTCTCTTACCCCTCGTCGTGGCTGGCAGGCGCCTCACTCTCCAGCCTAGAGACACAGGAAAGGGCTTTCTCCAACAAATGCTCACGGAACAGCTGGGTCACTTGAGCCAGGGGGTCCGCTGCAAAGGGGAGAGAGAGAGGGAAAGAACATCCTTTTCTGATGGGGTCGACAGCCTTCTTCTGCCTCAGCTGCAACAAAACATGTCTCTCCCATATTGGTCTCTACAGCCGCAGCAGGCGCTGTGACTCTCCAACAGATTGACTTCATTCACAAAGGTGAACTCCTCCACCGTCTCCCGAGACAGAGGGATGCCAGCCAACCACCTGACAGCACACCACGAAATACCCTCTTGGTCCAATGGGGGAAATGAATAGATTGGAGGACAACCCTTTCCCATGAAGCCCTTGGCCAACATGGCGCCCTCTGGAAGTTGTTGGACTACAATTCCCATCAGGGCCAGGCAACACAGCCAATGGTTAAGGGCTGACGGAGTTGGGGAGTCCATCTGGAAGGAACTGGAGACAGATTGTGAAGCAGGCGGATTACTATCGATCAGAACTACAATTCTGGCTAAACAATCAATCCATCTTCCTTATAGGGAATTCTGGGAGTTGTAACTCTGCAAGAGGCATAGGGGCCTCCTAACAACACTCAGCACCCTTAAGAAACTACGATTCCCAGGATTCTTTGCAGGAAACCTTGGCTGATTAAATGGCACTGCTTCAAATTTATACTGCAGGTGGGTCATTGGGCACAGCTGAGATTCCTGCATTGCAGGGGTTGGAGTAGATGGCCTTCAAAGTCCTTTATGATTCCATGATTCCTGTCTATCAGGGGCCGCTGCCCATTTGATCCTCACAACAACCTTGTGAGGAAGGTTAGGCTGAGAGAAAGTCGCCCGTGAGCTTCTCAGCAAAGCAGGGATTTGAACCCAGGTTTCCCTGCTGCTCCCCAAGTCCAGGGCTCCACCCTCTCGCATCACACCAGCCGACTTCTCAATACCTGGATTACTGGTGGAACTGTAGATGCTCTCCCGAGGGCAGCTCTTCACGGCCCAGTCTCCGTCCACGAAGAAACGGTGACCCACAGGATGGCAGAGCCACTGGAGGGCAGGCGGGACAGTCCCACTGTGGGACAGCAACACCTGCCGGGCGCTGCTGAGGAAGAAGCGCTGCGCCACAAAAGGGAAAGGAAAGCCAATCAGGGAAGCCCTGGGGGTGACCCCAGCATTCTGTGCTTACCACTTGCAAGGTGGCCAGTGGCTACTTGCAAGCCTTGGTTTTTTTAAAAAAATATTCCCCCATAAAATTTATATGCCACTTGACTGTAAAAAAACCCAACAACCCTCAAAGTGGTTTGCGAAAAGAACAAAACAATAACATATTTTGAATATTTGCTGTACGCTGCTTTGGGCACAGCTGGTTGTGGAAATGTGGCATCCAAGTAAATGCGATCAATCAATATTTTGAGGCCCTTCTTCATGCGCCTCCTCCATGAGAGGTCCAGAAGGTGGCAACATGAGAACAGGGCCTTTTCTGCAGGGGCTCCCCGTTTGTGGAATGCTCTCCCTAGGGAGGTTCGCCTGGCGCCTTCACTACATATTTTTAGTAGCCAGGCGAAAACGTTCCTCTTCAACCAGGCCTCTGGCTGACTAATATTCTACAGCCTTTTAAATGTGTCTGTTGTTTCGATTTTTATTATTTGCTTGTGTTTTTATCTTGTATTTTATTCTGCGGACTGCCCTGATATCTTGCGATGAAGGACTGTATATAAATATAATATAATAATAATAATAATAATAATAATAATAATAATAATAACAGGGCTTTTTTCAGCTGGAACTTCCTTGAACTCAATTCTGGCCCCTCTCAGGTTAGCGCCATTGCCATTCAAAGAGAATGTGATAACAACAACAACAACAACCACAACGATTTGGCCCTCCAGGTGCTTCTGGACTGCAATTCCCCTCACCCTCAGAAAGCAGGGTCAATGGGCAGCCATGATGGGAGTTGTGGTTTGGCGACATCTGCAGAGCCCAAAGTTCCCTACACCCAATGGCGAGCTTAGCCCAAATGGAAGAGCTGAGGTAATATCCTGCACCCCACATCACACGGCCTTACCGCCAGGAAGTGACAACAGCGATGGAGGCTGGTCTTCACACGCAGCGCCGCTGCCACGTAGACCTCAGCCAGCGTCGCCACGGAGATGGTGTTGCCTGCGCACTCGGCCAGGTTCACGGCACTCAGCGCCATATTGATTGCTGAGAGGTGACCGGCCACGTGCTTCCCTGTGGGAAGAGGAGGTGGGGAAACCCTTAGTCAAAGATATCATAGTTTACCAGGGGTAGGCAACCTAAGGCCCAGTCGCCTTTTCAATCTGGCCTGCAGACAGTCCGGGAACCAGCATGTTTTTACATGAGTAGAATGTGTCCTTTTATTTAAAATGCATCTCTGGGTTATTGGTGGGGCATAGGAAGTCATTCATTCCCCCCCCCAATATAGTCCAGCCCACCACATGGTCTGAGGGACGGTGGACCGGCCCACAGCTGAAAAAGGTTGCTGACCCCTGGTTTAAACCAAGCATGGCCAGACTTGGCCCTCCAGCTATTTGGGGACTTCAACTCCCATCATCCTTAGCTAACAGGACCAGTGGTCTGGGATGATGGGAACGGTTTGGCCATGCCTGGAACTTTAAACCAAGGAGCCGTGGACCCAAAAAGGTTGAAGACCTCTGCTCAAAGCCTACCTGTCATGTGCAGCTGATGCAGTTTGTGGTACACCAGGGCCGCGTCGCAGGCGCTTTTCTGCACGTCAGCCTTGAGCTCCCGGTCGCGGAAGAAGCCGCCAGCCCTTCCCGCTAGCCAACGCCCCACCCAGAGCCGCTGAAGGACGTGGCGGATCAAGTTCCATAAAAGGCTGCAGGTCAGGTCGAGGTTGGAGGTCGGGAGTGGGCGGCCGAGGGCTTTCAACGCCGTCCATAAGTTCTGGGAGGCCTGAGCAAAATCTCCCTGAAGAGGAAATGAGGGAGAGAATGGACAAGCCTTGTAAAGGATGGAGCACAAAGAGGCTATAAGGACGTGGAGGAGGAGATGCTTTGCATCTAGAAGGCCCCAGGGTGAGCAACTTGGTGTGCTGCCTGAGACAGGGTCTTCTTAGCAGTGGCTCCCAGTTTATGGACTGCCCTTCCCTGTTGAGGTGTGCCTGTCTCTCTTATCAACAACTTTGGACCAATTCACCTCTGAAATGGACTGATCTTCGTATGAACCTGCCCTGCCTCTGAACTTGGGACTTGAAGGTTTTGCTTATCTTTGCTAAGTGTCTGCACATCTTTGCTAAGAAGCAGATGTGTCACATAGGATTAGTTTTGAGGATCTGATCGAGGACTTTGCAATTAGAAAAAGTAGGAGATAAATAAAGTGGAAGTATACAAAAACAAACATGATTTTCCATCTTACTGTAGGTTTCATTTCATTTCAAAAAACACAATTTTATTTTACTGTTTATTAGTGTTTATATTTTGAATTAGGTAAAATATTTTGGTGCCCCCATGTATATAAGTGCTTAGGGTCTCTAAAGGTCTTAATCCAGCCCTGAGCCTAACCCAGACTTGGTCAGCCTTAGCTACAACCCATCATGGCAGCAACAACATTGCCGCAATCCGCCTGGTATAGCCTCGCGACCCACCACTTCAAGACCTATGACCTAAAGCAGGGTTTCCCGAACCTAGGCTCCAACTCCCATCATCCTTAGCAAGCAGGACCCGTGGTCTGGGATGATGGGAATTGTAGTCCAACCACAGCAGGAGACCCAAGTTTGGGAAACCTGTGACCTAAGGAAACTAAGCTGAACAAGAGCCAACAGCAAGTCTGGCCAATGCCCCAGATTACGTGAACCTGTGTCCCCAGTGCCACAACCCTACCACAACCAACACTTCTTTACAGAATGGGCCTCCCATGGAAGTTCCGTCACAGGACCTTTGCTAGACAAGACAACGCAGGAAGCTAAAAACCATGAAAATCGCTGAAAATCACAGATGCACACACTCACCCGTGCCAAGTCGAGGTCTGCCTGCTTGCGGTGCCTCCAGAAAAGGATGGAAGCCTCTGAATGAGGGCGTGTGACGGGCTCACCGTAAATGAAGAGCCGGACAAAGGTTCCCAAAACAACCAGCATGTTGATCAGCCAGAAGACCAAAGTGGGGAGAAGCCACTGGAACCAGGCGATAGGGGTGTCTGTGGATGAAGACACGAGGCACTGCGGTTTAAGAATCCGTCTCTCTTCCTCACAACAGAGAACTCTAGGAATTGTAGCTCTGTGAGGGGAATAGGGGCTCCCTAACAACTCTCAGCACCTTCAACAAACTACAGCTCCCAAAATTCCTTGGGCGGAGCCATAGCTGTTTGAAGTGGTATCGCAGCGCTCCAAGCATTTCCTGTGAATGTGGCCAAACACACACACTAAAGTTCATACTCTCCAACGCTTCTCCGGAGAAAATAGAGGCGTCCCCTCCAACATTTCTCCCATGAAAATAGGGACATCCTAAGGAAAAGTGGGACATTCTGGGATCAAATCAGAAACCGGGACGGCTTCTGTAAAGCCAAAGACTGTTCCTGGAAAATAGGGACACTTGGTCTCCACATCCACGCATCAAACAGAGAGCGCTTGCTCCAACAGGGCTGATTTGGAAGCCTAAATATGGCGCTGTAGGGGAAAGGAGACTGCAGGATGTATAGAGAAGCCCCACAGGCCTGCGGGTTCTCACCCCCGGCGAAGACCCTGCCGCACACTCACCTGCGACCTCGTTCTGGCTCTTAATGGTGCGCCCGGAGTGGCTGGAGCCATCAATATCCGAAGGGCTGGCCGAGTGAGATCCCGCCAAGAGGGAGGAGAGGGGGTTGAAGGAGAGGCAGAGGAAGACGAAGGCGCACAGGGCCATGCGCGAGCGATCCAGCATCCCCAGGCTGCCTGGCGAGAGCGCCTGATGCTCTTGCTTCACCTGAAACAGCCACAGACAACAGCAGATGAGTTTGGGGGCAGCGTGGAGGGAGGACCAAGTTGCCCCCTTCTCAGCCAGGGGGATTCCAGCTGCTTTTAGAGCTAGATATTTTTGGAGTGTATATGATAAATATTTTGAAATTTTGATACACAAACAATTGTCAGATAGAGAAGCTATCTCTTTTTTTATTTTAATCATTTCCCTCCCCCTTAGAATCATAAAAGGAAGGAACCCTGAGGATCACGTAGTCCAACACATTGCAATGCAGGAATATGCAGCTGTCCCATACAGTGATCAAACCTGCAACCAATTCTTCATTTTGTTCTCTTTATGGAAAGAGGCAGTGAATGAAAGAGGGGCATGAACACAGAAAATGATGGAGGGGCTCCCCCCTCGGGTTTCCAGGAACAGCGATAGTTCCTGTGCAAAGACCCTAATGCAACATTTTGCAACCCTAGTGCAAATATTTTGCAAAAATCAAGGTACTCGGAAGTGGGAAAAGCCCTGGAACAGCTGCTACCAATCAGAGGAAGCAATATTGGCTTAGATCAAGGGCATGCAGCTGATTCACAGAACTCATATCGAGATGGACTTATGGTATTTTGCATGGTTCCACTGAGGTGAAGCCCCAGCCCCCTGGTCTCTTCCCAGGCATTCCCCCTTCCACCACCTCCTGCTCCCATTCGGGGTCACACCTTGGTCTCCTCGTAGAAGGGGCTGTCCGGCTCAGAGTCGCTCCCACTGGTGCTGCTGAGCGAGAGGGGGCTGCCGCTGCCGCGCAACGGGGAGCCTGCGTCCGACGGGGGTGGCGTCAGGGTGTCCACTAGCTTGATCCCTTCCTTCGAGTCCTGGGTGTTGCCACCACATGTGGCTACCAGGTCCTTCAGGGACTCTGCAGAAGCAGGACAGGCGGAAAGAGCAAAAGGAGAATCCATGGTCACCACAGAGAGAAATGTGCTTCACCCAAAAGCAAGTTCAGCTCCAAGGGCCTTCTGGCGGTTCCCTCACTGCGAGAAGTGAGGTTACAGGGAACCAGGCACAGGGCCTTCTCAGTAGTGGCATCCACCCTGTGGAATGCCCTGCCACCAGATGTCAAGGAAATAAACAACTATCTGACTTTTAGAGGACATCTGAAGGCAGCCTTGTTTAGGAAAGTTTTTGATGTTTTATTGTGTTTTTATGTTTTGCTGGAAGCCGCCCAGAGTAGCTGGGGCAATCTAGTTATATGATAATAATAATAATATTGTTATTATTAAGTTCTGCTTCCACCTAAGAAACATCAATGATTCGGAAAGGGGCAGCTGTTTGCGTTTCCCCCCAGGGCAACCACGCTTTTGCTCCTTGCAACAGTCACAGAATCATGGAATTGCAGCGCTGGGTGGGATCCCCAAAGGTCATCCATTCCAACCCCCTGCAATGCACAAATCACAGCAAAGAACCCCTGGCAGATGGCCACCCAACCTCTGTTTAAAAACCACCAATGAATGAGAGACCACCACCTGGGATCCTTGTATTGATAGGATCCAGCACGTGTTCTGGGGGTCCCTCGCAATTTTTTCCTTCCCTCCCCTCCAAAAGTCCAAACTTTTGCAGTTTCCAATCTGCAAAAGGGGCCAAAGGCTGCGAAACTCACTGTTGTTCTGGCTCGCCATTTTGAGGGCCATGTTCTCAGCCTTCAGCTTCTGGTTGGCCTGCTTCAGGAAGCGGATGTGGTCGATTGCTTTGCGCAAAATGGCCGACTTGTTCAGCTGCCAACGGACAGGAAAGGTTGGCACGGTTAGAGGGTGAGCGGAGGGAAATGACGGGCTCGGAGGGGTTCCTCTTTGACCTGTCCTCTTCCCGGGAGGGAGGTTCTCCTGCGCAAGCCCTGTCGAGGCCAACAAGCGGGAGAATCTCCGAGCCACAAACTCTTTCCTGGGGCAACGCCAGAGAACCGCTTGCCACAGCGGCCAGAGCTATAGAGGAGGAATCGTTCCCTTTGGTAGCCAAAGCCTCAGAGACAGCTGCCCAAAATGGCAGCGGAATCATCCGAGCGAAGGAGGACCAGGCTGAGTGGGCAGAAACAGCCAGTTGGATTGAGAATCCCACAATTTCCTAGACAAGAGACCCTGCCACATTTGGAAGGAGGCATTATGTGGCCAAGGAGGTTAGCCAGGCTCTCCCCTGGTGTGGCATCAAATAGCAGATGCAGGAAAAGTTGGCTGCTGCAAACATTTTCATCAGTGCCGGATTTATGTATAAGCTAAACGAGCCATAGCTTAGGGCCCCACTCTCTTGGGGGCCCCAAAAAAATTAAAGGGGGAAAAAATGGATGTACATTTCCAAAATGTAAGATAAAAAACAAATAAAATAAAACCTACGTACAGCAACAGTGTTTTGTGTTGTGTAGGTTCCTATGATGTAAGTAATGGGCCCTGCCTGCTAGCCTGTTCCCTAAAATATCACTGGTTTTGCTCATTTCTATATATAGGGTGCCTACATTCTGCATGTGCAGATGGCTTTATATACCTATTAGGTCCATAAATTACCACAGGGCAAATATTCAACACAAAAAACAAACAATTTGTTGTTGACAAAGGACAGCTGGACATAGAAAGGGCCCCATTACCTTCAGTAGCTTAGGGCCTCATCAAACCTACTGTAAATCCAGCCCTGATGCCACCCAATATGGCTGAACCTCCCCAATTAAGCTCCAGAACCAACAGACAGCAAAACCTAGCGGTAAAGGACCCCTGACAGTTAAGTCCAGTCAAAGGCGACTATGGGGTTGCGGTGCTCATCTCACTTTTCAGGCTGAGGGAACTGGTGTTTGTTCACAGACAGCTTTCCGGGTCATGTGGCCAGCATGACTAAACCGCTTCTGGCGCAATGGAACAACGTAACGGAAACCAGAGGGCACAGAAACGCCGTTTACCTTCCCGCCAGAGCGGTACCTATTTATCTACTTGCACTTTGTGCTTTTGAACTGCTAGGTGGGCAGGAGCTGGGACAGAGCAACGGGAGCTCACCCCATCACAGGGATTCAAACCGCCAACCTTCTAATCGGCAGGCCCAAGAGGCTCAGTGGTTTAGACCACAGCGCCACCCGCTCCCCTATTGGAGACAGGAGACCATAGCTCAGTGGCAAAACACATGCTTAGCATCCAGAAGGTCCCAGGTTCAATCCCCCAGCATCTCCAAGAAGGGCTGGGAAAGAAACTCTGGGGAGTCACTGCCGGTCAGAGCAGACAATACTGAACTAGATGGACTGTATGGACTGACTCAATATATGGCCATTTGTTTATTTATTTCCTATAGTTAATATACCACTTGATTGCAGAAAACCTCAAAGCGATTTATAAAGATACGATGCCAAAAAATTACCGCTAAAAAATGACCACCAAATTTTAAAACATACAGAAGGTTAAAACTGCAATAGCATAGAGTACACGAAAACAATTTAGATCTCCTACAAACTTTCTAGACATCTGGGTAGGCTTGTCTAAATAAGAATGTCCTCAACAGGCGACAAAAATAATACAGGGAAGTTGCCTGCCTGATATCAACAGGCAGAGAGTTCCAAAGTGTCGGTGTCGGCACATTAAAACGAGTAAGTTCTTACAGGTGCGGTTACAGGTATTATGGGCACCTGTGAAAGTGCCAATGGAAGAACCATAACCAAATTCAGAAAGAGGGGGTTAAGGCAGCTTCACAAAGCCTAAAACTAACCCCCCACTAGCAAAGGTAAAGGCTAACAATACTAATATTTATATTTCAAAGAGATTAAAACAAAACCTTTCAAAGATGTTAAAACCACTTGCTAAAAGAAGGCTTGTTTAACCAAGCTCACCCAGCTAAGTACGATGATGGCATGCGTTTTAATTTGTCTTTAGCTCATCATCAAATTTTTTTTAATGTTGTAAATAGCCGTTTCTTAACTTCATAACTTTTGCAACCCACTTGGAGATTTATTATTTTTCTTACAGTCAAGCGGTATAGGTTGTGAACTACCTTGTGATCTTTGGATGAAGGGTTGTATACAAATCTAATAATAAATAATAATAACAACAACAACAACAACAACAACAACAACAACAACAATAATAATAATAATAATAATATATTTTATGAAATAAATAGAAAGCCTGAGAGAATTATTTCTAAGCACATTTGCCCAAACGGTGCCAAACCAAAGCCACAAATATAGGTGCCCGACGGGCTTCTCTAGGAAGAGACCTCCTCAACCAGGGGACAGCTGCGCACCCAAAATAAATGTCCCCTGCAGGCGTACCTTGGCTTCTGACCCCACCACCAGGTCCTTGAGCTCGGAGATCTTGTCGTTGATGGAGGAGCGATACCGTTTCTCGATGGCGTTGTGGGCTGTGCGCTTCTCCCCTTTGCCGTGGCTTCCCAGCGGCTTCCCGGCAGTCAGGCGGTTGATGGGCAGCTTGTCTGTATCCATCATCAGAGGAACCGTCGCCAGGATGGTGCCCCCACTCATCAGTGTCTGCAAGGGAGGAGGAGGGAGGAGGAGCAGTCATTCCTTTCCTTGAAGCAGGCAAAGCCACTCCCCCCAATAACACATTGTTATTACTGTAATAATAATAATAATTTATACCCCGCCCATCTGGCTTGGTTTCCCCAGTCACTCTGACTCGGGGCGGCTTCCAGCAAAACACTAAGATACAAGAATTCATCAAACATTTAAAACTTCCCTAAACAGGGCTGCCTTCAGATGTCTCCTAAAAGTCAGATAGTTGCTTATTTCCTTGACATCTGATGGCAGGGCGTTCCACAGGGCAGGTGCCACTACCGAGAAGGTCTGTGCCTGGTTTCCTTTAACCTTACTTCTCACAGTGAGGGAACCGCCAGAAGGCCCTTGGAGCTGGACCTCAGTGTCCGGGCTGAACAATGTGAGTGGAGACGCTCCTTCAGGTATTCTGGGCCAAGGCCGTTTAGGGCTTTCAAGGTCAGCACCAACACTTTGAATTGTGCTTGGAAACATACTGGGAGCCAATGCAGGTCTTTCGGGACTGGTGTTATGTGGTCTCGGCAGCCACTCCCAGTCACCAGTCTAGCTGCCGCAACAGGTTTCAGAAATTTCAAAAAAACTTTAAAAGTATTTTATTTTAAAAAAAACCCACACAAATAAATTAAATTTCCTTAAAACGAAAACGAAAAGATACAGAAGGCTCACGGCTTGCAGGAGCAACTGCACCGCAGAACTCCCTGCCTCTTGAGATCAAACAGGCGCCTCCACTGTACACTTTTCAGCACCTGTTAGAAACCGTTTTCATCAAGACAAGCCTGCACAGATGCTTAAAAAGCCGAGGCAATTTTAATCCATTTCACTATTTTAGTACAGTCGTGCCTTGGATCCTGAATGCCTTGGCTCCTGAACAAATCGGCTCCCGAACGATCAAAACCTGGAAGTGAGTGTTCCGGTTCTCAAACGATTTTTGGAAGCCAAATGTCCAGCAAGGCTTCTGCGGCTTCTGATTGGTTGCAGGAGCTTCCTGCAGCCAATCAGAAGCCGCGCTTTGGTTTCCGAACGTTCTGGAAGTCAAACAGACTTCCGAAACGGATTCCGTTCAACTTCCAAGGTACGACTGTACTGTAAATCATAGAATCAAAAAATTGTAGAGTTAAAAGACCCCTGTGGGTCGTTTAAGCCCAGGGTTTCCCAAACTTGAGTCCCCAGCTGCTTTTGGACTACAACTCCCATCACCCCTAGGTAGCAGGACCCCGTGGTCAAGAATGATGGGAACTGTAGTCCAAAAACAGCTGGACTGCCCAATTTGGGGCAACCCTCGATTTTATAGTTTTATCTTTTTGTAAACCGTGTTGAGGTGGTTGTTGTTGTTTACCATCAAGCAGTGCACACATATTACGGGACGGAAAAATTCATTAACTACCGTATTTTTTGCTCTATAAGACTCGCTTTTTCCCTCCTAAAAAGTAAGGGGAAATGTGTGTGCGTCTTATGAAGCGAATGCAGGCTGCGCAGCTATCCCAGAAGCCAGAACAGCAAGAGGGATCACTGCTTTCGCTGCACAGCGATCCCTCTTGGTGTTCTGGCTTCTGAGATTCAGAATATTTTATTTCTTGTTTTCCTCCTCCAAAAACTAGGTGCGTCTTGTGGTCTGGTGCGTCTTATAGAGCGAAAAATACGGTAATTACAGTGGTACCTCTGGATGCGAACGGGATCCGTATCGGAGCCCTGTTCGCATCCAGAGCGGAATGCAACCTACGTCGGCGCATCTGCACGTGCACAGGTCGCAATTCGCCGCATGCGCATGACGTCATTTTGAGCATCCGCGCATGCGCGAGCAGCGAAACCCGGAAGTAATGTGTTCCGTTACTTCCAGGTCGCCGCAGAGCGCAACCCAAAAACACTCAACCTGAAGCAACTTTAACCTAAAGTATGACTGTACCGGCATCTGTAGTGATGTCGACTGGACGGCCGTCGTGGTCCCCAGAGTGGTGATGCCAGAGGTCTGGGCTCCCGAGACGGTTGTCAGAAGCAGAGAGTCGGCCTTGATGAAGTGAGGCTGCAGAAGGACCTGCGGGAAGAGAGGAGGGGTCAGCGCGAAGAAGAAGAAGAGGAGTTTGGATTTGATATCCCGCTTTATCACTACCCAAAGGAGTCTCAAAGCAGCTAACATTCTCCTTTCCTTTCCTCCCCCACAACAAACACTCTGTGAGGTGAGTGGGGCTGAGAGACTTCAAAGAAGTGTGACTAGCCCAAGGTCACCCAGCAGCTGCATGAGGAGGAGCGGGGAATCAAACCCAGTTCACCAGATTACGAGTCTACCGCTCTTAACCACTACACCACGAGAGGACTAACAGATCCGGGGGCCCCGCAGCCTCTGCTCACCGGCACTTGCTGAATCTGGCGCTGGACGACTTGGGATCCACTGTGGGGAGTCAGAATCTGTTGGGGAGCGATGTTCTGGAGTTGGGTTTGCATTGCCACTGGCTGGTTCTGCTGCGACGAGGCTTGGGTGTTTGGAGGGGGCTGAGAATGCCCTCCTGGCTGGGGAGCTGAGAGAGAAACGTATTTATTTCTAACATGCATCCATAGTCCATCCACTTCTCCAAGCAGCTCAAAGTCCTCCCCTTCATTTAATCCCCGCAACAACCCTGTTGTTGCAAGCAAAGGACCGGCCCCCAACATCACCCAGTGAGAGCTCCATGGCCCAGTGGCAATTTGAACCCTGGTCTCCTAATCTGACACTCTAACCACTGTACCACAGCAGAGCAGCCCTGCTGAAGCAGAACGAAGGAATATGAAACTCGGCATCCTCCGTTTCTCCCACCAGCCTGTGAAATGCTTCCAGGAAGACCCCCAAGGAGGGTGTGGCAGCAATAGCCCTCTCCTGCTGTTGCTCCCTGGCAAGTGTTATTCACAGGTAGACCACCACTGAACAGGGAGGTTTCGTGCAATTATCATGACCAGTGGCCATGAACAGAGACAGAAATCATCTGCCCATTTGAAACCCCCGGCGTTGAATGCCTTCACCCATTTTGGTTCCCAAAGTAGATTCTGATGCCCTCTGAGATTCCTTTCTGTCCTCCGGATCAGATTCATGCTCTGTTTATCACTGGCAACTGCAACAAAATGGTGCAGTCTTGAGTGATCCTGTTGACGGTTCCAGCCACTCTGCTCCCCACCCAACCACTTACGATTTTCTGTCTGTTCTCCAACAAATGGATCAGTCTCTTTTGGCTGTTTTGCCTCCCCCTCCAAATAATTCTACTTCTGAAATCTTTATGCCACAGTTTCCTAATCCTTAATCCTTAATTTATATATGGGGCTGATTACAAGCCCTTGTGCATTTAAGAAGTAGGGGAACTGTCATCCGTTGACTTCTAAGGAGCTCTGCAGCATCAAATCTCCTCTAGGGCCACCAACTTTTCAGCAGGCCCCTGTAGCTGTGCCTTTAACAGCTGCCTGGCAGGTCAATACGAGCAGGGAAAGACACATGACTCCTCAGTGTGAAAAACTTTGCCTGCTAGTTCCTGAAGATGTGGCAGCTATTAAGGGCACAGGAGCACACCCAGCTGCTGCTTTTTGGTCAGTTGGCAAGCCCAGCCCCCTCTTATTGTATTATTACTATTAACATTTATTTATATAGCGCCATCAATCTGCCTGGCTCTGTGCATAACTAAAATCAAGAAATCCAACCCTCAAAGGGCACACACTCCAAAACAACAAATAGAAACAATACCCCCCAAAAATTAATAGTTTAATTTTTGAAATCAGTTAAGCCTGGGGGCCACCCTCCTCACCGGAAACACTGCTCTGATTCAGGAATCCCACCATAGGTTGCGCTGAGAATTGGGTCTGGGGTGCCGGGACAAAACTCTGAGCCGCCATCCTGGTTGGCGGGAGCCGAGATGCAGGCTGGGTGGCCGTCGAAGGGACAGGCTCCTCCTTTATGTCCATCGGAGTGGGCTTCGTGTTCGAGTTTGCTGCCGACACTGGTTGGAAGCTTGGTGGGGGTGGAGCTGGGACCTGGAACAAGCTGGAGGAAGGTGAGTTAGCGGCCTCCAGGTAGCCGCTGAACAAACTGGGCCCATGTGGATTGGGCTCTGGGGTGACAGTTGTGCCAAACGACGCCTCAAACAGACCAGGGAAGTCTCCATCTTCAGTGTTGATCAGCTGAAGCATGTCTGCAAAACATACAGAAGGAAGGTAGCCTTGAGACGGGGTTTTCTTTGTACTTAGGAGCCAGGGGTCTGTGAGAATTTCCTTACAAACTGGGGCGAAATGGGGACTCAGGCCAGACCAGGGCTGCAATTGCACCGTACATTTATAGCATAGTGATACCCCTCTTTTTTAAAAAATAAAAAAATTAAACAATTATTGATACTTTTCCACATACAGTACAATAAAAAAACTACCGTATTTTTTGCACCATAACACTCACTTTTTTCCTCCTAGAAAATAAGGGGAAATGTCTGTGCGTGTTATGGAGGGAATGCCTACGGGTGGCATGCCTACGGATTTTCCTCCTCTAAAAACTACGTGCGTGTTATGGTCGGGTGCGTGTTATAGAGCGAAAAATTCGGTAATTTAAATAAAGAGGAAATGGAAAAGAAGAAACAAAGAAAACAAATTGAGAAAGAGGAAAGAGAGGGAGAGAAAATTGTGATTTTCTATCAGAGGTAGGGCTTAACCCTTGTCTCACACAAAAGGGATTGGACCCTCCCAGCTCTCACCAGTATGATACCCCTTCAAATAGAATTCAGAAAGCTCCTTGGCTATGTGACAGGTACTCTTTATATTCAGACACAAAAGAGAACTTTGCCACCTCTTTCTAAGATGTCTGCCTCCTGGGCTGTTACCCAGTTTCACAACTCCCATTCAGCAGATCACATGGCAAACAGATGCCCGTCTGGGCTGAAGCTCACTGTGTAAGCCAAGGCTTGGCAGGATCATCCCCAAGATTGTGGGTCTCTCAGGAGTGCCTGGATCCGTTCTCTCAGCCATCACAGCTATGGAGTTAAGACCTCCTGTGGCCAACCACCACCTGTGCCAACCTCCAGCAATGCAGCCGCAGCACAACTCTGCCAACCTTTGGTCACATCACCAACTACTCCACCTTCAAGATCAGTAAAGGTAAAGGGACCCCTAACCGTTAAGTCCAGTCGCGGACGACTCTGGGGTTTCGCACTCATCTCGCTCTATAGGCCGAGGGAGCCGGCGTTTGTCCGCAGACAGCTTCTGGGTCATGTGGCCGGCATGACTAAGCCCCTTCTGGCGAACCAGAGCAGCGCACGGAAACACCGTTTACCTTTCCGCTGGAGCGGTACCTATTGATCTACTTGTACTTTGACGTGCTTTTGAACTGCTAGGTGGGCAGGAGCAGGGACCGAGCAATGGGAGCTCACCCCATCGTAGGGATTTGAACCGCCAACCTTCTGATCAGCAAGCCCTAGGCTCTGTGGTTTAACCCACAGTGCCACCCACGTCCCTCAAGATCAGTATCCTGCACCAATAGCTATTTGCATCTCGCATGCCCAGCAGCATAGGAAGTTTGTGATAAGGCAGCCCTGTTTAAGCCAAGCAGGTCTGGGTCAAGCCAGAACGGGATTGCAGACTACGCGAAAGGGGCTATACAGTGGTACCTCGGGTTAAGAACTTAATTCGTTCTGGAGGTCCGTTCTTAACCTGAAGCTGTTCTTAACCTGAGGCACCACTTTGGCTAATGGGGCCTCCAGCTGCTGCCGTGCCGCCAGAGCACAATTCCTGTTCTCATCCTGAAGCAAAGTTCTTAAACCGAGGTACTATTTCTGAGTTAGCGGAGTCTGTAACCTGAAGCATCTGTAACCTGAAGCATCTGTAACCTGAGGTACCACTGTATTTGGAATGTCAGGTGGGGGTGGGGAGCCTTTTGGCATTGCAGTAAAGTACCCATTGGGGCAGAACAGAACAGATGGCTACTGGATCAGGCCGATGGTCCAACTAGTTCCAGCATCCTGACCTCACTGTGGCCGACTACATGCCCCCAAGGGAAAGCTGAATGCAGGATTCAGCCACAAGAGTCCTCTCCCCCACCCCACCCGGAGGTTTCCAGCAACTGGCCTTCAGAAGCATTGTTGAAGAGCATAACCATTATGGTTGGAGCCATCAAAAGTCTTATTCTCCCTCATGAATTTTGTCTAATCCTCTTTGCAAGCCATCCAAGCTGTGTGGCCTCTACTGCCTCCTGTGGCAAGCAGTTCCACAGGTTAACTATGCACTGTGTGGAAAGAAAAAAACCTGTGCCATGTATAATTTCACAAACTATCACATTACTTCTTAGGCATCTTTTATCTAAACTAAAAAACTCCAAACGCTGCATTTTTTCCCTTCATAGCAGAGTTGCTCCACTCCCTTGACCATCTTGCTTGCACTTTTCTGAACCTTTTCCAGCTCCACAATATCCCATTTGAGGTGAGGCGATCAGAACTGCCCACAATATTCCAAATGCTGTCATGTTATAGATTTGTACAATATTGGTGGTTTTGTTTTAAACTCCTTTCCTAATGATCCCTAGCATGGAATTTGCCTTTTTTTCACAGCTGCTGCTGCACACTGGGTCGACATCTTTATTGAGCAACCCATCAGAGTTGACAAATAGCCTGGCCTGGTATAATGCGGCTTTTTATGCCACACACAACACCTTGATGAAAGTAACTCACAACACAAGGCAGCCCTCAGGAAACTGTGCTCGTGTTAACATGTCTTCAATGCACTGCTCTGGAAATTTAATTTCAGGAACTTCAGCAAACCTCAACCTGCAGTTTCCAGCAGAACCACCCAAAAGGGCTCGTCCATACTTCTTTTGCTTGACCGATATGTTGAATGCATTGCGTATCGAGTAATTCCCTTGGGACCAGGAGCTTTTCTCATTGCTCAGCGGCTGTGCTTTGCAAAAAAACCCTGATCTTACCTTGCTAAATCGGAAAATCCACAGCAAGGTGTTGCTTAACCAAGCTTCAATTAAGCGGGTAAAATTGGGTTTAGGCAAGGAAAAGCCGCAGAACAACAAGGAAAGCTCTCAGACCCAGGGGAATTGACTGGTATACAATTGAAACACGGGTCAAGTGAAAGTGTGGATGGACCCAAACTCAGCTCATTGCTGCTCGAAAATAAAAATCCAGGAAGGTTCTGCAAAGATGCAGGATGAGAATTAAGCATTCTGCAGATCCGGGCATCCATCCTAGGGCTGAAGAATTATGTGCAACAGAATAGTCCATTTTGCAAAGCTCGGTTATCCAAATCTACCTAGCACTAAACTAAGGCACATGCTCCACAAAGCCCTGTGTAAATTAAACCCCTTCAGGCAAACTTCTGATACTTATTGGAATGCCAGCCCACACGGGTGCTATCAGAGTGACAGAGCCTCATCCCATCTTCAGATTAGAGGGTTGGTACTGCTCTCCACCCTTCCGAAAAGCAGAAGCAAGTTTTATTTCTTATTTATTTCATAAAATCGATGCACTGCTGAAAAACCTGAAAGCAGTTTACAAAATGATAGAAACAAGAAAGCCAAGGGGAAATCACAACTTTAAAACATACGAAAAGTTAAAACACTAAAGCAGATTAAAATTTAGCAAAAAGCCTGCAGTTTTGTTTGTTTTTTTAAAAAAATATTATAGCCCAGCCTGCAAACAATTGCAGGAAATTGCATGGAAACAATTGTTTCATTAAAACATTTTTTTAAAAACTGTGTTTTCATTCACTCTCAGGGGTTAAACGGGGAGGTAAGTTTCCAAAAACCATGACAACTTTGAAGGGCGAAAAGGAAACGCCTTCGCCTCATTTGGCATCTGTACCCTCAGTGTGCATGCACACAAAAGCTCATACCAATAAGAAACTTAGTTGATCTCTAAGGTACCACTGGAAGGAATTTATTTCTTTTTTGTTTCGACTACGGCAGACCAACCTGTAACCAAATCTGGAAAGTTCCTAATTCAGATGCAACTCCTTCACCTGCCCTTGCTATACCACCCACCCACCCTGCCCCCTCCCATAGCTGTCAACTTTTCCCTTTATTTAAGGGAAATTCCCTTATTCCGAATAGGATTCCTCGCAAGAAAAGGGAAAAGTTGACAGCTATGCCCCCTCCACCTGAAATCCAGAGTTGTTCTCTACTGCGGAGGGAGAGTGGAAAGGATCCTAGCGAAAGTTGTACCTTCTAAAGTGCAATCCATCCTTCCTGGCTGGTCCAAAGGCAGCCCTCCCCTGACCCTTCTTCCACACCTTGGGGGGACGGGGGACGTACAGACAGTGCCCTGGTCTGGCAGCCTCGCTGTGCAAAAAGTACAACTCTGGGAACTGCTAGCTATTTTTCTATTTTTTTAAAACCAACTCTCTCTCTTCCCTCCTCCCTCCTCTTTTCTGGCCAGCCTCTTCCCCCGCCCCTCCTCCTCCTCCTCTTCCCTCCTCCCCCACTCCCCGGCTGGAATGAGAGGGTGGAATTGTGAATCACGGATTTAGCATGAGGTGATCCTGCTTGGCCAATCAGGGCCGGCCCGGCTGCCAACCACCCTGGCGCTGGGTCTTTCAGCCTTGCTGCAGACTCCAAGGTGAATGGCACCCGGGGTTACTGCCGGGCATGGCAGATTAACACTTTCCCTGCCGGCCGAGGGGGGGTTACTCTAGGTCAGCTGCACACGCTGGAGCCGGAAGCTTTTCAAGAGGAATCGTAAGAGTTGGAAGGGACACCCCCCCACCCCAGGGTCATCTACCATAGTCCAACCCCCTGCAATGCAGGAATCTTTTCCCCAACGTGGAACTCGAACCCTGGACCCTGAGATTAAAAAGTCCCACGCTGAACCGACTGAGCTATGGGCGCAGACACACACTCAGGCCACATCCACGTCATATATTTCAAGCATTGTCATAGCACTTTGAACAGTCCTGACTTCCCCCCAGAGGATCCTGGGAGCTGTAGTTTGTTAAGGGTGCCAAGCGTTTAAAGGTAAAGGTAAAGGGACCCCTGACCATTAGGTCCAGTTGTGGCCGACTCTGGGGTTGCGGCGCTCATCTCACTTTATTGGCCGAGGGAGCCGGCGTACAGCTTCCGGCTCATGTGGCCAGCATGACTAAGCCGCTTCTGGAGAAACCAGAGCAGCGCACGGAAACGCCGTTTAGACTTCCTGCTGGAGCAGTACCTATGTATCTACTTGCACTGGTGTGCTTTCGAACTGCTAGGTTGGCAGGAGCTGGGACAGAGCAACGGGAGCTCACCCTGTCGCGGGGTTTCGAACCGCCGACCTTCTGATCGGCAAGCACTAGGCTCTGTGGTTTAGACCACAGGGCCACGCCACCCGCGTCCCACCGAGCTTTGTTAGGAGGCTGCTATTCCCCTCACAGAGCTACAGTTCCCAGAAGGGACAGCCCATCCATGAGGCAAGGGGAGGTAAATGGATCCTCAGCGGCAACAGATCCCAATGTAGATCTTTATTCCGTCCCCCTCTCCCTTGTTCCTGATGTAGATCTTAACTCATCCCTTCTTTTCCGGCAAAACACCATTTTGGGGTCTGCCTTGGGTGTAAAAATATATTGACCTGGCCTTGATTCCCTGAGTCATAAAATTATAAAGTTGGAAGGGACCCCGAGGGTCATTTAGTCCAACCCCGGCAATGCAAGAATCCTGCCCACAGCTCTTCCCCTGGGTGGGCTCGAACCACCAACCTTCTGCTTAACAGCAAGTCACACTGACCCCATTGTGCTGTCTTCAGATGGAACTCTGGGAATTGTAGCTCTGGTAAAGGAATAAGGGGCCTCCTAACAACTCCCATCATCTTTAACAAACTACATTTCCCATGATTCTTTGGGGGAAGCCATGACTGTTTAAAGGGGCATAATAGCGCTTCAAATGTATGGTGCGGAAGGGGCCTTTAATCCAATTCCTGGCTTGCTCTTGTGCTTTTAACAGCTCGGTGTACAACAACAAAACTTTGTACAAAGCCCTTCCATCTGCCTTGCATAAGGTTGTGAAACGGCCACAAAGACACCCACTCTGGCTCATTCCTGTGTCCACAGTGTCTTACGAAGAAAACCAGTGGAAGAAGCTTTCCTTCTCCCACGACTTTGAGCCAGCCTCTGCAGATTAAGCTGCGCAGGAGCTGGGGTGGTTAAAAAAAGCTGGCAATCCCAGCAAACCTCAAGCAAACTGAGCCATAGTTACACCAAGTACTGCAATAAAAGAAGGAACCATTTTTACTGTTACGGACCTAAATTTGGGCAATAGGCTGCCAAACAAATGTGGCCTCTGCCATCAGGGGTCATCTAGTCCAACCCTCTGCAATGCAGGAATCTCAACTAAAGCATCCATGACTTAACTCTTGACAACAATTTTCATGGCCGAAATCATGCAGTCATTATTTCCCTTCATCACGTGTTGTATGAAGGAATACTTCCCTTGCTTTCCTCTGTGACCGTTCAATTTCCAAACAGCCCCAGGTTCTAATATAATCCGGGGAATATAATTCTACCTCTTCAAGGATGTTGCAAACATTGATCAATCCCACTAGCACCAGCACGTCATCTCTCTGCTCACCAGCCCCAAAGGATCAGCTTATCCAACATAGGCCAATTAGATGATTTCAATTTCCTAGAAGAGCCAAGAAATGTCTATTCTGCCTTTGGCGTTGCAGCGTCTGTACTTTGGAACTCCCTGCCAATTGACACTGGGCAGATGCTATCACTGTATTCTTTCTTTGCCTATATAGACACAAGGTTGGTTGTTGTTGTTTATTAAATTTGTATATCTGAAGATCTTGGGGCAGTCCACAGCATAAAAATACAAAATAAAAACAAAAAATACATTAAAAAGCACATTTAAAAGGACATTGAATGTTAATCAGCCCAAGGCCTGGTTGAAGAGGAATGTTTTCGCCTGGTGTCTAAAGATGTATAATGAAGGCATCAAGTGAGTCTCCCTGGCTAGAGCATTCCACAAGTGGGGAGCCATCGCAGAAAAGACCCTGTTCTCAAGTTGCCACCTGGGTGGGGGAAGGCATACAAAGAAGGGCCTCAGAGGATGATCACAGGGTCCAGGGCACTTCAAATGGGGAGAGGCAGTCCTTGAGGTTACATGGTTTATTGTTTTTCCTTGTTTTCGTATGTTTTTAACCGCTTGAAAATATTTTGTTTTTAACTGTATTTTTTATTACAGATGTGTTTGCCACCCTGGGATCCTTTGGGAGGAAAGATGGAAGATCAACATTTTCATTATAGGAAGAGTACTGCCAGAATCAAAGAGCTGGAATAGTCCTCCAAAATCATCTCGTCCAACTCTTTCTGCTGGTACAGGAAATTTAGGGAGAAGGTTCAATCATAGACGAGTTAAAACTGACCAAAGAAAACTGAGCAAAGCAAGGTCCAGAGACAGAAGGACCTGTATTTTACTAACGCGTGGGAAGAAGAGAGTTTGAACAGACTGAAAGGCTGGGAATCCACAATTTATTTATTGCAATGGACCTTTTGTGATGTTTAGGATGGGCAAAGGAGATGCATAAAAGAAGTTAAACTGGGGTGTGTGTGGAAAGGAACGAGAGGAATTATCTGTCTAAAGGGGATGGGGAAAATAAGAACGCAAACATGAACTTAGGCACAGACAGCAGCAGCAGCAGCACCCAAACACACCGTCCTGCCAGAGGCAGCCTCCCCAGACACACTCTGCCCTACTTCCAAAAATGGGACCTGCCCTTTGTCCCATGTCACAAGTCCGCCCCCAGAAAAGCGATGACTCCAGGTAACCTCCTGAGAACACAAAGGTGTGTTTGGCTTTTCCCAACAGCTGATTAGCAATACAAACCTGCCAACAGGGACAACCTCCTCTGCTGTCAGGGATTGGTACCAGATGCATGTTTGACTACAACTCCCATAATTCCTGAGTATTGGCCAAGATAGCCAGGTGTTGATGGCAGCTGGAGCCCAGCAGCATATCGCTGGTTGGACTCCGGACAGATGAACAGTTCAACTTTGGATTGCAGGTGGATGGATTCCTTTTTAAATGTTCCCTCTCACTAAATAAATAATAATAATAACTGAAAAACCTCCCTGTGGGTAGTAAGCTAGTACAGCAATAAGACTGAGCTGCATCCCTGATGCACTAATTTTCTACCTGGAGATAAGATATTAACAATTTTTAAAATTTCATTTAATAAAATGTATATACTGCAAGGAAAAACCCCTCTAAGCGGTTCTCAACAATATTCAGTCGTTGAAATCATCTGTTAAGAAACAGTTAACAACAGGTATTAAAGTATTTAAAAGATTAAAATCAGCACTAGCTAGAAGGCAAGAGAACACACGCAACTTCTATAGGTCTGAAAAGGATTGCCTAAGCAAAACCATTTGAAGTGGGAGCTAAAAGGAGTTCAGCGCTGGTGCCTGCCTGCTGTCAATAGGCAGGGAGTTCCAAAGTATAGCCATTAAACATGAGAAGGTTGATTTATTATAATTGTGGAATATTATGGGGCACCCATAACAAGCTGTGTTTGTTGTGTCAGTGTGTATGTGTGTATATTTAGGATATTGTTCTAAAATGGAGTCTAAAGTACTACAATTCTACTTTGTCAGGACTGAAACCACAACTCTACCAACCAAGCAACAAGCCTATTTGATTAGCACCAAATCCATCCAACACAAACACACAAACACACACGACTGCACCAAATTGGACACTCCCTCTCAGGCGCCTAATTCCAACTGCGTCCCGTAACACCCAGTGTTGCTCTTAGGTGCAGGTTGCAAAAGAGCCCTGCCAAATTACTGAGGGAGCATTAAAGACAGATTTATTATATTTCACAAGGGCAGGCAGATGAACCACTCTGGGAATTGTAGTTCTGTGATGCGAAACAGTCAAGCCCTCTTCCCAAAGAACTCGGTGAATTGTAGCTCTGTGGGAGGAATTGGGGTCTCCTATCAACTTTCAGCAGCCTTAGCAAACTACAGCTCCCAGGATCCTTTGGGGGAAGTCATGGCAGCTTATAGTGCTTTGATACTGCTTTAAATTTATGTGTAGATGGGGCTAAGGATCGAAGACCAGGCTGAGGTTCCCAGTATTTTTCTCAGATCTGGCCAATCTGTAGGGCTTTTACTGCCCACCAGTCAGAGTGGCTGGTGTTACACTGCCTAGCTGCACAGGCTCCAAACATCCTTATTTTGCTTTGAGAAGAGACGTTGCATTGGGGTGAGGTTATTTTAACTCTCGAACAATCTGCGTGTATTTTTATTTATGTGTTACACTTTTACTCAGCCCGTCCTCCAAGCAGCTTGAGGTGGCATGCATGCCTCTCCTCCCCTTTAATCTTCAAAACAACCCTGCGAGGTCGGTCCAACCAAGCCACAAATTCATGGCTGAATTTGAACCTGGGTCTCCCTGGTCCTAGCCTGACACTCTAACCATATAACCATTATCAACCCCTGTACCCGCTACCATTTCCCAAATCAGGGAAAGGCAGGGGACATTTGGCCCTCCAGATGTTGTTGGACTACAACTCCCATCATCCCTGGCCATGTCGCTAGGGATGATGGGAGTTGTAGTCCAAGGCCCCACAGGTTCTCCACCCCTGCATTATACCCATGCTCTCATGTGGATGCAGATCCACAGACCCAGAGTCTCTCTGGTATCCTAACCTACTCAGTAACCATTTATTCAGGCAGCGAATGTTTATTTCCTTACTTATTGCATTTATATCCCACCTTTTCCTCCAAGGACCTCAAGGTGGCATACAAAGTTCTCCCCCTCTCCATTCAGTCTCCACAACAACCCTGTGAGGTAGTTTAAGGCGAGAGGCAGTGGCTTTCCCAAGGTCACCCAAGTGAGTTTCATGGCTGAGTGGGGGATTTGAACCTTCGTCTCCCAAGCCCTAGCCTGACATACTCTAACCAGAGCACCACCTTGGCGGAACCCCTTTGAGTGCCTCAGTTTTAAAACAAGTGTGATCCGATCTACGGTGACAAGAGATATCCTATTCCAGCATTCTGACATTTTTAAAAGAAAGGGAACTGGTATAAGCAGTGTGGCATAAGGACTGAGCAAGGGTTTGAATCCACATCTACCTAGTGAAAGTTGAATGCCAGTACAGCACACTGATTTCCAAAATGAAATATATCTGCATTTGTCAGGAATTTACCTGTATGGCAAGTGCGGATTTTCTGTCGTGGAACCATATCTTCTTTTGATTAACATGGGGGGCAGGGGTTAGATGTTTTTCTGGTCGGAACTGTTTTATTTTCCTTGGAGTATTTTCTCTCGCTTTACACTTTACTCTCACTTACTGTGTATTTTGTGTTTTTATTTTGTATTTTTAATGCTGTGAACTGCCCTGAGATCTTTGGATGAAGGGCAGTATAATAATAATAGCAGCAGCAGCAGCAGCAGCATAAGGGCAACAGTGAAGGACCACCAGGAATGCCTAAGGGGTCAGCAACCTTTTTCAGCCCTCAGACCATGTGGTGGGCCGGACTATATTTTTTGGGGGGTGGGGGAATAAATGACTTCCTATGCCCCACAAATAACCCAGAGATGCATTTTAAATAAAAAGACACATTCTACTCATGTAAAAACACGCTGATTCCCGGACCGTCCACGGGCCGGATTGAGGAGAAAAATGGGCCGCATCCGGCTCCCGGGCCTTAGGTTGCCTACCCCTGCCTTAGGCAGTGACCCTTTGCTGTATCAATAGCAGAGCTGGATTTAGGTTTGATGAGGCCCTAAGCTACTGAAGGTAATGGGGCCCTTTATATGTCCAGCTGTCCTTTGTCAACAACAAATTGTCACTGTTTTTTTGTGTTGAATATATGCTATATGGTAATTTATGGGCCTAATAGGTATCTAAAGCTATTTGCACATGTTGCCATACAACCATTCCATGCAGAATGTAGGCACCCTATATATGGAAATGAGCAAACCAGTGATATTTCAGGGAGCAGGCGAAAAGGCGGGGCCCATGACTTACATCATAGGAGCCTACACAACACAAAACACTGTTGCTGTACAGTGGTACCTCTGGTTAAGAACTTAATTCGTTCTGGAGGTCTGTTCTTAACCTGAAACTGTTCTTAACCTAAGGTACCACTTTAGCTAATGGGGCCTCCCGCTGCTGTTGCGCCGCCATCACGCAATTTCTGTTCTCATCCTGAAGCAAAGTTCTTAACCCGAGGTACTATTTCTGGGTTAGCGGAGTCTGTAACCTGAAGCGTCTGTAACCCAAGGTACCACTGTATGTAGGTTTTATTTTATTTGTTTTTTTATGTTATATTTTGGAAATGTACATCCAGGTTTTTTTTCCTTTAAAAAATTTTTGGGGCCCCCAAGAGAGTGGGGCCCTAAGCTATAGCTTGTTTAGCTTATATGCAAATCTGGCACTGATCAATAGGGGCTTTATATTATTCTACCCTTGTTCTCACCTGGGAAGTTCTGGAAGCAGGATGAACACTAGACATCGCCAAAAAAAAAAGATGGCAAAAAGACAACAGGAAGTGGCATAAAGTTTGCACGTGGTAATTTATGAGCATAGATCATGGAATCATAGAATTGTGAAGTTGGAAGGGAGCCTGAGGATCATCGAGTCCCAACCCCCTGCAATGCAGGAATACGCATCTGCCCCATATGGGGATCAAACCTGCGACCTTGGTGTAATCAACACCATGCTCTAAGCAACTGAGCTATCCATTTAGATGTCCATTTGGAAATAGTTGCACCTCACCACAGTGGGGAAGCCCAGCACCTGCTGAGTCTGCTATCCAGGCGCTTTCTGTGGGAGCAGTGGAATCCATTTATTTGTTGCCATTCCTGTTCCTTTGCAAAATATTTGCACAAGCTGCCCAGAGATTCTGGGACAGGCCAGTCTCAGAGCACTACAACTCCCATTGTCCTCAGCCACTGGCCATGCTAGCAGAGGCTGATAGGAGTTCAACAACAGCTGGGGGGGCACATCATCTGTGTCCCCCCCCATGCATGGGAACAGCTGGCCTGTCATACCTTCCCATAGGACAGTGTTTCCCAAACTTGGGCCTCCAGCTGTTTTTGGACTACAACTCCCATCATCCCTGGCTAGCAAGACTAGTGTCAGAGATGATGGAAATTGCAGTCAGAAAACAGCTGGGGACTCAAGTTTGGGAAATACTGGACTACAACTTCCATCATCCATCACCACTGGTCCTGCGAGGTAGGGATGATGGGAGTTATAGTCCAACAGTGACTAGAGGACCCAAGTTGGAGAAACACTGTCATGGAACCTGTGGTGGTGTGGCCTGCGGATCGGGTGGGCTGGGAGACTCCCAACAGCCAGTTAGAGGCCTGAAGGGCCCCATTTGGCCCCTGGACCTGAGATTCAACATCCTTGTTACACAGGCTTAGCCTTTCATGCATTAGACCAGGGGTCAGCAACCTTTTTCAGCCATGGGCCAGTCCCCTGTCCCTCAGACCACGTGGTGGGCCGGACTATATTTTTTGGGAGAAATGAACAAATTCCTATGCCCCACAAATAACCCAGAGATGCATTTTAAATAAAAGCACACATTCTACTTGTGTAAAAACACCAGGCAGGCCCCACAAATAACCCAGAGATGCATTTTAAATAAAAGCACACATTCTACTCGTGTAAAAACACCAGGCAGGCCCCACAAATAACCCAGAGATGCATTTTAAATAAAAGCACACATTCTACTCGTGTAAAAACACCAGGCAGGCCCCACAAATAACCCAGAGATGCATTTTAAATAAAAGCACACATTCTACTCATGTAAGAACACGATGGTTCCCGGACCGTCCGTGGGCCGGATTGAGAAGGCGATTGGGCAGCGCCCGGCCCGCGGGCCTTAGGTTGCCTACCCCTGCATTAGGAAACGGTAAGCATGTCTTTTCCCAAGGCAGTAATATCAGAGCTGGCCCACCCATGAGGCAGGTTGAAGCACCGGCCTCAGGCGGCAGATGTGCAAGACTGCTTCTGGCATGCGGCACTGCCACCCAAATTGTGGAACACCCTGGCTCTTGCTGAGTTCTGCAAGAGGGGAGAGGGCATTCTGGCAGCCCCAGAAGTGGTGGTGGGGCAGCAGTAGGGGGGCAACGGGGGGCACTTCCGTGTTTCGCCTCAGGTGGCAAAATGGGATGGGCCCTTTCCCTGACTGAAACTATATCCTAACTCCAAAGCAAGAACTAATGCGCCCCTTAAGCTCTCAGAGCACTGGAGCAGTCTCGCCTCTTATGCAATGAGTCGCAGCCTTGGGTATTGTTTCCTGATCCTTAGGAACTATTACAACAACCATGCACAGTAGACCAGTGTTGCTACTTCCACAGTATATTTTGTTTTATGTATTTAGGTGATACTTTTTTTAACTGCCCTTTGCACAAGTTGCAAGGCAGATTGCAACCAAGTCCAATAAGATTAAAAAAACGGATCCGTAAGATTACGCAGCCCTTAAGACACAGGAACTCATTAGCAATCATTTATCTTATCAGGTCTCTCCACCTCCAAAACCCTGCCCCCAAAAGGTGCGTCTTAAGCAGGTACCTAAAACCACAAAGAGATGGTGCTAAGTGTACCTGAGGAGGGAGCTCCACATGTGAGGAGCCAACACTGAAAAGGCCCCAATACCATGTACTTCATTCTCAATTGGTTCAACAGTCAATCCCTCTTCACAGGGACCTCTGGGAATCGTAGTTCTGCAAAAGGGAAACAGGCCTCTTAACAGCCCGCAGCACCCTTCAATAAACTACAGCTCCCAGAATTCTTTGGGAAGCCATGACTGTTTAAAGTGGTGTCGGGGTGCTTTAGATGTACTCCATGTTAACGGTGTTAAGTTAATGTGCTTAATTAATGAAAAATCATTATTGACATTTATTAAGGATTATAAACTTCTTATGGACTTTTCTGCTTGAAAGAGAAAATATACTTGTAATATCTGGATCTGAAGATTGAAAAATTATTGGCTTATATAAAATATAATAGTTGGAGGTCAGTGAGTGAATACTATCTTTAGCTAACGGACAGAGAATCAGAAGCCTTTTTCTTTTCCCATCGTCTTTTCTTACTCCTTTTCTCTCTTTGCTTCTGTTCTTTTTAAGATTAGATTTCGAAAGTATTCTTTTTACTCAGGTGTATTATGAAAAGATGCTTTGTATTGGGTAGGAACTTTTCTCTCTCTTTTGGTAAGTTATCAATGAAACTGGACCTAAACCAAAAAACTGTACATGCCTCCAGGTCGGGACCTGCCCTCTTTGCACTTTGTAACGCGACATTAAAAGCACCATAGCATTACTAAGAGATGCTTATAGAGCTGCACACACAAGAGGTGTCCTTTGCACGAAAACCAAGCAACGCTGGCACGGGACGGTTTTGCAAAGGCGCAGTCGAGGCAGAGAAGGGGTGGGCGGGCAAGACGGTGGAGTGCAATCATAGGAGACGACAACCACGGCTAAAGTCCCTTCGGCCCCCCAATAAAATATCTGAGGGGACCGGGGCACCCCCCCAGTTGATGTGCATTGCCTTTGTGCGCACCGCGTTTTGGGATCCATTCTGGGGGGCGAGGCATACCTGGGCCTCCCCAATATTTTATTCAAGTTGGCACCCTTGGGTGCAAGCCAAGCCTAGTTGCACAACCCAAACCTTGCACATCAAGGGGCTGCGAGAGCGCAGGAGCCGCGGAGCGTCGCCCTAGCGCGCAAACCTCGGCGCCTCGCGAAAGGCGCGCTGAACTTTCTTCCGAAAGAGGGAATGACCGACAGTAACCCGAGGCGTGACGTCAGCCTCCCCCTCCCCTCTCTCTCACACACACAGACGGGGGGGGAGTGGGCGGGGCGTTTAGCCTTAGCAGCTGGCTACCCGCCAGGGACACGGGGAGGCGGTGGATTTCTGGATATTATACTTGCAATCTCTCAGGCTCCTTGTGACTCCCTTTTGCAAAGCCAGCGATCCTCCGTCCTCCCACAAATGCACCCGGCGTGATGTTGCCATGGGGAAAAGGCGGTGGTAAACGGGGTACAAAAGCACATGGCTCGCGAAGGCAAGAGTGGGGGGGTGGGATCCGTTCAAGGGATCCCGTCACCCAAGGAGAAACAGATCCCTCGGTGGGAGAGGAGCAGGCTCGTGCCTACACACACGCTCCCAAAACTCTCACTTCTCAGGCGCGCGCGCTCAGGACGCGCTCGCTTCATCCAAACTGGTTAGGAAAAAGGATTGAGAAATATTGCACACATTTCTACAATTCAGGCTCTAATTTGGAAGTTCACTTTTTGCTGAAATCACAGGCTGTCTGGATATTTATATATCTTGGCAAAAGGGCACTTTTGGAAATAATAATAATAAACAACAAATGCACTCCCTTTGCACAGAAATTAGGACCCTCGTCCCAAACCACAGATCCCGACTTTAACTCAAGCAAGAAAGGGCTTCCACCATGATGCAAGACCCCATTTTTTTTGCAGGTACCAACTGGGCAAAAGCTGCTTCCCTTCTCCCCGGTTGGCACCGTGAGAAACAGCCCCCCCCCGCTCCCCCTACCCTGTACCCACCGTCAATGTCGCTCAGCAGAGCCGTGTCAATCTCGCTGGATTCATGGAGAGTCAGCGAAGGGTCCAAGCCGTCCAAAGACGCCTCTTCGAAGGCGAGGTTGTTCATCTCGGCCACGACGCGCACAACCCCCTCCTTAGAGAAACCCCCTCCACGCACGCACCCCTACCCTACCCACCCCGCGGGCAGGCCAAAAATAAGTTGATTTTAAAAATAAAAATATGTGGAACTGAATAATCTAGAGGAGCTTGGATGACAGGCTGGGAGGAGGAAGCGCCTTCCTTAGGCTGCCGGGGACTCCGCGCAAAGAGAAGCCATCTGCGCATCGGGAAGCCAAGCGGCCCGGCGTTTATGGGCTGGTGGCTCCTAGCTGCCTGCTGCTGGCTGCCATCCTCACGTCCATAGCAGGCTCTGTAAGGTGGAGGGAGAGCAAGTTGCGAAGTGGAGCTCAAACCTGCTACTGGGAGGGAGAGCAGGGGGAGGAGCCTCCGCTTTGGGGAACGCCCCCTGGCTCTCTTGATTGGCAGCCCCCTGCAGTTCCCGGGAAGTGAACTGGCTGGCCGGCCCGCCTCCCCCACATGGACGGGAGGGGTGTGCGGGACACAACAACACCGGCGGCAAGAGTCCCAGGCTCCGCTTACTTAGCAGGAAATCTGCCCCGCTTGGATTGGGGATCACTTCCGAGCAAATGTTGACACGGTTGCAGGCTCAGTGTTGGAGGAGGAGGAAGGCTTTGGAGCAGCTGAAAAGGGAAATTCAACACGTCGTGTCCTCCCCCCCACCCCCACCATGCATGCCCAGAAAGTTGCACCTGATGAATTTCTGCCTGTTGCGCACAAAGGGGGTTAGGGGAGGGACATTAGGATGGTCTGATCAAGGGGACCCCAGAAGGCTCAGGAACCCAAGGATGTGCAATTTGGAAAGGCGGGGGGTATTTGACACCACCTTGCATCATTTTGCAAGAATTATTATTATTATTATTATTATTATTACATTTATATCCCAGTTTTCCCCCCAAAGAGTTCAAGGTGGTGCACATGGTTCTCTGCTTTATACACTTCATCAGTGCAGCAACCCTGTAGTGTAGGTTAGGCTAAGAGGCAGTGACTGGCCCAGTGTCATAACCGGTGGGCTTCATGGCTGAGTGGGGAGCTGAATTCTGCTCTCCTGGTCTGACACTCAACTCTCAGCCACACCGTTGGTAACAGTAGATTAACTTCAGCATAACTGGTTTTTTATATAAAGGAAACAATGCACGAGGTTATTTATTTAAAAGGATTTGTTTACGCACCCTTAAAAATATTACACCCGTGCAATTTTTAAAACATGCTAATAATGAGCTGAGTTTCTCGCATTGCAGGGGTTCCTTCAAACTACAATTCTGTGATTCTATGAACTAAAGAGAAACAATGAAACTGGAAATCGTCCAACCAACCACTGCTTAAAATAAAAAGAGTTGGATCCAGACTTCAGTCATTATTGGGGTAGACCCATTGGGTAATTTACCCAACTAAGTCATATTTAGAATGGGTCTTCTCCGAGTATGATTAACCCTAGATATTCACCACTGAAATTAAGGGCGTTTGATAAAAATTAACCATCCCATTTATTGCAAAGGGTCTGCGCTAAGAATGGCAAACAGCGTAATTCTCACCCTGTCCACTCAGAAGTTCCCCTTGATCGAATTGGTCAGAGCCACCCCTCAGCTTACCTAGGTAGCCAGATGTTTAGCCAATGTCAAATCTGCTAAAGGTGGCTTTTTTACTACAATTAAGGTTGTTCCTTTATCCTCTTTGCAGGGTAAATGGCAAAATTAGTCAGGGCTCCTGCACCATTGATAATTGCTCAGAAGAGGGAATTTCAGCACAGGATATACCTGCAGAAACTGTCTCTTCTACACATCTGTTTAAAGGTACAAGAGCACAGAAGAGATGGACTATATATATATATATATATATATGGTGTGTGGGGGTGTAATATCATTCAATTAGGGGTTGGAGTAGATCATCCTCAGCGTCCATTCCATCTCTACAATTTTATTCTATACAAATAAAGAGTTAAACTACACCCAAAGCTTTTTTTAAAAGAAAACAAGCAAGCAAATAAAGCAGAAATTAACTTCTGGAACTCACTGCTGGAGGATGTGGCTATAGCCACTACCTTAGATGACTTTATAGGGGGACAAAGGGAAACCAGCAATAAAACGTTGTAATGATCAGGGGCAATCAGAATAAGGGCCACTAACTGACGGTTGATTCAGGACTTTAAATTGTGCTCTTATATCAAATTTCCTTTTCTGCATATACTGTAATGTTTTACTGTTGCTATGGCCATTGGCTAATGTGAATAAAGTTTTATCTATCTAAAAAACAAAACAAAAAACATTGCAATGTCCCTCCTCAAGGAGTCAAATAAGCATGCCTGCTTCCAGCATATTACATTTCACTGCTTTATGGTCCTGCTGTTCCAAGGTAGACTGCCTCTGAACATGATGCTCTGCTACAAGGGTGGGGAAAACTCTTTCATCTCAATGGCCACATTCTCTTCTGGGCAACATTGGCTTGGGGGGGGGTCAGTTACCTGCCAGTGGTGGGCAGGGCCAGAGGCAACAGGTGGGTTTTGCTTTGATAGCGTCCGCTAGTTTTACACTCCCCTGTCACGCCCTTCTTCACAGAGAAAGAGGAGTTGTCAGTCACTGGGTATCATTTATTATAATAGGATGGCATTTTATTCAGAGGCAGTCTACCTGAAGAGTAGCTGTAGAGGACAAAGAGCAGCAGAAAGAGATTTGCCTTTATGGCATCAATTTGGCCTAGATGAGATTTTCAACTTGTGTGCAGATAGGGTCTCACTTGATTGAATGCTCCTTTAAATCAGTAATCATCATCATCTGTGCTCATAGAAGATTAGCTGCTCAAGGAGAAGAGCATCTTCCTGTCGCGCTACTTTTCTATGTGCAGGGATATCTTTTAAGGTGGAAGCCTGCAGTCATTCAAACCCCAGCCTTCAGTCTTAAGTGGTAAGACCCAGGCAGAGTCTCCTCAGTGAGAAGTTGGCCCCAAACTTAAATAGAATTACTTGCAAGTACCAAATTGGCCTAGGATTTAAATATGTGATGTTGTAGAATACTATGGATAAAAGTTAAAATGAAAAGAAAGAAAGGTGTTAATTGGACTAAGTAAATTTTATGTAAAATTAGTTTGGGAAAACTGCTACAATGATTTATATGGAAATTCAGCCAGGGGAAGTCGAAGAAGTCATCTAACAATGTTAACTAAAGTGGAATTTCTATAGTTAGGATATATGTCTGTTTGTTTGTTTGTTTGTTTGTTTGTTCTTTGATGTTTTCTTTTTATGTTTGATGATATGTTTGTTTTAAAATTTGGAAAATTTAATTAAAATTATTTGGGGGGGGGGAAGAGAAGCTGGCCACATTCTGAACATGTGAGTAGTGAAGGTCCTTCTCCTACTTTCTGCTCACAATGCCTGAAATTCAGAGGTAGACTGCATTAGGTCATGCAGGTTCCATTTAGCTCTCATAAACAACAGGCCTCATCTTTCTCCCCTAATTAATATGTCCGTTTTTTTAAGCCACCCAGACTTAATCTTTACTTCCTTGCAGGGCTGTTTATCGTTGCACGCACAAACGTGCCTTCTGCGATCAGGATCTCCCTGGGAGCAAACAAACAAAAAGGCAGGGAAAGAGTTAAATCTTGTTCCGCTCGTGTGGGCGGGGCCGTGCTACGACCTCAGCCAATCGTCTGCGGCCAAGGCAGGAATGCCCCCGCGGGAAAGCTTAGTTGAGCAAGCGGGGAAACACCTCCAGTAGTGCCAGTCGGCTCAGCCAATGGCAGCGCGGCTCCGCAGTGGAGTGATTTCGCGTCACAGCCCAGGCTCTAGGATTACATCATGGGGGCGGGGATTCCCCTCCTCCACGTGGAGAGGAAGGCGAGGAGCTGCCAAAGTCAGAGTTGACGTGGGGGGCGGAGTTAAGGATTTAAAGGAGCCGCTCAGGTTCGGTTCCCCGTTGTTTGTGGACGGAAACGGGAGCTTTGTGTTAAATATCCTGCAGCGCGGGGACTTAACCAGGTGACCAGATTTAAAAGGGGGGAAAACAACAGGCTCTTGCACAACCATGTAAGCCGTACCTGCTGAAATTTCTTCTATTAAGGAAAGAATATTACTAATAAAATAATATTATTTTATGAAATAATATTAAAACGTGCATCAACACTCCCCGTTTCATAGCTGCCTGCCGCCGCGAAGCATAAATCTCCGGGCGTTTTATTTTTTTTACTTTAAGGGGTCTTGCCGGGCACGCAAGAATTCCTCTGCACATGAGCAGAAAGCTTTTCCTTCTCGTATGCCCACTGGGCGGGAGTGGGGTGCCAACTTCTGCACTCTTTCCCCAGCTGCATGGAACAGAGTAAGCCTGTAGGTGAAGGTTTCCCTCACTGCTGCAGCTGCGTGCTAGGAAAAGCAGCACCTGTTGGATTACTGCCTTGCAGAGGGGTGAAGTCAAACCTGCTGCATTGGCAACACCAAAGTGACCTCTCCAGGGCGCAAGCCTGGGCAGGGAGTACAGAGGGCATGGGCCACCCAGACGACAAGACCCCCCACCTCAACCTCGCTGGTGTGGTCCAAAGGAACGCGGAGCAAGACATTTGGTACCAGCTGGGCTTCCGGAGTTGGCGGGAGGAGTGGTGCAAGGCGCCATTCAACTGCCTTAGGGACTCCACTCCGGATCTGTTTATTTTACTAATTTTCTTATCCTGAAGATACCCCGCAAGGAAGCGGGAAGGTTTAGGTCTAGGATCAGCGTTGTCCTTCTCCTAGATGGGCTACTTTCCCAGGTGGAATCCGCTGGAACCTGTCTTCGCACGCAGGGCAAGTCCCTAACTCACCGAGGGTTGGTTAGAGACCCATCGGCTACCGTCACCTGGTTAAGCTGACCAGCGGAAGCCATTCCCAGTGTGGGGCTGTTGTCGCCTGCTGACAGCTTCAGGGAGCCACAGGTGTAGATTTTATTTATATTTTGAATTTCTTTTTAGATGAATTTCTTTTTTTATTGACTTTTATAGATAACTGTAAATGCATAGTTTATGTAAAACACTGAAAGCAGCAGCTAAAATTGAGCTGTTTTGCAAGTTTCAGTGGAAATTAGCTGGTGCTATTGGAGCAGCCAAGAATGTTGCTGCAGTTCCCAAGCGCCCGCAACCAGCTAGCTGCTGGGTGCTTGGAAAGTGCTGCACAATGGATGGGAGGAACTACCTGGCAATCACTGTATGTTATGACATCTGATAATTGACAGGTAGGTTCTCCACCCCAGCTGTAGATTGCAGGCTCCTTGGGGCAGGGGCCTAGCCACACCTTCTTTGTAAAGCTGTTGTGTACACGGATGGCACTACTGCCGTCAATCGCTTTGTTCTCGCTGTGTGTGGAATTTGCAAAACCCATGTTCCTTTCCACAGTTTTCTGCTCTGTCAGAGCAAGTTTCCTCCCAAACAGAAGCTGGCACTGTATTTTACTAGAATGTTGTGGCAGACAAAAGGCCGCAGGAGGCACATGATGCGCTGGAAAGAACAGCAGTAAACAAGGCTACAAAGCCAATAGACAGAAGTCACTGGGCTGGGCAGTCACACTGCAGCTGGTGCTCATGTAGACCAAGGACATCTTCACACCATCCATTTAAAGCACTGCATCTCCACCTTGAGCAGTCCTGCTTTTTGCTAAAGAACTCTAGGAGCTGTAGTTTCTTACAGGTGCAGAGAGTTGTTAGGAGGCCCCTATTCCTCTTATGAAGGGACATGGGTGGCGCTGTGGCCTAAAACCACAGAGCCTCTTGGGCTTGCCGATCAGAAGGTCGGTGGTTTGAATCCCCGCGACAGGGTGAGATCCTGTTGCTCGGTCCCAGCTCCTGCCAACCTAGCAGTTCGAAAGCACCTCAAAGTGCAAGTAGATAAATAGGTACTGCTCAGGCGGGAAGGTAAACGGTGTTTCCGTGCGCTGCTCTGGTTTCAGTGTTCCGTTACGCCAGAAGTGGCTTAGTCATTCTGGCCATATTACCCGGGAAAACTGTCTGCGGACAAACGCCAGCTTCCTCGGCCAGTAAAGCGAGATGAGCGCCACAACCAACCCCAGAGTCGTCTGCAACTGGACTTAACTGTCAGGGGTCCTTTACCTTTTTTATTCCTCTTACAGAGCTACAACTTCCAGAGTTTCCTGTGAAAAGGGTTTGTTAAACCACACTGGGAAATGTAACTATAATTGGGACATTGGGGGGGGGGATACATTTAAAGAATTATGTTACCCCCTTAAACAGCCATGGCCTTCTTCCCAAAGAATTATGGGAGCTGTAGTTTCTGAAGGACGCTGAGAGTTGTTAAGAGACTCCCTATTCTCATCACAGAACCAGTGCTTTTCTTTCTGGGGTCACTCAAGGGTACACAGCACCGGCACTTCTTTTTCTAGAAGGAAAGCACAGCAAAGAAATACAATTCCCAGAGTCTCATAGGAAGAGGGACTTTTTTGCTAAACCACTCATGGGAGAAATAAATGAATAGCAGATTCCGATTCGTCTCCCAGAGCGGCTTAACAGTCAGTTCCTCTTGATAGGAAACTCTGGGATTTAAAAAAAAAAAATGCTTAAAATGTTAGCAGGTTTCATTCAGCTGCTTAACATCAATGAAAAGTGGGCAGCAGAGCAGGCCTTTTGCAATTTAATCGGACATATTTTTCTGCACCACCTACGTTAAGTAACACTCCTGTTTGCAATACTGTACTCCTATCTTCATTCCAATGAGAATTCTTTGAGTACTTTGAAGCAGGAGGGGAGAAATGACCTGGAACCTGGTTGCTCAAGAAGGTGCCTGATTATCTTCTCCTTCCACTACCTCCACCGCCCTGTTTCTTAGCATAAATCTCCCCCCCCAGCCCTGCCCAGCTGCAAATTTGGTCAGTCATGAAAAACTAAACCAAAACTAGCATCCTGGCCCAATTCAGGGTGGGTGCATGGATTTAATTTTATATAGGAAAAAGTATTTTGGACTTTTTAGTTTAAAGACACTTATCTGGAAGGGGAAGGATGTCATCATGATAAGAGGGTTATAAATTTTTGCGTAGTGTGGAAGAGGTATGGAAGAGGATTTTTTCTCACTCTTCCCCCCCCCCCCATGCTTTTAAAACTGTCACCCAGTAAATACTGCTGGTATTTAGGAACACATTCATGTTGGGGGGGGTGGGAGCTTGCCATAAGCATCTGGTTTACCAATGGGAGAAAAGAACAGCGAGCTAGATGAGTCTTTGGCCTGTTCCATCGAGCTCCTTTTTATGTTCAAAGCCAATGGTCTCCAACTTGTGGGTTGAGAACCACTGGTGGGTCACACAGCCTGATGCAAAATAGGTTGCAACAGGAGCACTGCCACCATGCAAATATGCAGCAGGAGATTAAGAATTCGGTCCCCCAAAGCATGTTGGGGTTTAAAAGCGGGTCCTGGGTCTGAAAAGGTTAAAGATACCTGTTCAAAGTTCCAGATGATTTAGATCCTGGGATGCGACTGGGCAACACATTCAATCCATCACCACACGGCCAACATTCACGTCTAGTCGTTATCGCTGTACAGGTTTGCACTAACGGTATTTTATTGGAGTATTTCACATGCAAGAATGAAAGGAGGAAAAAAAATGTACAGAGACCGACGGACAGACAAGAGTTAAGTGACAGCAGGTTAATTAATACATCCTGATGCAAAAACCGTGTAGCAGGTTTTCGCTCACACAAAGAACACCGTCACTAAAAAGGAAAGAGAGAGAGAAGCCAGGATAGTTTTAAAGGCATTTAAAGAATTAATTTTTACATAGCTGTCTTTACATTTTTAAAAAACAATTAATTCCCTTTCCCTGCCCACCAACCTTCTCCCCCAAACAAACAAAACAAACAAATATTTTCAGTAAATAAATATTATCCACTTTTAATCTGGACACGCCTAGAGCTTTTAAAAAAATATACAGATGGAGACACTATGACACAGGTTACGGTGGGGTGATGCTATTGCAACAGTTAGCAGACGTGGGGGGGGGGGAGCTCATTCTAATTTTCTCGGAGGGCAGAGGAACCCCACTGAATAAGGAAGTTCTGTAGAAGCATTTGCTTGCTATGGAGAAATAAGAGCAGGAAACAGAGTGTGGGGTTATATGAGGAACCAGGACCACAAAAGGCCAGGATTGGTGTTTTGTTTGTTTTAAAATCCAAATAGTTAGCAGGTTCCGTCACTGCATGCCTAAGATTCAAAAGGACTGTACAGAAGATTTGGACATTTCTAAACAAGCCACTTCCTGTGAGATTATAAAAGGGTGTTGTGGGATCACAAATTCAGGTGTGGTCCATACTTCTGTAGGTATCAAAGCAGGGTGGAGGCCAAGTGTTCACGCCAGATGCTGGATAATTAAAAGGGCCCAATTCTCGACTGCTATCCTGCAGCTGCCATTCATCCAAGGCCGCCCTGTGTTGATGCTTCTATGGCTGCAGCTATTAACTTTAAAGTCAGTATTTAACACCAGAGGGTTGAGCAAAGAATTGGGTCCATACTTCCTCCATACCTTCTGTGCTCTCCTGAAAGGTCATGAGACCATGTTAAGCTTGTTTTCCAGGCTAAGCCTGAAAAGATGGCTCAAATAAACACCCAAGTTCCTCACTTCTGTTTAAGAATCGGGAACCTGTGGCAACGTCAGGCGTTGCCGGGACTCCCAACAGCCTCAGCCAGTATGGCCAATGGTCAGGGATGATGGGAGTTGTGGTTTAGTGGCAAGCTCACCTATCCACGTGAGACATTTTAAACTGGATTGAGACCGCTTCAACCTACAAAAACCATCGTTTATGATCTGCACCCCCCCTCCTGCAAAAAAAAGAGCCCTGGGAACTGTTGCGTTGGGAGAGTGCCATGAATTGTGCTAAATGCATCTCACCTCTTTGCAGACAGGCATTTCCCAGAGATCATTTGGGCGGGAGACACAAAAACAGAGTCAAAGGTTTAAAGTTTGTGGGGTCAATAGGCCATTAACCAGGGGAATCCCATGCCCTGCACCAGTCCTTCTTATCCTGACAGTAAGTACCAGTAGAATATGCTTTCACCTCTCTTTGATCCTCACAGGGACTGAATCAGACTTTCCCCAGTTTTAGACGACAACTCCCATCAGCCCCAGCCGGTTGGAGGCAACGTAGTTTGAAACATCTGGAAGGTTCCAGGTTGGGAAATGCTAAACCGAATGAAGGTTCGATGCATGCTAGACTGCCAGAAGTGAGCGCTGAGGCAGCTCTGGCGTTCTTTTGTCTGTGCAGGGGGAAAGTGCAATGAAAAGGTTTAAAATATCCCCATATCCTGTGTTGGGGACACTTTCTTCACTGATCTGCCAGCCACCACCCAGATGAAGGGCTGGCAGCGAACTAGAACCCCAGCAACCTTCTTTTACAAAGGAAAAAGTGCTTCCCCATCCCTGGACCCCTCTTGTTCCTCCTCTGCCTGTCCTCACAGGACAGGGATGGGGAGTGACAGGAAAAGACCAGGCACAGCTTCTCCTGCTGTAACAGTAGTGTCAACGGGACGGGTATCTTCTTATCCAGATTACCAAGATGCAGCAGCTACAGAGAGCCATTGCGCTGTGGACAGCAGGCTTGAGGTCTGGGCCAACAGAAGCTGGTAGCAAATGCTCCAGAGAGGCAGGTCTCCGACTAGGGAATGGGAAAGAATGTGGTCTTCTTGCTATGGCTGGAAGCCTCCTTGCCCCCGTTTCATTCTTTCCCATTCTTCCTGGAAGCTGGAAGGTTTCACTGTCTTCCCCCAAAGGCTATGGCCCCATCCACACTATTAGTTTAAAACACAGCCATTCCACTTTAAACAGTCATGGCTTCCCCCCAAGAATCCTGGGAACTGAGGTTTGTTAAGGGTGCTGAGAGGTGTTACGAGACCCCTGATCCCCTCACAAAGCTGCAATTCCCAGTTTGGTTGAACAACCCTTCCTTCTTCCCAGGGAACTCTGGGAATCATAGCTCTGTAAAAATAGGGACCTCCTCTCAGCACCCTGGACAAGCTACACTTCCCAGATTTTTTGAGGGAAGCCATGACTGTTTAAAGTGATATGATACGGCTTTAAATGTATAATGCAGATAGGGACAGAGAGACAGGTGCTGGAGGCCAGTCTTTGGAAACTTTGTGTGCTCCAGATGTTTTGGGCTAAAACTTCCATCAGACCCAGATGGGTGGTGGGAGTTGCAGTACAAAACATCTGGAAGGAACCAGGATGGCGACAACTGCACAGCTGTATGGCCAGGACAATGGCCAAATGGTCACTTTCCATTTCTAAGAAACTTCGTTATAATTTAAAGGTGCTTTCTCCTCCCCAGCACACACGTGGTTATTTAACAATTTCTTCATAGCCTAAGAATTCGTAACAGGTTTTGCTATTGCACCAGTCTTATACAGATTTGAATTCTACACATAACACTTTAAAAGCGGGGGGGAGGGGGGGTTGGTGGTAGAGAAGGAACATGCTATGCACCTCCTCACACATGGAATATATTTTAAACGGAAACAATTCGTTTTCTTCGTTCTGACACCTCAGAACACAGAGGTGTTGATAAAGATGCTGTAGGAGATGTGTTTCTTTAAAAAAAAAAAAAAAGGAACAGGTGAAGGGAGGTAACAATTAAGGTCCCAATCCAGCAGGGATTTTTCTCGTACAAGTTCCCGCTCACTTCAGTGGAGATGATGCCAAGAAACTTCCTACAGGATCAGGCCAAAAATAAATATCCAAAGCCTAAATGAAGGGCCTCATTAGTGTTTGAGCAAGGATCCCAACAATAATTTAGTGTCATTTAGTGATTCCTAACACAGATAAGGGATTTATTTTTTTAATGGATAGTCCCACATTCTTGTGGATTATGCCACCTGGGGTCAAGAGCCTTCCCTCACTTTTGGCCTCTAATACAATAGACAGCCCCTTCTCTCTTCACCCCTATGAATACGGCAATGGTGAAGATGGTTGGATAGCAAGGAAGTAAAACTGAGGGCAGAAAGGCCTGTGGAAATAAGGACAAAGGGATGAAATATATTTAAATTTCAACTTCCCAGTTTGGGCGTCACAAGGAAGCAATGGGAGGTTATTGGGATATGAGACGCTAGGGAAACTCCCAAAATAGCTCTGGCAGGTGTTCGGTGAGTGCTGCAGACCAACCTGGTGCCCCTCCAGATGTTCTGGGAGCTGCAGTCCAAAACCTCTGGAAAGCACCAGGTTGTGGGAAGGCTGTGCTAGGACATAGCCAGAAACCTAAGTTTACTTGCTCCGAGGGCATCTAGCTACAGGCGAAAGAGCTGGGTCGTCGCGGGAACAACCGAGGGCTCTTGAGCCAAGGGACCTTCCTCCTGCAGCAGGAACTGCCCCTGTTGGGGAGCATCTAGGCAGGGTGGAAGCAAAAATGTCCGCATCTCTCTGACACTAATAAGTCATTTCATTTCTCACCAAGCCTAGACTGGATGAGATTCTTCTCCGCTTTGCGAAAACAGCCGGCAATGGCTGCCTGCTTTTCTTCTCCTTGCAACAAATCCACCTCTAAAGGGATCTCGACGCGGCTGGAACAGGGATGGGGAACCTGTGTCCTTCAAGCTGTTGCTGGGAATCCAACTGCCGTAAGCCCCAGCCCTCACACTCAATGATCAGGGATAATGGGAGCTCCAGTTCAGTCACATCTGGAGGGTCACAGGTTCCCCAGTGCTGAGCTACTACAAAGCAATGGAATGGACACAACTGGTTTCTACTCTACGTGCTAGAGACAGAGCCCTGTGCTAGAGACCTGGTCCTCCTTCTTAAAGTAGCCAGGAAGCCAGATCACAGCGTTGGAAGGTCAACATGCAACACACACACACACACACACACACACACACACACACACAAAGGTTACCCAAACATTCTTGCTTAGGAGTAGTGCCACAATATCCACACAAGCAGGTGGAGAAACCACCATCCAACTAGACTAGACATGGGGCCAGACAACTCATCGAACAGCCACGTCCAAAACAGGGCTTCCGGTTGCATGAGCTTTTAAAAGCATACATCTGCTGAGCGGACGGTGCAAGAGGTAGCAGAATGGGGCAGTATCATTTCAGACTGCGGCTGTTAGAGGGCCCTTTTTGAATACTCCTCCTTGTAAACATTCATAGCAAATAGAGACCTAACACTGTAACAAGTAAAGATTCCAGCACGCTCCTTTGCCTGCTGCGCTGGCTTTTGATTTGTACGGAATATTTAAAACGCGGAAGTGGTGCAGCCCACTCAGCTACCATAGGTCTCTACCACATCACTCTGCTGCATGGGGGTGGACCAAGTCAAACATCAAGACTAGGACCTGGGATCAAAACAGCAGAACTAACTGCAAGGCAGGAGGTCGAACCATATATGACAGACAGTTCCACCACAAAGCAGAACGAAACTCCCATGGTTTGATTGAATCTTGCACAAATACGTGATGTGTTCCTAGGGAGGGGGCAGTTGCTACTTTCCTCCTGGATAGACCCTACATTATACCCTTGGACAGGTTGAAACCACACACTAAATTGTCAGTGGATCGCGTGGGGTGCTCCCATCTCAGAGCACCTCTCTCTGCCAGGCAAAACATCCATACAGGTTCATCACCCCAAGTTACCAGTCGTATGGAGGCCCAGGAAGTGGCAGTCGCGCTGGACCAGCAAAGCAACAGCAAGCAAGATCAACTCCTATACTAAAAGGGTCACTTCTACCTTCTCTAACTCCACTTGGCAGGGGATTTGTTGGGAGGCCAGAGAAGCCAAAGACAAGTACCCTGTCGAGAATTTGGCACAGCCTGGAAATCCTGACAGCAACTTCAGGGGTGCTAGCGGAGGCAGAGGGGCACGCAGACAAGACGGGGAAAGCCATCACTTAGAACGCAGCAGCCGATGTGCCAACAAGGGTCGTCATTCCAGACTATGCACCACACGGTCTCTTGCTACTCATTGAAGCTTCTCCATTCAAAATTTAAAGTGCACCTTCCTTGCAATGCGCACAGCAGCCCAGCTGTGGCCGGATCATACTTCTAGGATTCTCAGTGACACCTCTGCTTTCTGAAGCTCTGTGGCAAGGACAGAGGATCTATTCTAAACCTGTCTCCGCGTCCGTGCGTGTGTGCGTCTCACATACACCCATGCAAAGCAGGCCTTTGGTATGTGTGTGCCAGGAGTCCACCTGGCAAACACAGACACTACTTTAAAGACTGCCCATTTTGGGGGAGGGGGGAGGGGAGCTTCTTCTTCCTTGTAGAGACACTGTACCCGCTAAGAAACACGGCCTACCTATCAGAGCCAGGTCACAATCCTCACTGCAGTTGACCACCTTAGGGCAGAAAGCCAAACAAACATCCCACAAAAAAGATCCACAACCTAGCTGGGGAGGGGGAACAGGCAACGCATGGCACCAAATTCTGGGCCTGGAGCAAGACGATAAATTGATTTTGTGTTCAACCTATGGGAAGGCTACGCCGGTTCTTGAGAAACAGGCACCTAAACACACTTATCCACTATCAGAGATGCACCAAGGATGTTGCACTTTGGACTGGCTTGTGGGAGAAAGGAGGTTTTGGCTTAAATCAAAGACAAGACTGCCCTCTGCACAACTCTGTTCTGGGTCTGCCAGGATTGCGGGGAGGTGAGATGAGAAAGAATTCATGCATTATTATTATTATTAAAAAAGAGAGAGGGTCTTGGTATTGACCTGGGTGGGTGGGTGGGTGGGTGGGTGGGTGCGAGAGAGAAGGAGCTTAGCGAGTGGCCAAGGACAGCCACAGAAGTGACAAGGCTGGATGTAAATACTCTGTGAAATGTTAGCTTATTCGGGCTGGATCGCTTCCAAGAGGTACGAGAGGCCATCTATGGAACCCAGGAGGGGCAAAGGGAGCTCGTCGCTAGCTGGAGAGCACGAGGAGGCCGCTGGACTGCGCGGTTGCCTTCCTCCACACACGCACACGAGGAAGAAGAGCCGAGGAAGGAGCGTCACAGGGCAAAGAGGGCATCTTCCGAGCGCTCCGGCTTCTTTTTACTTGGGGGGTTTGCCGTCGTCGGTGGCGTGGGCTCCTCCTGAGGTGGCGAGGGCAGGTTGGGGATCCTTTCAGCAGCTTTGGCGCGCTCCTCTAGGAATTTGTCAAACTCTGCAGGATTTTTAAACATAATAAAGAGTTTATGTTGCGATTTAGGGCTAAAGGAACTTTGCCACAAGCTATGGCACGAGGATGCCTGCGGGGGCTATGCAGCTCTGCAAAACTGCCCCCCCTTGCAAAAGGGCCTCTTGCGGCAGATGCCCTAAAGCAGAAATGGAGAACCTCAGGCCTTGGGGGGACCAAAGGCTCTCTATCGGGCCCTCAGAACTCTCCCTGACCTCCCAAGCCTCAGCCATGTTTCCTTGAATTCTGATTATGCTTCCTGCTTGCCTGAATGGAGGACAGAAAGGGGTGTGCATGTATGTATGAAATGAATCTACTGGGAAAAGGTCACTTTCACATTCTTTGCTCTACCCACTTTTACCTCTGCCCATGCCCACCACTGCTGTCACCCAGAAGGGCATGTGGCCCTCAGGCTGCCCCAAAACATCCCTGGCCAACCTGGTGCTCTCCAGATGTTCTGCACTACAGTTTCCATCAGTCCCAGCCAGCACAGCATGATGGGAGTGTTAAAACTCCGAAGCCTGTGAACACTTTCTGAAGTCCTTTTGCATGCTACTAGGACCAGTCTCTTCAACTCTGAACTTCTTCAATGATGCACCACTTAGCAGAGTAGGGCAGCTTTTCCTAGGCAACGATCGAGATTGCTCAGTCAAGATGACGATCAGCAACAAAGCTGACGACTAGTAACTTGATTTTGTAGTTTAATATATACGGCAGCAAACTCACAAGCTATATACAAGTTACTATATACAGACACGAACGTCATCACTCTCCAAGCACTCCAGAATACTCCTAACTAGCCAAACAATGTCATAGGTCATGCTGCCTATATGAGAGACCTCAGCCAATCACCGAGCTATTACTCCAGGCAAATTTCTCCCATGCTGTCTCCCTAGCCTGTAGTCAAAACACTAACTGCTCACTTGCCAAGCTGCACGTGGACTATGAACTCCAACAGGGAGTTGCTAGTCCAAAATACCTGGAGGGCACCAGGGTAGCCAGGGATACCTAAAAAAAGGTGGGGTGTGATCCACTGTTCCCTTGTCAGAAATCAGAGCCCATTGGCTCTCTGCAAGAAGGGCTTGATTGAACTCCAAGGGATGATTGCCCTGATAATGGCTTCTAAGAAAGACCGCTTGTGCACACACACAAACAAACACAAAACAGTATGCTCTTATGCATCCTGGTCTGTGTGTTCTCTGCCTCAAATAAAATTCTGCCCCCAACTTATTGGCATCAACCTGTCTCGAGAGACAATGAAGTGCACCTCTGGGGGTGAAGTCAAACTGCAGAAGAATCACAGCGCCTGCTGTGGCTGCAGAGACCAGTAACTCGTATCTGCTGACTCCTACACTGTTTTTGCTGCATCAGCAGCACCAAAGTGACCGCCCCAGGGCGCAAGGTCCTGGGTTGCTGATGTGGTCCTCTTGGCCTTGCTGATGTGGTCCAAAGGAAAGCAGAGCAGTACATCTGGCTCCGCACTGGCTGCAGGAGTTAACGGAAGAAGGCATACGAGATGCCATTCAACTGCCTTAGGCACTCCACTCCCTAATTGTGTAGGGTTTACTCCTTAGCCTTTTCTTCTCTCGAAGATATCTTCCAAGGCAGTAGGCATGGATTTTTTTTCTTGGGGTTTCTCACGAATGAGTATAGCCGCAAGGCAGTGGAGGCGTAGGATCAAAGTTTTCCTTCTCCTAGACAGGCTTCCTTCCCAGGCTGACGAGCCCCATCTGCCCCCAAAGCTGAATACTGCAGAAAGTATTAAATGTCTCCCATTTTGCATAACTTTTAGGGAGCGGCAAGGAAATATGCAGGGCACTACAGGCCCTCCCTCCTGCCGACGCCAGGTATCTCACATGGCCACGTTTTTTGGAGAACAGGAAGCTGCTCGCTCTCTGCACTTTTCAGAAACCATTTAAGACATATTTGTCCCGACAAGTTTTCCCAGCTGAATCAATCGACCTCTGCCATGGATGTCAACTTCGTATTTGTTAAAAAAAACTTTTTTTGCTTATTTTTCATTCTGTTATACACTGTTTCTTAAAACAACTAAGAAGTATTTGTTCTTTTAAAGACCATCCTGCCTGCCACATTCTGAACTTTTTTCCTGCGCTCCCAAGGTATCACAACACACAGAGTCCTGCAGGTGGCTTTCTGCCTTACAAGAATTTTACTTGAGTTTGTGTGTGTGTTTTCCCCCTCCCGCATGCTTGCTTGTTTACCTTCACTCGTCACTCCTTCTTCCAGTTCGTCTCCTTTCTGCAGTTGGAATGAAAGTGGGGGTGGGGAAGAGAAAAGAAGTATCAGCACATGCTCAGAAAGTCCCTGCGTAGTTCATACCTCTAAGGTGCTTCCAGCACTGGAACGGAGCAATCAAAATAACCAGGTGCACCATTAAAGTCAGTTGATGGCATGTACACAGCTAGTGTGATGTACACATCTTAAAACTAGACCAACCAATATTCCTTCTCTGAAAGGAACAAGTACAATTGTGCCACGGGCAGTGGCTGTCTCCACTATCTTGTCCTTTTCATCAGAGGAGAGGAGGAGGAGAACAGGCCTTTTCCAACTCAAGTCAGGGTCACATCAAAACAGGGACCCCAAATAACCATTTTTCTTACACCTCCACTAAAAGGGGGGCCATGGATGGACTACTACAGGAATGCAAGCAAGTTCTTCATCACACGGGCAAGCCAAGAAGTCGTTAAGAAACACTTGCTGGACAGGTGACTCCCCAACCCACCGCCACCCCAGCCCGAGGTCTGGAATAAAAATCAATTATAGGAAAAATGATTGGATGTAAAAAGTTGGAATAGAATCCACAGTGTGCCCCTGAGCAGTGGGTTGAAAGCCTTCATGCACAAAACGGCAAGCAGTTTCACAAGCAAAATTAAAGGCTGGAGCAGCCGTAGGTCTTCTGTCCTCTTTTGCATTTATCAGGCATGTGATCTGCAGGGAGAGCCCTCCTGATCATACCATGGTCTACTAAGGTTTGGTTTTCCCATTTTCTGGAACTAGCTTCCTATGCAGATTAGGCAATCCTCAGTGATGGGATGCTTTTGCAGACAGCTGAAGACCTTGATGTTTGCCCTGGAATCTCCTGACTGCTGACACTGAGGATTTTGCTTTGTTTGTTGTTGTTTTATACAGCTACTGTGTTTGCTGTAATTATGTGTAATGACTATTTGGATGGCTCAATTGTTGTTATTTATTGATTTGTTTTCATGTAAAAATTGTGAACTGCTTTATAAACGAAAAGCAGTATAGAAGGGATTTAAAAAACAATTAAGTTCTTCTCATTTATTTTTAAAAGCTGCGTCTTCATTTGCTGCATTCCGCCACCCCAAAGGAGACGGTTCCAGGAATTTGGGTGAGGGGGAAAGGGAGGTATCATAGGGTCCATCCACACCCCGGCTTAATGTGGCTTATGAATCCCTGGTTCCTCTTTTAATTTCCCCTTGTCCATGTGGTGTTCTCCCAACTACTGCTGTCCCAAACTTTCTCCTCCCTCAGCTTGGAGATTCCTGATGCTTTGAACATCCAAACAGAGCTACATCTTGAGGGCTGGCTCAAGACATTTTGCTGCCTGAGCTGAGGGACAGGATGGTGCCCTCCCACAAGGAACATACAGAAGCCACTTGGGCTGGCAGTTGAATCTTACTCCAGTGCTGATAAAAGTGTCTTCCATGGCACTTGAGGGCAGCAGGCTAGCCTAGAGGTGAACAGGGCAGCTGATGCAGCTGCCTCACTCTGCCTCACCGTAGGGCCGGCCCTGCATGATCATTTGGAGCACAGTGGACCTACTGCCTGGTGGCGTCTCAGCAGCAGCCAGGGCAGTCCCACCTCCAGCTCCAGCATTTCGCCCCACATGCAAAAACTCGGGCGCACCTCCCTGCCTTTCTTTGGTCAGCTCGGGACTCTACATTCAGAGCAACCACTGCTAATAGTAACAATTCAATGGCAAAAAGCCTTAATAAAATATTACAAATAAATTAAAAAAACACACATGGAAAGCCATTGCTTTGCCCTCTAGATGTTCTGGGTGACAACTCCCATCATCCTTGATTATTGGCTATGGTAGCTGGGGCTGAAGGTAGTTGTAGCCCAAAACATCTGGGAGGGACCATATTTTGCTCTGTTTATTTTCCATATGCAGATCTAAAGATATATATATACCACCCTCCAAACACACATTCGAATTAGAGAGCCATTCTACGAATTAAACAGGTGGGCAGGGGAGGTTAAGCAGATTCTGGGATATACCGTATTTTTTGCTCTATAAGACTCACTTTTTCCCTCCTAAAAAGTAAGGGGAAATGTGCGTGTGTCTTATGGAGCGAATGCAGGCTGTGAGGCTATCCCAGAAGCCAGAACAGCAAGAGGGATCGCTGCTTTCGCTGCGCAGCGATCCCTCTTGCTGTTCCGGCTTCTGGGATTCAGAATATTTTTTTCCTTGTTTTCCTTCTCCAAAAACTAGGTGCGTCTTATGGTCTGATGCATCTTATAGAGCAAAAAATATGGGTACCACTTGAGAGAGGGGGGTGCATGAGCGAGAGAGAGAGTTCTCATTAGGTAAACTAGTATGTTTGAAAGAGGGCTCAGTTAAAATCCCTCCCCTCCCTGCTGATGGGCTACTTACTTGCATAGCAGCAGGGAGGGAGGGAATGAATAAATATGATCCCTGCACACACCTCTGACTTTCCTCCCCTACCTCAGCCTATGGCCTTGCGCTGCATCTCCTGGAACTGGAGATGGACCTTCTATGCATGCAGCAGAATGGACTGCACAGCATGTCAGGCAAATAAACATGTTTTTACAGTTTTCAGCTGTAATACTATAAGGGAATATGAAAAATGGATTATTAATAGGTAAAAATTTAACGTTATAATATTTTAAGATTAAAGACTAGGATAAACAAAGAGGGTAAGGATTTGCTGAACCAACAAACTGAATTGGAATACAGAAAAGGGAGGCGTGAGGAGGTCCGGGAAACAAGCTAATGAAAAATAAGTAATGGAAAGATTGAGTTGTTTTTAACCATTTTTATTTTGTACTTTTTTCTTTTTCTGTTTTTATTTTGTAACATTTTGAAAATCTCAATAAATATCTTATTAAAAAAAATAAAAACATGATTGCTGAATGCCCCTCAAAGAGAAGCAAAACAAAACCTCAAGTAGAAACTAGCACACCACAGAGAAAGGCTGCAGCCTAGCCCTCTCCCTGTTGTGATAGGCTTGCTCCTTATAAGGTGGGTATTTTGGCTACTTTTGGGATCTTCCTTTTCCCCCCCAGCACAGAGGAGGCTATTGATGCTCATGGCTCTTCACCTTTAGAGATACAGTCCCTTCTACCGTTTCATTCATGGGGATGGTCTGGTCTACTTACATTGCAGAATAAAGTGGGAATAAGATTCTAGTATATCTGAAGGAGTGTTTCTACCCCCATCGTTCTGCCCGGACACTGAGGTCCAGCTCCAAGGGCCTTCTGGTGGTTCCCTCACTGTGAGAAGCCAAGTTACAGGGAACCAGGCAGAGGGCCTTCTCGGTAGTGGCACCCGCCCTGTGGAACGCCCTCCCACCAGATGTCAAAGAGAAGAACAACTACCAGGCTTTTAAAAGACATCTGAAGGCAGCCCTGTTTAGGGAAGCTTTTAATGTCTGTTGCATTACTGTATTTTAATGTTTTGTTGGAAGCTGCCCAGAGTAAATGGGGAGGCCCAGCCAGATGGGTGGGTTATAAATTATTATTATTATTATTATTATTATTATTATTATTATTATTATTATTGTAGGAGGGAGTGTTCATGTGTAAATATGCACCTGCAGTTCCCTGCAGGATTGGGAACAAAACGTCGCAAGCTGGAGCGCTCTTGTTCAGAATGCAAGCCAGCCAGCCAGTCGTGCCCTTTTCCAGAACACTCCATTCCATGTCCTCCCCCTCTGCCTGCTTTCCCCTTCGCCTCCCCATCAGCAGCCAGCCATCATTCCTGTGTTCTATCCAAATACTTAGCATAAACCCATGGAAATTAATGAACCTGTTAGTAGAGTCCATTATTTTCAGTGGGTCTACTCTGAGTAGCAATGGATATAACCCTTAGACTTCATGGGTCTGCTTGCATCCTGCCTCCTTAGGTATTTCCTCTTGATTCTCTCCCCACCCCCAGCCCATATTTCTACTAATCTTTAGGTTTCCCAAGCTTGCTAACGCCTCCATCTTGCATGTGGATGAAGCCTGGAGGAGGGAAACTTGAAGAACTCTCTCTCTCTCTCTCTCTCTCTCTCTCTCTCTGTGTGTGTGTGTGTAAAGAATGCTATGTTCTAGGTAGAAAAACAGCACACCAGGAACTGGGCTGGCTGAGCTACAACTGTGTGTGTGAGAGAGATACACAAATGTTTGAGAGAAGCATTCAACAGTGGCATTCCCTCACAATCTGAGGGCGTGTCCATACCTGGCTTAATGTGGACTGTGAACTGCTAATTTAATTCCTCCTCTTCCATTCTCCTCCAACTACTGCTGTCCCACCCACAGTTTCTCCTCCCTAAATCTCAAGATTCCCTATGCTATGAAAATACAAATTGGGAGAGCTACATGAATTTAAGGAGAAGTGTGGGGCAGCGGCAGTTGGAGGAGAATGCCTGCACAGACGAGGAGGAATTAAAGGAGGCACCAGGGGTTCACAAGCCACATGAAGCTGAGGTGTGGATGGCATACCCTCCAATATTTCTCCCTTGAAAACAGGGACATCCTATTCCATAATAATAATAAGAATTTTATTATTTATACCCCCTCCAAACACACAATCTGACAGGGTTGCCCCAGCCACTCTAGGTGGCTTCTAAAACATAAAAACATAATAAAACATGAAAGAGCCAGTGTGGTATAGTGGTTAAGAGTGGTAGACTCGTAATCTGGTGAATTGGGTTTGTGTCTCCGCTCCTCCACATGCAGCTGCTGGGTGACCTTGGGCTAGTCACACTCTCTCAGCCCCACTCACCTCACAGAGTGTTTGTTGTGGGGGAGGAAGGGAAAGGAGAATGTTAGCCGCATTGAGACTCCTTCGGGTAGTGATAAAGCGGGATATCAAATCCAAACTCTTCTTCTTCTCTTGAAACATTTTTTAAAAAAATCCTATACAGGGCTGCCTTCAGATATCTTTCTAAAGGTTGCATAGTTACTTATCTCCTTGGCTCGGGGGGTCACATAATTACATGCTCTCCAACATTTATTTGATGAAAATAGGGATGTCCTAAGGAAAAGCGGGACATTCCGGGATCAAATCAGAAACCGGGTCGGCTTCTGTAAACCGGGGACTGTCCCTGGAAAATAGGGGCGCTTGGATGGGCCATGGAATAAAATCCCTCAGCGCCAATACGACCACAGCTGCTCACAGACAGCGTTGCTTTTTTCCACTGAGAGGAGTGATGTGCGCAGCCTCTTATGCAGAAACATATCAAAGGAAATAAAAAAAAAGTAGCAAAACAAAAGAAGAGAGTCTTACCACGTCGGTACTGAGCCATTCCTCAATGTCATCCATGACAGAGGACTGTGTGACGGGAATCTAGGGAGTGCAGCAAAGAGATAGAGCGAGGCAGGCAAAAAATAAAACAAGGACACAACACATCCACAATCATGGCCACAGAATGAGAGGGAAAGAGGAAAGGGAAAAAAAGAGGGTTGGGGGTTGGAGAAAAAAAACATACGCTGTGTGAGATGTATCACCGCTGTGAAGAATTGCAATACAACAACAACAACAACACCACAAATAAAGCAACGAGCGAAGCAAGAAAACATCTCGGCAAACAAAAAAGGTTGCGTTGAGTGAAATGGCCGGGGTCTGGCTGTGTATCTGAGGGGAAGGGCCAGCATGGCTTTGAGTTTGAAGGACCTGGTTCTCTTAAGGCTGGAATATTAGATACGGCTGGATAGGAGGTGAAATCCAAAACATGAAAGAAAGAGGTATCCGTGACATGCCCAATTGCTCACCGCAAGGGATCAAGAAATGGAGACGGGAGAAATGAGTTGCACCAATGACAGAGGGAGCCTGATTTGCAGGTGCAAGGCTTGGGTCTGGTTCAGAAGCAACATGAAAACGTGGCTTAGCATTACGGGGATGAGGTTTGCACACTCCTTCCTCCGTGCATGGAAGGAGGCGGCCGGCAATTTCTTCTGCAGAACTAAGCCTCCGCTCGTTGCTGAGAATTTGCCTTGCGTGCAGAAGGCTGCAGGTTCAGTTCCCAGAATTTCCAGGTAGGGCTAGGAAAGACTCCTGCCTGAAGCCCCAGAGAGCTTCTGCCGGTTACAAGTGGGCTAGTATCTTGATAGAAATGTGTTTTGTTTAAAAGGCTGGGATAAGAGGGGAAATGGCAAATTTGCTGGTCTTCCAAAATTTCCAAATCGGGGATAGTAATGGACAGATCTTTTTAGAAACGAATGCCTGGGGCTTCATTGGCAAGATGGTCCATCTGAGGAAGGGGCATAGGGTGGAGGAGAGAAGAGACAAGAATAGCAATAGCACTCTCCCCCCCCCCAGCTTTTGAAATGCATTAGGTCCAATATTCAAGCCTTATAGAGACAGGCATTACTGGAATCTCTTATGAATCCCAGTGGGGGAATAGGAGAAGCAGGCGTGAGGTGAGGAGCTAAAATAGATGGAGGAATCCACCAACATTTCTTAGCTCAGCTGAGCCTTTACTTAACACTGTCCCTTAGTTGGATTTTTTTATATTTAATGCTACTAAACTTAACTATGGGTCCAAGTGTTTTTGTGGTATTCATATTGCTGAAGTAGTATTTTTCTGCATAAGCAAAGGCTCCTAGTGCTATATTGCACTAGGATGGAAAGCTAGAACTGAAAGCTATGGGCGTACCTCTGCTAGTCATTGTGTCCATGTTTGCAAATGTCCCAGAGGGATGATTCAGGCTGCAATCCCACACCAAATGACCTGGAAGTAAGCCCCGTCGAATTCAATGGGGCTTACGTCTGAGTCAACATGGGTAGGACTGCAGGCACCAGCGTCACACTTCCTGGTGCTATCCCTGACCTGCAATGGAGGAGAATGCACTGCCATTTTCGCACTGGGGCTGCCATTAGACATTGGGCGGCTAGGATTTTTTCCAGCTCTGATTTGGAGAGGAATAAACCACTTAGAAACCAGTTTGGCATATAAGCTGCCGAATAATAATGCTAATAATATGTGAATTGAGTAAATCCATAGAGGACAATAACAGATTTTTAAAAAAATATCCAAAGGGGTTCTTTTAGACAAGTGGACTTCCAACTTTGCACCTTTTCCATGGAAAAGGCTATAACTCTGTGGCTGAGAGCATAGGTTCAATCCTTGCATCTCCAGTAGGGCTGAGAATGGTCCCTGCTTGAGACCCTGAGAGCCACTGCCACTCACAGTAAACAATGCTGAGCTAGACTGGTGAAGCCCATGTTCTATGCAGACAAGAAACCTCCGCATTTCTCTCACAGAACTTCTGTGGGCTACAAAGGATTCTGGTGTCCTATGTTCCAGGGTGCATAGGCAGCTCAAACAGAACAGTGCCCAGGCCTCTGGAGTGTCCTGGTCACCCTGTAGGACCTCACAAGTATTCACCAAAATCTACTCAAATCTTTTTTGTGGCTGAACATTGCAGGGAAAATGGGAAAAGCTGGTCTTTAGGAATAATGGGGATCCCCAAAAAACCTCACAGCTTTGAAAACAGCTGCTTGAGATCACTAGAGTCAGACTGGATAAGCTGTCAGCTTCAACATGGACCCAATGAAGAATAAGTTATGAACCCCAGAGAAGATGATCGATAACTCCCAAACATTTAAGGGCCAAAGGTTTCCTGCGTTTCCATTTCAGATTAGCCATCCTCTTCACTGTAACACTTGAAAGGCACTTTAGTTTCAAAATATGCAGTAGCCGAGCATGTGATGTTTCATCATGCAACCCAACACTTCTCTTTAAGAGAACCATGAAACAAGGCTCTGTGAATTCCACCACTCAGGAGTAGAACCGTGGCCATTTAAAAAGCAAAGCATGCAAGCTTCTAGTCCTTGAGAATAAAGAGAAGACACCATAGAGCCCAGGCCTCTCTGGTGAAATTTCCTGGGCTTGGGAGTGGAGATGTGCTCTGCCAGGTGGAATTTGCTTCTGTAAGATGTGGCAAGGGCTGCTAACTTAAGATGGCTTTGGAAAAGGAGGACAGGGCTATGGCTATGGTTTACCTCAACTGTCAGAGGTAGGATGCCTCTGAAAACCATTTGCTAGGTAGGAATCACAAGTGGGGAGAGCGCTGATGTGCTCAGGTCCTGCTGATGTGCTTGCCAGAGGCATCTGTAAGAGCAGGATGCAGGACTAGACGGGTTATTGGTGTGATCCAGGAGTGTGATCCGGCTGCCAGTGTGACTAGCAGCAGCAGCTGCAGAACTACATGAAATATGGCAAGTACCCAAAATTAATTTTGTCTGTTTGCACAATTCATCCAGGTTGCAGGTTCCAGCTTTTCCTGATGCACTTCAAAAGCAGCATCTTCATTTGGCTCCGACAACTGGCATGACCTGAAGAGGGAAGTTCTAGAAAGCATTGCACTGATATGCTGATATTGACCTACATTGGGCCAGCAAGCAACAGCTCATAAGACAGTGCCAGCCTCACCTTAAGGCTGTGCAAAAAGTAATCAAGTGGGAGTAAGTAGGAGAAAAAGAGATTGCAAGCCCAGCTTGCGCAATATAAATAACATGCATACATAGCATACTGATTTGGTTACAAGCCTGACACTCTCCTCATCCTTCCAACAGGTTGTATCATTCCCTCTAAAGTTTTTAAAAACATTCATTCACTGTCATTTTAATCGACAGCTACTTTAAAGGAATTCCAAACCTGGTCCAGATATAGGGAGGTGGGTATGAGACACCACGAGTGTCAGCTACTCAGTGCTGTGCAGAGTTGGCTTGCATTGCAAACTCAAATGACTGGCATTTCTCCAAGCTCAACCCTGGAAAGGGAACAATTTGTCTCGAACGAAATGTGGCAAGGGCACTCCCACCACTTTAATAATGCTATTGTCCTGTGCAGATCTGGGGTTGCAGAACAGGGTCATGACGCAGTATCAGGTATTTGCTGGTCGTAACCATGGCTTGCCAATTCAGACATCATGCCAAGCCGTTGTTGACACAATGGTTTTGGATTCCGGCTCCATGGCCAAGTGCAAGCCATGGTGTGCCAGTTCAGATCTCACAGCAAACTATGCTTAAGCTTTCCAACATCTGGTTTGCGATGAGGTCCATAATGAACCACCATATGGGATAAAACCAGGGACGTGAATTCTAGTATAGTTTGGTGGAATGAAATGACACCAAAAACTGAAGTTTACAAAGGTGAGGGGAATGCATTCTTTTTAATTTCTTTGGCAAAGTCTGATTTTAGAAGAGGGTATTTTGAGCAACATTTCTGGCCCGAGACAATATTAAAATAAAAACTTTTTTGTTTTACCTCAGCAGAAAACCATGCCATACTTGAGTAGAACCATCTGTACTAGGCCACTTGTAACTCCTGCAGTTTGTCAGTTCTGTTACGTACTCTATTAATGGACACAGTTAAGAGCTACCACTAATTCAGACAGAAAACTGGGTTACGGATTAGTTAAATTCTAAAGGGATGCCAAATACATCCGTATTAAAAACAAACAAGGTTAAAATGCCCTGTAAGGGGGAATAAACCAGTCCCCTACAGTTGTTATGGCCGACACAAAGGCTGCAGTATCCTTTTCCCCAAAGTGAACAAACACAAGCCAGCAGCAAATATGGGCAGGGCAGGAGGAAGACTTTTGTACTCTCCCCCCATCAATTTTAAATAGAGCAGAGAAAGCGAAAGAAACATACTCTGGGCTTCTCTGACCCTTGGGAACAGCACCCAAGCAGAACCAAATTGTAGGATGAGTGACAATAGGGGAGAGTTGGAAAACAGACTCCCTAAACACACCTGATGTTTGTAAGAGAAGGAATGAGGCATGGAATTGCTCTCTGCTTCCTTCTTCTGCATCTTCCCATGCACCCACCCATCTCCCTGGACAGGAAAAGGGAAGCACTGTCGCCTTTTGAGAATAGAAGAGAATCGAATCCTAGAATTGGAAGGACCACAACCTGCAATGCAGGAATCTTTGGCCCAATGTGGAGCTTGAACCCGCAACCCTCAGTTTAAGAGTCTCATACTCTACTGACTGAGCTATCCCAGAGGCATCAGGATACAGAGGGTTGCACATACCCTCTTTGAATGGCTGAATTTGTCAATTTTGGTTTCACTCAGTTTATCATCTTTAAGATCTTAAGTTCAGCTCTCCACATTACCACACCAGTTTGTAATTCGTTAAAAGCCCTCATTGGAATTCACCAGCTTGTTTGTGCAAACAGCTCCTGCGCTCACTTTTTTTTTTTGCAAAGCACTGTTGCCTAATATAATGCAGTTTTTTTCCCATGTTATTATGACAAATACATCCATTTTTTATGGACACTTTACCACATTTTTGCTGCATTTTTGCACACATTACCTGGCTGGAGAACTGCGTTGTGCAATTCGGAAAAGTGCAAATTTGGAAGGACGGCTGCGTTTTGCTTTGTGCATTTGTTTCGAAAAGTATAAATTAGGCTTTGCCTTTAAATGTTAACTGAATCTAGTTTCTCCCCTCATTCCTAAGTTGTTCACCAACAGTGATTGTTCTCCTCTCCTTGGGAAGGCAGCAAAAGCTTCTGGAACACTGTGATACTCTGTTTTGCCTCTCAGTTGGTTGCACTCCCCTGCCCTCAATCCTACTCAGCCCCACGTTTTATCTCTTGCAAGGCAGCTGAGTTGCAACTCTAAGGAAAGGGAACTCTAAAGCAGAGATGAAGAACCCATGGCTCTCTAGATGTTGCAAGAATACAAATCCCTGACCACTCGCTTCACTGCTTGGGACTGATGGGAGCTGTAGTCCAAACGCCCTCCCCGCACTCTAGAGTTACAGCTTGGCACCCTTTGCTTCTTACTCCTCAGTTCAGGGCACATTAAACATAAGCGAGGGTGCAAGGTCCTTCAAAGCTTTTCCTGCTTGGCTCCCATTGTGGCACCGGGACTGCAGAGCTGAAGGAAAACACACATTTGGCCTCTGCCAGGATGGGTCAAGGGCGCTGTCTTCACTATATTAAACTGTCACCCTGCTTGGATACTTTGCTCCCAGGGTGCCATGTTTTCCGAGGAGCTAAGGGGGATTATGGAAGTATATTCCAAGTCCCCATGGACGTAAGGCATTCTGCCTAAAGACTACATTTAGCCTTAGCTAGTAATATGCTTTCACCAAGAGAAAAATCACCTGAGGGGTATATCTACACTAGAATGGCTATATAAGACTTTGACTGTCAAAGCTCCACCCCATCACAGCCCAAGAACTCTGGGAATTGTAGTGCAGCAAGGGTGCTGGTGCGCAGAGCTAAGTCCCCCTCAGACAACTACAGTTCCCAAGTTTCCCTGGGGAGAGGAAATGGCTCAACCATCAGTTCCCAGATGCAGCACAGCATAGAAGCTCTGCTCTCTGCTTTTCAATGAGGCCTTTGGGTGATTAATATTCTACAGACTTTTAAATGGTTTTTTTGGGGGGGGGCTATTGTTTTGTTGTTTTTTGTTTTAACTATTTGTGATTTTATCTTGTGTTTTTCATCTTGCGAACCACCCTGAGATCTTTGGATGAAGGGTGGCATATAAATCTAACAAATTTATAATAAATTAAAAAAAATAATAAGAGGATGCCCCAACAACAGATTTGCATTTATGTTCAGCCATATTTAGTGCAGCAGATACACTCCCCTGTTTTGCAGGAAACCCACTTGGAAGCCTCTTGCAAAACAATACAACCTTTCTGTTTCCGCTGCTCCAGAACTCTTGCCGAGAGTAAATTCAGGGAAGTGTTGAACAGTGTAATATGATCTGAGCTTCTGGTCATACTGCTTAGTGCTGCAGGGGCAGGCTATTAAATTTATTTTATTTTATTTTTTGCGAAACGAAGACAAACCCTCCCCATTTTAATGAGCAGAACTTGTGTTTTGGAGGAAATGTGGATACTGCACATATATATTTCTCTCTTTTTAAAATTGGATCAGTGAAAGGAACTGGAGAGGTCCATGTGAGTTTTGGAAACAAACATGGTAACATACATGTTTCTTCGCTGCCACACATCCCTGTTGAAAAATATCTATCCCCAGGTCTCCTAACCCTGGCCAGTGGTCCCAATTCCCCACCCCTTCACAGGTGGGGACCACCTCCTTGCACTGTCCAATTTGCGTTCTTTCAACAGGATGAGTGACAGGTAAACAGAGGATGGTTATGCTATTTAGAGGAGGAGATGGGGGTGAGGACAACAAGGGGGTGGGGCGTCACTCGACTGGCAAAATCCTCCTCACCATTCCTTGCGTCATTAGCCACTTGTCTATGGGCTCCATGTCTGAACTGCCACTTTTACCTCTCCTCTGTGTTGAGAACAGAAATTCCCATTAAAAAGTCAAAAGGTGTGTTGGGGGTGGGGGGACACAGGAAGACGGCAAAGCAACAGCGAGATGGAGAGATTACAACATTTCCTAAAGACGAGCCCATGACCTCCAGGCTTCAGATACCACTTCACCCATCCCAGGTCTGTAAATTATTACTCACCTGTGGCAAGTAAAAACAAAAACCAACAACCCGAACCAAACCAACTTTCAGATCTTCAAACGGAAAATTTCTTGGAAGGAAAGGTAGATCATTTCTGAAACACACCTTGCTTTCTGATAGGTGAAGGCATACAAGCTGGCAAAATTTGTGTGTGTGTGTGTGTGGATTTGATTTGATTTGATTTGATTTGCAAGGAAGTCTCATCCTCCTCCCAAGTGACAATCTCAGTTTTCTGGCCAGCAAACTACTGTGAACTGAGAGTACTGGAGAATTTTGAGGGCTTTTTTCCCCTCGGGTGCACACTGCCTCAGGAAGTGGCAGCTTGTGGCTGTCTGAGTTACCCACCTGGGACCCTCTGTCCAAGGCAAACACTCTTTTCAGACAAATAAATGAGTTTCTGGTCAGGTAAACACTACTTGTCAAGTCGTCCTTATATGAAGATACATCAATATTACTAAATTCATGCCTTTTAGCCTGGAGTCACGCCCTCACCGCAACTTACAATATAAAAGCAATAAGATAGGGTTAGCTACTGCTGTTCTAAGGTCTCCCCACCAATTACTAACGTATGCCTCTGCTTAGCTTCTAAAATCTCATGAGATCAAGCTTGTTCAGGGAGGTACAGTAAGGTGCTGTGCACTGCCTTAAGCGACCAGAACCCAGGCAGCTTAAGGTTTTAACAGTGCAATCCTTACGAATGGCTCCTCAGGAGTAAGTCCCACTAAATTCAATGGGGCATTTAGGCTGTAATCCCGTATGCAAGGATTTAAAAACAACATGCCAGAAGAAAATCATTTTAGGCCTCCACACTCCACAGGCCTGCCAATTAATGAACAGGTCAGCATACATGTTTTAAATGACTCTGTGTGTGGTATTTTCTAGAAAAGTCAGGAAGCAGTTTCTCCTTGCATCCCTATCCAAACCAAGAGGCAATGTAAACTCCCTGCACCGGCTTCAATTATTCTTGTGAAATGTATTTTCTCTCATCTGTTAGGGATCCTCCTGAATATTCTAACAAACCACTGATGACAGAAAATGTGCATGCACACCAAAGCTCATACCAATAACAAACTTAGTTGGTCTCTAAGGTGCTACTGGAAGGAATTTTTTTATTTTGTTTCGACAATGAGCTACAGTTCACCAACACTTGGAGAACACACTGGAGAGCAAAATGGCCAGAGGACAGCTTGGCAGGAGGGTGAAGTCTGAAAACATGCACGTCTTTGCACACTTTGACCCTGTTGGCTTAACTCAGAGGAGCCCTTTGAACTGACAACGCTGTAGGCTGATAACAGCTACACTGATGGGGGAAAGACAAGCAGCCCAGGGAACCAAAGCATGAATCAGACAGGAGTGCAGGTTAATAGAGAAGGATGCTCATCCAGCTGCAAGGTGCGAGCTTTCTCAGAATTATTATTTATTACATTTCTAGCCTGTCTTTCCTTCCAAAGGAGCCTGGCATCTAGGCGTTATGGCAATGCAATTTGAATTAAAGCAAAAACAAACTTAAAATACTTAAAAACATTTAAAAACATTTAAAAGCCCTCCCATCATAGTAGCTGATTTCGAGGCTGCCATAGCCAGTATATTTCAACCACCAAATTTGCTGGGTAAGTAGGAAGGTTTTTAAATCTTTCCTGAAAGTCAATAAGGGTAGAAACAGAAACACCTCGCTAGGGAAGGCATTCCAGAAACAGGGAACTGCCGCTGAGAAGGCCTTGTTCACAGGTCAGTGACAGAGGTGGCACCAGCAACAGGGGCCTCCCCCTGATGATCACAGGGCCCAAGATGGTTGAAACTGGGGAGTTGCTCATTTAGGTACTTGCCACACCTTGAATTGGGCTTGGTAATCCACCAGCATTTAGCACAGAGCTGTCGGGACTGGTGACACATGGGCCCATCAGGCTGCACCTCTTACCAACCTGACAGCCACATTCTGCACTAGCTGCAACCTCCAGACTGCCTTCAAGGGAAGCCCCGCAAATAGAGCATTGCAGCAGTCTAAGCAGGATGTCACTAGAGCATGGGCAACTGGGTCCAGGCTATCCTGGTCTGAGAATGGCCATAGCTGGTGACCAGCGTAAGTTGAGCTTAAGTACACCAGAAGCCACCTCGCAAGTCAGTGACAAATCAGAATCCAGAAGCACTCCCAGACTAAGAACCTATTCCATCAAGGGCAGTGCAACCCCTCACAAAACAGTTTGTACACCTAATTCACAGACACAGGAATTGCCCATCATCTCTGTCTTATCAGGATTCAGCCTAGTTTTGGCTCCCAGCCAGCCTTTCACTGCTTCCAGAAATTTATAAACTGCTTGATCACAAAGTTCCCCGGGTGGCGTACAAATAAAAGGTTGAAGAACACTGACGACTACATTCTAGAAGATGCTTTGCCTATGCCAGTCAGAAATGCTTCCAGACTCCACCTGTCTACTACTCATTCATTGACTCGATAGAATAATTTATACCCCGTCTTTCAGGATACATATTCTTCCAAGGTCGTCTGCAAGAAACGTTAAGCTGATTCAAAAACAAAACCTGAAAACATATTTTACTGGGGTGTGAGAATACAAGATAAAGTAAACCCTTATATGATACTGGAGGAAATATAAATGGAACAATCTCTGAAAAAAGTATCATGCTTATTATTTCTATATGTATGCTAATAGTGATATTCATAACATACATTGTATTCTTATAGGTTATTTATCTAAATAAAAATCCCTAAAGTGATTTGGTTGGATTTGTAATAATTTGGAAAATTAATAACAATAATTGGAAAACCCCCTAAAGTATCACCATCTACATATAACATTTACTTGCTTAAGGGGGGAGTGGGAATCCCAGGCCACTTAGTATAAAGATCCTTGGGACAGAGCAGCTGGTGACAAATGGCCCTGGGATGGGCAGGAGTGAGAAAATACATTTGAGCATCCTGGGAGATGTTCTTCACCTGCCTCTCTCTGCTCTTGGGATCCTTCCCATAGGACCCCCTGTTGCTGTGGCAAGGTGGTAAAATTGGTGAGGAGAAGTCCAGTTTCTGCCAGTCTTACCTCTATTTTTCCGTAGCAGCTTCCCTCCACCATGCCCCACAGCTCTTCCCTCTCCTACACACACACTCAGACTTCAGGACCCCTCCAGGAAGGCCATGCCCCCACCCGGAGTGCAAGGAAACCCCTGGAGAAGGCCAGGTCAAATGCTGCTGCAATGTATGTGCTCTCTCCCAAGAGGACAGAACAGTAAAGATGAGAAGATGAGTTCAAAGGACAAATGTTGCCACCCAAAGGATGGGAATGCACAGAGAGATCGGGATTCCTCATCCAGAGAGGTGAATGGGGAGAGAATCACTGCCCCGACCAAAAAGAAAAATAGAGGGTAGTCTTCAGTGAAGACCATTCATGCTCCCAGTTCAGATCACTGGAAAGAAGCAGGTTTTAGAAAGTTACCTGCACCGACCACAAGTTATAATTTATATTGATCCATACAAAGCCAGAGAATCTAAGAGTTAGGCTTGCTTTCTGGGTCAGTGTTCAGTGTCCTGCTAACACACGTAACTGGGGGGAAACAGGTAATCTTCTCAAGAAACGTCAGGCTAGATACCTGTCAGTTCTCTCCAGAAATTAGCATGAAGTATTCAAATCTTAGAAAGTTCTAGGAAAACACAATTTAGCACCACTGACCACACGTGCTTCACAGCTCTTTTCTGCAATTTGAAGCTGGACGCACACAAAAATCTCAGGATAGGACTGAAGGAAACACATGAGTCGCATTCAACGCTCTCAGCAAAGCTTTGAGAGCAACCCCCCTTTGTCTGCAATGCAACAGGGCAGAGAAGCGACTTACCCCTCCTGCGTTGTGTTTCCGAACATCCAGGGCAGATGCCAGTCCTTTAACAGCCTGGGGGTCTTCGTACGTTACACTGAAACAGAAGAGGGGCAATGAGCATTGCAAATATCCAGGAAGCAGCAAATGAAAGAGTAAGGACGGAAGACACCGGGAATGACATCTATAAATCCAGAGAGTGTTTCCAGGTGCCTCCATATAACAGTTGCGCACTGGGGAGCAAAATATTCTCCTTGTCAGGCACAAACTAACCCCAAGCACAGTCATTTATACGTTTCTCTTGTAATTTGTTCTTTTCAAAAACAAACAGGAGCCTCAGGCTTGAGCAGCTGGTCCTACATTTTCAAGAATTGGCTGTTTTTAAGGCATTTTATTAAATAAAAAGTGCTTACCCTCTAGAGTCCCCTTCCCTTTCCCTCTGTAGCTAGTAGCCTTTTTCCACCCGAAGAAATTGTGGGCTAAAAATCAACAAAGCAGGTCTCTCCTCCTAGATGGAGAGGGAATTCTAAAACTGGCTTTGACCAAGCTCCTCGCTGTCCAATTCTGCATTTGTAAATGCAAATGCAATGAAAACATCACTGAGGTCGTTCCTTGTGTGCCCCCTCCATGAGAGGCCTGGAGGGTGGCAACACGAGGATGGGTCTTTTCTGCAGTGGCTCCCTGTTTGTGGAATGCTCTTCCCAAGGAGACTCACCTGGCACCTTCATTACATATTTTAGGGGCCAGGCAAAAATATTCCTCTGCTCCCAGGCCTTTGGCTAATTCAACAATCTATGGCCTTTTAAACTGTGAGGGTAGCTACTGCTTTTGCTTATTACCATGTTATGTACATTTGTGTTTTTATATTGTGACCCACCCATGAAGAGTGGTACATAAATTTATTAAATAAAACAAACAACAAATGAATACATCACAAGTGGGGAAACCTTTGTCCTTGCAGGTACTGTTGAACTGCAACCCCCAATCAGCACTAGCATGCATGGACAGTGGCCAGGGATAATGTAGTGCAGAAACGTCTAGAGGTACAAAGGTTTCTCACACCAGATTTAAGGGTCAATACCAGTGCCTGGAAACCAACAGGTAACCAATGAAGATGGTATGAGTTGTATGTTCTGGTCCCTGAGCCCCAGCCCAAACCCTGGCAGTTGCAGTTTGGACTGGTTGAAGTTTCATGGGCAGCTTTGGGGCAGCCTAACATACGAGAGCATTACAGTCATTTAAGCTAGGATAAAATTAGGGCAGGAGGTTTAACGCAGGAATCATAGGGGTGTAGAAAACGGCCTTACACCAGATCTGACCACATTTGCCCATCTAGTTCAGTATTGTCTACACTGACTGGCAATGGCTCTATAGAGTTTCAGACACAGGTCTCTCCCACTCCTCCTGGAAGATTGAGCTGAGGATCTTCTGCACATAAAACATAGACTCTACGACTACGTCATGGCCCACCACTAAGGTCTCCAAAGCCAGGTCAGATTGTGCTAGAAGAGACAGCTGCTGGTGCTGCAGCCAAAGCTGGTCAAAAGCGATCCTGGACGCCACCTGTCTAGAAGAAGTGTCGGATCCAGGAGTAATCCCAAGCTGCAAGCCTGGTCGACAGTGCAGTCTTATCTCGTGCAGGTTGCAAAACTAGCCACTGACCATCACCGAAGAGTCCTTCAGCCCAACAGCTTAGCGTGCACACACACAACTCCACTCCTGAATTCCCTACAGTTGATGGAAATCAGAGCAGGGAGGGGAAACGGTTGAAAGATTTCACAGAACCTAGGATCGCCACACAAAAAGGACAGAAGCAGTTCACTATGTGAAGACCTGCCCATTAGTCAGCCACTGGGTGGAGCTAAAGGACCAAGGACAATAACTCATCTCCTCCCTGGTGCCTGAATGCCAGGGCATCTCTGGTAGGTAGGCCTTTGGAGGCCAGGATTCAGCCAGCCAGCCTTCAGGGTAGTGGCGACAGCACACTAACCGTGCCTTCCAAAATAATGGGTTGGTGAGGGGGAGCATTCAGTTCCACATGGAAAAGCTATCACCCTGAGACACACACACACACACACACACACACACACACAACCTGCACCCTCTGGCCATTATTGGCATGCCAGGGTTACTGTACAATGGACCAGTTCAGGCCGTTTATTAAAACAGACTCTGGATGGCCCAGGATAGGGCAAGAATTGTAAATCAATGCAACTGGGAATTCTGCAGCTAACACATGGTTGACCCTCTCTGGGCCCTTGAGCTGGGCTGCAGAACGAATGCACTGAAGGAATGAATACATGAGCTTAGCGGCTGAGAGACTGATCTGTGAAACAGGGAGCCTCTGCTCCAAATCTCACTTTGGCCATGATGCCACTGTCCTCTTGGCCTTAATTTCTGCCCCCACAGGAGCCTGGCTCAGAGCAGACTGTGTTGAGCCTGTGCCCCGCAGGGCCAGTTCTGAGGGCTTAAGAGAACCGCCCAAGTCCCCCACACCTCCCTCCTTCAGGCCCAACATACGTCTTGCGTTGATCAGCCAGTGAACTGCCTCTCGTCTGTGCGAACATGTCGAAGTCATCCCGGGGGTTGGGGTGCTGGAGGGAGCTGAGCGTTCCGCTCACGTTGTTTGCGCCTATATCTGCAGACAAAGGAAACAATATAGCTTAGGATAGGAGTGGACAACCCTTTTCAACCCAAGGGCCATATTTAATTTCGAGCAACTTTTTATTGGGGGGGGGGGGGAGTATCACATGCTAGTGGTGGGTGAGGCAAGAGGCAAAAATGGGCAGAGCAATGAATGAGAATACTTCCTATACCCAAACCCCCCTCTCGAGCCTCCATTCAGGCAAGAAAGAGCCATTACTAGACTCCAAAGACACATGCCAAGCAGAAACACTCAAGAAGGCTTCAAAACAGGGCTGGCCTGTGAGAGTCTCAGCGGCCAGATAAGAGGTGTCTCGGGGGCTGCTTTTGGCCTTCACGCTTGCGATTCCCCATCCTTGCTGTAGGAGAAGCCGCCACATGAGCCAGCCAGATGGAAGAAGGCACATTTTTGCTTTGAACATTTTGCTCTGTCCCAAAGACTGGTTCTAGGCACACCTGCAGCACCCTCTCCCAACCACCGAGTCTAGAGTTGGACATACAGCTACGCATCTCCAGTGGATGGAAGCATCAGACTGAACATGGAAGCACAGCTTTGTGAAACGTTAGCTCATTGGCTACTTATGTCTCCATTGCTATACATTCTCTGGAGGGGATGATGTGAAGCAGAGAAGCTGCGGGAGGGGAGGGGATGCTTCCTCCACCAGCTACTTTGCCCTTGAAACTCACTCTCCACCTCTCCACAGGATCCCAACATCTAGGCTTGTGAGGCAAACATAGATCTGAAGCCCTTTTTTTCAGCAAGGAGGGGGAGAGAGAAAAGACAACATGTTTCCCTAAAGGAAAGGGAGTTAGTGGAGGGGAAAGGGTTAAGCACCCCATTCTTCCTCACCCCTCTGATGTCCAAGGGCGCTTTGCAACAGAGGTTACACCCAGATCATACATTTAAAGCACATGGATTCACCCAAAGACTCCTGGGAACTATAGTTTGTAAAAGATGCTAGAAATTGTAGCCCTGTGATGGGTAAACTACAGTTCCCAAGATTCTATTGGGGGGAAGCGAAGTGCCTTAACTGTATGATGCAGATGCAGCGAGGAGGGGTTAGCCTAACTCAGCACTCAGCGTATCATGACCTGCAATTTGGCTCAGACAGTCCCATTTGAGCAGGATTGCAAAAAGAGCAGTAGACTCCACTCTGTTTATAAGATGGACAGATGTGGACATCATAAGCTTCCAGGACAAGATGGGACGCCACCCTTTACTGCAAGCACGACTTGTCAGAGCCATGTGACCTTCTTCAGGAACCTGAAACATGGAAGAATCTCCAGGGGAGTGCGCTGTGGACTAGCTCCATACTACACCAGTTCCCAGCACACCTGGAAAGGCAAAACACATACCAAGCCCAGCGAGTTGGGTCGAAAGTGTGGATGCCGGCGCCGTGTTTCCAACCATGGGGCTGACCACTGCCGGGGAGCCAGGCCCCAGGTCTATTAAGTTGTCTTCAGTCACCTCGCTGAGAACCTGTTGAGCCAATTGGGACACCAGAAGCGGTCACATAAGGTAGATGCATTCCATGGGACAGTGCTAGTCAGAGAGGCAGAGCCTTTCTCGAACACGGCTACGATTCAGGAAGCCCTACACCAGCCTTCCCCAGCCTGCTATCCTCCAGCTGTGGCTGGATAACAACCCCCATCATTGGGAACCATTGGACATGGTGGCTTGAGCTGGCAGAAGCACAACAATATCTGGAGGGCACCAGTTTGGGGAAGGCTGCTTTATCTAAGCCCAGAGAAAGCTATAGGGATCTGCCTCCCTCTTTGTCTCCAACACCAGGTATGGAATTTGGCTTCTTGAATTTCTAGTCCAACATTTACTTCATTTGTATAATTTATTCTGACAGCGTATCAGGAAAGCTGTTAATTTTTTAATACTATACAGGGTGGTGTTTCTTCTTTTTTTTTACTAAGTATACAGACCCTCATACTCTAAACCCATTTTTTAATTCCTCGCCGATCATACTGCAGCCAAAGAGGTCAAAGTTCTGCAAAATCCTTTCCTTCTCCAAAATGCAAAGTTAATATACTTGAGTTTTCTGCTTATGGAATTTGGGTGAGGTAGTGGAGAAAAAAGAAGCAGTGGGGAGGAAAGGGGGAGAAATAAAATGGGCAGTCTTGTTGGGATTAATGAAACACATTTGATAGCATTTGAGTTAAATGTCAGTCTTTTGCCCACACAGACAGTCGTTTTACCTTTCTCTTTATGGTATGAACCATCAAACCAGAAAATCTTCAGCAAACCATTGTTTCCAAACTGGGAAACTATGGATACCAGCTTCGGAACAAGCCAGGATATTGAAGTTGGTAAACCATGATTTCCCTGTTTGGATGGAACAAGAAACTAGGTTTAATTAGAGGCATCCTGGTTTAATTGAAGCTCATGCAAAGGGAAAACACCGATTCCTATCTCAGCTTATTTTCAAGGTATAACCCTTTAAACCATCTCAAGAGCTTGATATCTGGATCATTTCTGTATATCCCATTCAGCTCAGCTTGCTCCTGTCTTTGTAACCTGCAAGCAAACTACCTCACATTTACCTACTTAAATGCAATTGATTTAAGAGCAAAGGGGCTCCAAACTTCATCACAAATATCAGAAAGTGTTTTGGCAAGGACTTTGCAGCAGCAGTAGCACCTCACTTTCAAGGTTGAGTTTTGCCAAGCCCAAGGTTAGCAATTTTGCACTGGACAATCCTGTCTTATTAGAGAAGCCCAGCAGGAGGACTCACCCCATTGCTTGCGTTCTGTGCAGACCGACCCAACCTGTATCGCTCAAATCTACAGCAGACAAAAAAAAGAGGAGAGATTAAAAATGGCATGTAGCAATTTTGAAAGGTGCAAGCCTTATGACAAAACCCAGGATGCACAAGGAAGGATCTGTCTTTTTCCGGCTGGGGTGGTGGGAAGCCGACTGTAGCCACAGAGACCAGCATATGATCACAAGGGTTGCTGCACTGTCACACCTCTAGGAATGGTTGGAAGCAACCCCATCCAACTTTCTCACCCCAAAACCTGCCATTACAATGCTGAAGGCCAGCCTTCTTCAACCTGGTGCCCTCCAGATGTTTGGGACTCCAGCTCCCATCAGTCTGAGCCAGTATGACCCATGGTCAGGAATGACAGGAGTTGCAGTCCAAAGCATCTGCAAGTATATTATGGGTTACAAAAGGCTGCTGGTGTAGGTCAGGGATGGATAACCTGCAGCCAGAGCCCCACAAGTGACATCAGCAGCAGGTGTTTCCAGCTCTCTTAGCTAGATTGGATCAAAGGGGGCTTCTAGCTCCATCAACAGCATGGAATCAGGACGATTGATTTGAAAGAAATATCTAACTAATGAGTAAGTGAACTAAATTAATGAATCAAATAGATGAATAAATAAATAATGATCAGGAGCTTTAAACTAAATCCTGAGAGGGAGGAAGACAATATTACAGACGACAGGAGAATACCTGGTACAGGAGTTAATAGTTAATAGCTCCAGAAACGTGCTAAAGGGCAGGTAACTACAAGAAAGAAGCATTTGGAAGGAATGACTCACGGTTTCAGTTGTCTCTATACTAATGCACAGAGTATGGGAAACAAGCAAGATGAATTTGAGCTCTTGATACAGGATACACCCTGGACTTTAAAAAGGCTGATTTTCAAAAAGATTAGGAACTACTCGGTGAGGGGGGAAAGCCACACTTAAGGGTAAGCAAGCAACTATTTGAGCTTCTGAGGAAAAGCAAGCCACCTCTCGTATCGGAGGAAAACGTTGTTCAGATCGTCGTTTACATGAAGCAGCTCTTCTGTGACTTCTTCGTTGGACACCCTAGAGATGAGCTCCACGATCCTTTGCTGCATGGCTCGACAGGTGCGATTCAGCTCCTGGGAGAAATGAATCATTGCAACTTCAAGGGGAAGAGATGATGTCCAAGAGTTACAACACAGGGGAGCATCAGAGCCCAGATATAATAGGCCTGCTCACACAATCTAACTACATCATGCCAGGCAGGGGCAGCCCTTGCCAAAAAGGTGCCTTATCACAAGTAAGGTTAACAGTGCTATTCTACAATGTAGTTGTGGTGGGGCTACGGGTCAAGGTGGGTCCATTTTCAGCAGAGATTACCCCCTTCCTAGAGTTGTAAGGAGGCAGAAAAGAAGGGCAGAATGCTCATTTGCCAGATGGTCAGAACAATCAAGAACTCCATATATTTAATTCTGGTTATAAAGCCTGTGTTATCTGTCAAGATATCTAGCGTAAGACTCTAGGGCCAGGGCGACATGGCTTCCACATAAACGATCAGGTCAGGGTGTAATACTGAGCTCAAAAGTTCAACTTCTTAAACACCTCAGCAATTCTTTAAAAATTAAGTTTCTAGTCCTTATGGCTGCAGATATAACTTCATGGGCAACAGGATCTTAAGGGGTGACAGTAGTGGCAAGAGACTTCCTGTGGTCTGGGCATCAGTGCCGTAAGAAGCTCTTTGCAACTCCAGGTGACTAACTAAAGGACGATAAATTAAGCTAAAATACATACAGATTTGCATAAGGTAAATAATACCATGGAATGCAGCCTTTTAGCAGCATAGAATTCTGAACCACTGAAAATACAGCCAAGCCTCTGTAGCCAAGCTGTACCTAGCAGTGCTTGCCAAGGCTGCCACTTTTAGAAGCCCTGGCCTTCAATACAAGAATTAGCCTCCTCCCTCTTTGCATTCCTCCCCCTTCGGAGTGGAAATTCAGGATTAAGGACAGCCATGTAAGGATACATATCTTAAATCCATTTAATTAGTATATTGATTGTTAAATTCCACTTTGACCGGTTTAATGTTTATGTAAAAAATTATGCTGAAATTCTGGTTTTACTATTCTGGCTGTTTAGCCGTAATAATAAACATTCATTCGAGGACAGCCATGCTGCTGGTGGTATCAGCACCCCCACCCCTGACAAGAAAAACAAGCCTCGTTGACCTGGCATCTCATGGCCTGACGTTCTGCACCTGGACAAGTGTCGCCTCGTGCTTCCCGCAGCTGCTTTCACAGCTTGAGGGCTGAGTTTACCATGTCAGCTTTGATCCCATCAGTTCAGAGCCAGATTGTGACATTTCAGAAGGTTGGATTCAGATGGAGAAGAGAGGGCTGGCGGGGCCTGTCTGTCTCTATTCTGCTGCAGCGCCTGGTTGTATGCCATTAAAAACCTTTCCTTTTTATTTAGCTGCTTATTGGGTTTCTGATGGGTAACAACTAACAACCAGGGCTTTTTTTCCAGCCGGAACTCAGTTCTGGCAGCTATCAGATGGGCACCACTGGAATTCTAAGACAAAGATGTTCATGGTGAGTTCCAGCACCTCTTTTTCTAGAAAAATAGCACTGCTAACCACCAACCGCCTTGTTACACTGATTCCCAGACTGCCCCTTCCTTTTCCAGGTAAGCTGATAGAACAGAACTGATAGCTCAGTCAGTAGAGCACGAAACTCTTAATCTCAGGGTTGTGAGTTCAAGCCCCATGTTGGGAAAAGATTCCTGCATTGCAGGGGGTTGGACAAAATGGTCCCTTCCAACTCTACATTGCCTCCCAATACGCTTCCAAGCACAATTCAAAGTGTTGGTGCTGACCTTGAAAGCCCTAAACAGCCTTGACCCAGTATACCTGAAGGAGTGTCTCCACCCCCATCACTCAGCCCGGACACTGATGTCCATCTCCGAGGGCCTTCTGGTGGTTCTCTCCCTGTGAGAAGCAAAGCTACAGGGAACCAGGTAGAGGGCCTTCTTGGTAGTGGCGCCTGCCCTGTGGAACACCCTCCCATCTGATGTCAAAGAAATAAACAACTATCTGATGTTTAGAAAACATCTGAAGGCAGCCCTGTTTAGGGAAGTTTTTAATGTCTGACATTTTAATGTATTTTTAATATTTTGTTGGAGGCTGCCCAGAGTGGCTGGGGAACAAATATATTATTATTATTATTATTATTATTATTATTATTATTATTGGCAGGGGGTTGGAACACAAAACATCAGAGGAGCCCTGCTGTATCAGAACGGAGACTATTATTTAGTGAATTTATATCTCGCCCTTGCACTCTGAGGAGCCCAGAGCAGTGAACAGATACACAATTCAAAAACCAGAACAAAGCAACAATGTTCTAAAACAGTTAAAACATTCTGAAAGCTATTGCAATTAAAAAGTAGCTATAGTTTAAAACGATTCTTCCATCCAGTGATTTTGAGGTTGCGGGGAACAGTATTCTTCAGCCACGACATCCAGTCTCAGTCCTCATTAACAGCCATGGCTTCTCCCAAAGAATCCTGGACACTGTAAAGACCCTGGACCCTGGACCCTGGACACTGATAGACCCTTGAACACCCTAGCAGTTCCCAGCTTTCATTGCAAAAAGCCATGGTGGTTAAAGTAGCATAGGAGTGCTTTAAAAGTATGGTGTGGCTGTGACTGAAGATCCAATGAGTTCAGCATTCTGCCTCTTAAAGCAGAGGTTTCCGAAAAGTCTGCTAGCAGGACATGAAGGAAACAGCCCACCCTTACTCATGACCCCCCGATCCCCAGTAACTGGTATTCAGAGAACATGGAGTCTTTGTTTAGCCACCAGGGCCAATGGCCACCTGCAAACATGTCTAAACTCCTTTCGAAAGGCTTCTCAGCTAGTAGCCATCATCATACCTTGCGGCAGCAAACGGATGAGGGTGGGGAACCTTTCTCCTGCCCTGAATCTACTATGTTTATACTTTGGTTACAACACATTTACCTGCAGTAACTCAAGGTCTGATGAATCTTCTTGCCCAGGGACCATTTCTGTGAGCATTTCAGACATCACTTTGGTGTTTCCACGAACAACGTCCAGTTCACTCCGCAGTCGTGCAATCTATTTTTAAAAAAAGGGGGGGGAATGCAACCCTTTACAGAAGCTGCATGCATTTCACAGTCTGATTTTTAAAAGGTTCTGGAGGCGGGAATGCCTTCTACAGTACCTGCTCAGACAATACCTGCTCTGTATTTGCTGTGATGGGGCCGGTCACATTCAAAGCTGGGGCCTGAGGAGCAGAGTACGCCGTTGGAGAAGGAGATGAATAGGAACTGGAGTTCATCCTTTGCTGAGACTGGGACCTGTGCATGCTGGCAGCTGGGTCAACCTCAGGAACGCTCTAGCAGAAGACAATGTGCAAACACTCAGAAATACAGTATTCACCGAAAGATTGTGCTGCTGTCGTTATCATGCTCTTTAGCCAAAAGGGCAGGGAAGGCGGAAGGCAGGGATCCTCTAATCGTTTCTCCTCCTCTACAAAAAAAGGAAGAAAAGCAGACAACACTGCCCACTTACTCTCTGCGGTGTGTGTATTGGAGACAAAGCATCCAGATCAGCCATTGGAAACTCAATCCCTTTTCTTTTGAGTTCTTCATAAATGTGGACCACCCCAGTTAGATCAGGGCTGCTTCGAAAGGCATCAGCCCAGGCCTGCAAAAGAAACAGAGTGTTGCAAGGAACTCAATCCACAGTTCCCTTCTATCGTGAAATTGGGTCTGTTATTTCTACTCTGAAGGAGACCACATTTCTTGTGAGTATATAGTACAGTCATACTTCGCGTTACAGACGCTTCAGGTTGCGTTTTTTTGGGTTACAGACCCGCCGAAACTCGGAAGTACCAGAACAGGTTACTTCCGGGTTTCAGCGGCTGCACATGCACAGAAGCGCTAAATTGCACTTTGCGCATGCACAGAAGTGCTGAATCACAACCCGCGCGTGCACAGACGCGCCCCTGCGGGTTGCGAACATGCATCCCGCATGGATCACATTCACAACCCAAGCGTCCACTGTACAGTCGTACCTTGGAGCCTTGCGACTCGAACGTTTTGTCTCCCGAATGCCGCAAATCCGGAAGTGAGTGTTCCGCTTTGCAAACGTTCTTTGGAACCCGAACGTCCAACGCGGCTTTCCCGGCTTCCGATTGTGCGCAGGAAGCTCCTCCAGCCAGTCGGAAGCCGCGCCTTGGTTGTCAAACTTTGTCAGAAGTCAAATAGACTTCTGGAACAGATTCTGTTCGACAACCAAGGCACGACTGTACAGACGTGAACAGTATTTCTTCAATCACAGTGTCTCAGGGCTGTATGGTGACTGTGGGAGGGGTTAAAGCCTGAGAAAAGCCCGAAAGGTTTCTAATAAGGCCACAAAGGGTCAACTGAAAGTTCAAGGGTGCCACATCAGGACATTTACCAAATGCAGTAAATAAATGTAATTATTTACTGAATTTATATCCTGCCCCAAGGAGCCCAGAGCAGCAAAAAGATACACAATGTAAAAACAAGAAGAAAGCAAGAACATTCTAAAAACAATAGCAATTAGAGCAGGCATACTCTGCCCTCCAGATGTTTTGGGACTACAATTCCCATCATCCCTGACCACTGGCCCTGTTAGCTAGGGATCATGGGAGTTGTAGTCTCAAAACATCTGGAGGGCTGAGTTTGCCTGTGCCTGAATTAGAGCATCTAAAAGCAGTTACAGTTAAAAACATTCTGAATGTATCAATGATAAGGAAACAAAGTTGTGAATGAAAAAAGTAGTATGTGATTCATTTATTTCATAAAATTTATATGCCACTTAAGTGCAAAAAAAGAAAACTCTCATGGATCAGTTTCTCAGGAAGCACACAAATAAAGCCTTGCTGTGTGAGTGCATCATTATTTGTGTTCTTACAGCTTCATCTTCCAATAAGGTTAATTAAAAGCATCAATTCTCCGCCACAAGGGTGTTGCCAGCCAATCCTACTTGAGCAGAGGGCACTTGATCTTTGATTGGCAAGATCCGCCCGAATTGGCCAAGCCAGTTTCCAAGGAATCGTCCCTAAATTACAACAGAAGGCGTCCTTCCTGCAGAAGCAATTCTCACTCCCTTGGAGCGTTGTGCCATTTTTTATTTACAAGCGAAAGGCCAGGAAAAGCACACGTTAACGGCACAGCAGCATTTTGGGCTGCTTCCAGACATGGACAATTTAGCAGCAGCCAGTAATTGCTGTTCTGCTTCAGGCTGTAAGCAAAAATAGCAACTCTGCTGCTTCCAGATTTCTAGAAGCCAAATGACATTCTGAAGCCAACTGGGCAGTCCACCCCCTGCCCTGGTCCCAAATGTTGGAGGATGCTGGGGTGGATTCTCATTGGGACCATGGTGCAGGAGGGAAAAGATTAAAACAGTCCCTTCTCTATCCATCACTCCACTCCTGATAAGGATACCCTGGAGATAAACAGCTGGATCTCTCATCATCTTTCCCTTTTCTGAAAAACTGCCTCAATGAGGATTTGGCAGGGGGAGCGGGGGCTGGGGGCTGAATCCCCTCCCTCTCCAAAGCAATTCCTTACACAAAGCGGGGGATGAAGAAAAACAAAACAAAACACACACACCCAATATCATAGCCACATCATAGTCATGCGGTAGACTCAGTTTCAAGTTCCCCTCACTCACTGATCGGCTTTAACGTCTTGCCTGCCCGATGAAAGTTCTGAAGAACTAAATAGCTTGCCACACTTTTGTAATGTAGATTTTGGGAGATTTTTCTCATGGGCCAACATGGCTGCTTTTGAGCTGCTCCGTAAGTTATCCTTCACAGAAATGAGGACTTTCAGCAGCCTGTAGACCCCATGATCAATAGAAACACAGAGTAGTCCTCTGACCTACTGGCTTTCACCTAATATAGTCAGGCTGTGGGCGACAGGACTAGAGAGTGGGGTGGGGAGTGAGGAAATTCTGACTTGGGGGGGGCAAATTAGGCCCAACAGGAGGCTGGATTTGTGCCAGCTCACCCCCATATGATTTCATACATGACATTAATTCTGGGGCAGGTAAAGAAGTGGCCACAAAGGAACAACCAGGCATCTTAAAGGTTAGAGTGTCAGACTATGACCTGGGAGAAAAGGGCTTGAATCCCCACTCCGTCATGAAGCTCCCTGGGTGGCCTTGGGCCAGTCACTCACTTCCAGCCTAATCTACTTCACAGGGTTGCTGTGAGGATGAAACAGGGAACAGAACCACGCACATCGCCTTGAGCTCCTTGGAAGATAAAAGTGCTATATAAATGTAGCAAGTAAATAAATAAATTGTGGGAAGCTGATATTCAGGGGATTATTTCTGACAGGAAGGAAGGGGTGGCTTCGTGGCGTGCACCCCCTTTTTAAGAACAAATCTGCTGAAATTAAGGAAGCCGTGTTGAAATTTGTGCATCAATGGCATTTGGACACCTGCAAGACTTCATTATATTAATTATCATCCCTTTGTTGGAGAGGATGTCAAATTCTTGGTATGCTGATCCATCTCTGGAAGGAGTGTCAAAAAGCTCAGAAATGTTGGCAGGACATTTTTGCAAGGCTTACTGATCTCCTTCACAGAGATATTGAAACAGAACCGGGATTAGCTTTGCTCTCTTTATTTAGAGGGTGAAACAGGGATCTCCCTTGTAAGAATCTGATAAACCCCCTCCTTGTGGAGCCAGGGGTACATTGGAAGGATGCAGGCAGATGGACTACCCACAAAAGGCACCGTATTTTTCGCCCCATAGGACGCACGAGCCCATAGGACGCACCTAGGTTTTTTTTTGGGGGGGGGAATAAAGGGGGGGAAAATATTTTTCCCCCCCCAGGTGCAGGGCTGGGGTAGGGGAAGCCCAAGCTTCCCCCGACTCCAGCCCCCAGAACAGGCTGCTATCCACAAGCCGTGGGAGAGCTGTGCGAAGTCGTGCAGCTCTCCCACGGCTAGCGGAGAGCTGTGCGAAGCCCAAAGCTTGGGGCGTGCTGAGCTCAGTGCGCCCCAAGCTTCTGGGTGCAGGCAAGCTCTCTGCTAGCCGTGGGATAGCTGTGTCTCCCACGGCTAGCGGATAGCTTCGTGAAGCCTGGAGAGCGAGAGGGGTCGGTGCTCACCGACCCCCCTCGCTCTCCAGGCTTCAGCGAAAGCCTGCATTCGCCCCATAGGACGCACACACATTTCCCCTTCATTTCTGGAGGGGGGAAAGTGCATCCTATAGGGCGAAAAATACGGTAAGTTAAGAGTATGGTACTTGGCTTTGGCTGATAAACGTAGATACACAATAGAGTGATGCAAGGAGGAAATTTTAAAAGATACTTTAAATGCTGATTGATTGATTGATTTATGTTTGTTTATTTTATTAACTGTCATCTGGAAGAACCTAGACCCCTGTAACTCACACATCTTTTTGACTTGGCTATTTAACTTAACATGTTGGTATTATTTTCTTCCTTATACACATTTGTATTTTGCTTTGTATCTGGTGACCAATAAACTATTATTTATTGTTTGTATTTTTTCAATAATAATAAAAACTAATATATATATATATAGAGAGAGAGAGCCTACTTTTGACTAATATTGCTTATCACTCAGATGGCAGAAACAAAAGCTCAGTGACAGACCTGAATTAGTGCAAGTACTTTATCCTGGACAATGGTGGGTGGGTTGTTCTTGGGAGAGATGATTTTCACCAGGACACCATCTATGAAGTCACGGTTTGCTACTAGGACATGAAAGCGATGGCCACAGTTCTTCACACATGTTTCCAGTACCTGTGTGTAGGGAAAAAACATCATTACTGGTGGAGCAAAGAAAGCTGGTGAACGCATGCAAGGAAGAAATTCATTGCCATGGACAGTAGCTAATGTCCAGGAGCGTGGGGACACTTTGAGAAAGGAGTAGCCCATGGTGCTAGTCCAGGGGATTAATCATTTCACTCACCATGGCCAGTGTTCTGCCATTTTCTAGGGAGCATGGTGAGCCCCTAGCCTTCCTCCCAGCTCGGGGTGGGGGACATCCCTAACTGGGATAAAAACTATGGTTTCTTTGGGCACTATGTTTCAAAGAAGAAGAAGAAGATGAAGAAAAGGGGAAGGAGTTTGGATTTGATATCCCACTTTATCACTACCCGAAGGAGTCTCAAAGCGGCTAACATTCTCCTTTCCCTTCCTCCCCCACAACAAACACTCTTTGAGGTGAGTGGGGCTGAGAGACTTCAAAGAAGTGTGACTAGCCCAAGGTCACCCAGCAGCTGCATGTGGAGGAGCAGAGACGTGAATCCGGTTCACCAGATTACGAGTCCACCGCTCTTAACCACTACACCAAACTGGCTCTCATAGGAGCTCTGTGCAGTAAATGCAGAAGAACAAGCTCAGTCCTGGAGAGGGGAGGTGGGGAACTGCCCCACAATCACACAAGGCTTCTGATTACCTCCAAAGCTCAGTGCTGTGAAGGGAAAAATCCTTACCGCTTTTCTCCAAGTGCACCCACTGCACTTCTGAAATGCTTGGAGCACTGCAGCAACAACTGCCCACCCCACTTCCATGTGTAGATAGTCCCACCCCCCCGGGTGAATGGGGAATTGCTCCTGATGTCACTTTGTGCTTTGGAGACACAGAATTCTGGTACCCACAGAATCCTGGTGCTCAGCCTGTTTTGGCTGTCCACCAAAGGCCAGTCAAAAATTGTGGAACAAAAATACATGAGCCCTGGCAATCACAGAAAAGATTATTCTTAATTTGAATGTCTCTAGTGGATCAGAGGCACCAGAGCACTTTTATGCCACATGGCAGGGCTTTACTTCTTATACTTCTGGAACTGTGGTTTAGACCTCTTGGGCTTGCCGATTGGAAGGTCGGTGGTTCAAATCTGTGTGATGGTGGTGAGCTCTTGTTGCTCTGTCCCATCTCCTGCCAACCTAGCAGTTTGAAAGCACACCAGAGCAAGTAGATAAATAGGTACCGCTGCAGCGGGAAGGTAAATGGCATTTCCATGCGCTCTAGCTTCTGTCACGGTGTTCCGTTGCGCCAGAAGCGGTGTAGTCATGCTGGCCACATGACCCAGAAAGCTGCCAGCAGACAAATGCCACAACCCCATAATCGCCTTTGACTGGACTTAACTGTCCAGGGGTCCTTTACCTTTTCACTTTTAGTTCTGGAACTGGTGCACAAAATTCCCTATCTGCACTGATGAGTAAAATTTGGTTATCCTAATGAAAACTCTAATATACAAGTGGATCTCATATCGATGAAATGCTCCAGTCAGGGAGGCAACTCCAATAAAATATTGTGGGGACGCAGGTTAAGCCCTGGCCCACATAATCTATCACATGACACAGTGCACACACACCATTTGAATGGGAATGCCCACCAACTTTGTGGGGGCTCAACCCCCACAGATATTTTATTGTGGGGGGTCAAAGCCCCCAACGGCCCCTAGGAGTTGGCTGCTACGGCTGCAGGAGCCTAATAAAAAGTAGAATAATAATCATCATTTGTGGACCACTGGCCTTAAATCTTCCTCCTCCAATGTGGCTACAGATGCCTGTTAGTATTTCATGCTTTCCGATGCTGCAGTTGAGATTGTTATAAATCACATGCCTATCTAAGAAGACTGCCACTTTCTGCACACCTTTTCTTGTTCCAAGTTGGTAAGAGGAAGAGGGGGAGAGCAGATTTGTTTTGGAGGTCTCCCAAATGCTGACCCCTGAATCACATCCACTTGCACACGCTACTCACCGTTAGAGCTAGCATTACTTCCCTGTAGTTTTTGTTTCCATTCAACCTCTTCTTAAGCGCTCGGATGGCATCCTTTGGGCTGACGGGGAAAACACAGAACCACAGATAAGGGACAGTTACAAGTAACTGCACTTCTCACAGTAAAGGCAATACTGCAGTTCTAATGTTAGCTCAAGTGCACATTATTTGAACCCTTAGGGTTTGGAGACAGAAACTGTACTTGCACATCACCCGAGACCATGCCTGAGTGCAATATGCACACGCAAAAATTGGCTGCAGCAATCCTTCAGCCCTTGTGCTTAACACTCCCTTCTTTGGCTTCTCAGCTGCACAGGACAAGAAGCTTGGAGGCTTCTGCTCCTCATTAACTACAGCTTAACAAGTAATCTAAACTGGGAACTTTGGTTCACATTAACTATGGTTAGTTTCAAAAAGTCAGCTTTGTAAACCATGGTTTGGAGTTGGCTTGTCTGAAACAACCAAAGTTAGTTGCTCTGGTCAGCAAGTCAAACTGTTGTTGAGTGAGAGGTAAAGTTTCTGAATTCCTCCTTCCAGACATGTGGGAGAGGGGCAGGGAGACTCCTAGGCTGCAGGTCAGTGTGCTTAGCTACAGTAATGTTCTCAAAAAAACTAGGACTGTACCTTTCCCACAGCTTTTGAACCTCTTCAAATGCAACGAAAAACAAGTGAGTTTGTTTTGGGCCAGGCAGAAGCAACCAGACTAGTACTGCGGCCTAGGACCCTTGTACCTACGGGACCACCTCTCCTGGTATGCCCCGTGGAGGACCTTAAGGTCCATAAATAACAACACTTTGGAAGTCCCAAGCCCCAAGGAGGTTAGATTGGCCTCAACCAGGGCCAGGGCCTTTTCAGCTCTGGCCCTGGCCTGGTGGAACACTCTTTCACAAGAGACTAGGGCCCCGCGGGATTTGACATCTTTCTGCAGGGCCTGCAAGACGGAGCTGTTCCACTTGGCCTTTGGGCTGGACTTAGTCTAAAACCCCTCCCTCTCATTTTTTTTTTTAATGGAACCCCTTATATGGGATTTTGTATATCAATTTTCCCTTGGCTCTTTTTGCTGGCCCATGTAGGACCAGCACGGATAGTTGGCCCCAGTGAATATTTGACGTTTTCTCTCCTTATGGCTTTGATCTATAGGCTACCACTAAAACGAGGCTTCATTTTAAGCTGCATTTTAAACTGTATTCTAACTTATATTTTAATCACCTGTTTGTTTTGTTGTTTGTTTTGTTTTTAATGTTTTTACTGTATTTATATTTGATGTTAGCCGCCCTGAGCCCGGTCTTGGCCAGGGAGGGCGGGGTATAAATAAAAATTTATTTTATTATTATTATTAAGATGCAAACAATGTTATGAGAAGAAAGCCATTGTTCTGCTGACCCTGACACCATCAATGTGCTCAGAAGGGGAAACTCAGAACCATCTGTAACAAGCAGCAGAAGCTGAGCTATGCTTTGTCAATAACTGCTTGGCTTTTCCTTAACATGCAGTCTTTATAATCTCCCTGGAGTGCTCAGGTGAACATATTGTCCCCTCATGTGGGGAAGGGAAAGAAGAGACAATGGTAACATAAGAAGAGCCTGCTGGATCAGGCCAATGGCCCACCTCGTCCAGCATCCTGTTCTTGCAGTGGTAAAACAGGTGCCTGTGGGAAACCCGCAAGCAGAACATAAGCAGAAGAGCGCTCTGCCCTCCTGGAATTTATGGAAATCAAACCTTACAAATAAGGCATTCTACAAATGAACTATAACACTGCATGTAAACACCTTCTGGTGAAAAGGAATGCCAGCGCAGTAACACCCAGCTGATTAAAAACAACAACAACACCACTCACACCAGCACTCAGCAAGCAATTCTGCTTTTTGCCCTGTGCTATCCATAGTCACAGACAGACAAAGACACACATACCCTTCTTCTGTCTCATTGATGATGTCACATATCTCCATGTTAAGTGTCCAGTCTTCACTCTGGAGGGAGCCATCTGTAGCCTTTTCTATTTAAAACAAAACAGAGCAAGCAAAATATTTGTTCACTCTTTTCCAGATTAAAAGCCAAGCTTCAGAATAAGATTTTCACCAGGCTGGTCAATGGCCACATGCCCACGGTCATGTAAGAACTACCTCCAGGTAACCAGAAGAAGGAAGTTCTACTTCTCCTCTTAAGTGCTGTCAGGCCAATGGTGTGCCACAGTTTATTTCTTTTCTAGAGCACCACTCATGTACATCTTGTTTTACAAAGAATGAGGGAACAGTTCTCTGCTCCACAGAATTTACAATCCAGAAACTAGGACAAGCGTGTCAACAAAGGCAGGACATGGAAATCGAGGAGGGGCAAAAAGGTACACGATTATTACAATCTTGCATGCCTAGTGTGCTTCGAGAATGTCAGCATTTTCAGGTGACAGTTGATCACATACCAGCAGATTCAGGTTGCACAATTAACGTTGATGTACTGCCCTTGTGCAACAAGTCTACTTCCTTCCCCAAACTGGAACATTTTGCAATAAGGGAAGTGATGGGAAAATGCACTGGATAACAGTCAATTGATGCTGTGTCGTATAACCTCTCTGCAATCAAACAGGAATTAAGGCTAAAAATAATAATAATAACCAATGTCGTCAAACCTGCCAGCAAACTAGGTACAAACAAAGCAGGGTGTAGCTCAACAAATAGGGTATCTAAAAGTCAGCTTTGATATGGTAAGCTACAAATGTTAAGTGCAACAAAATGTTGCCAGGTACGGTGCTCCTGCTCAGGGTTCCAGCCAGTCTAATAATAATAATAATACCGTATTTTTCGCTCTATTGGACGCAGTTTTTCCTCTCCAAAAATTGAGAGGAAATGTGTGTGCGTCCTATAGAGTGAATGCAGGCTTGTGCCATAGCCGCGCGCAACCCCTCCGGCAGGGAGAGGCTGCACGGGGCTATGGCTTCTTTAGCCCTGCGCAGCGTCTCCCGGCAAGGAGAGGCTGCACGGGGCTAAGGGGGAAGCCAAAGCAGCGGCGGGATGGATCCCGCTCGCTGCCTTGCCTCTTCCATAGCTGCGCGCAACCCCTCCGCAAGGAGAGGCTGCACGGGGCTATGGCTCTCTAGCCCCACGCAGCCTCTCCCGGCAAGGAGGGCTGCACGGGACTAAAGGAAGGCAAGACAGCGAGCGGGATCCATCCCGCTTGCTGCCTTGCCTTCTTCCATAGCTGCGCGCAACCCCTCCGCAAGGAGAGGCTGCACGGGGCTATGGCTTCTAGCCCCACGCAGCCTCTCCCGGCAAGGAGAGGCTGCACGGGGCAAAGGGAAGGCAAAACAGCGGCGGGATCCATCCCGCTTGCTGCCTTGCCTTCTTCCATAGCTGCGCACAACCCCTCTGGCAGGGAGAGGTTGTGTGCAGCCTCTTTGGGGCTGGGGGGGGAAATATTTTTTTCCTTGATTTCCCCCCCCTAAAAACTGGGTGCGCCCTATGGTCCGGTGCGCCCTATGGTGCGAAAAATACGGTAATAATAATAATAATAAATTTTATTTATACCCCGCCCTCCCCAGCCGAAGCTGGGCTCAGGGCGGCTAACAACAATCAAAATAATCCAACATTCTAAAAACCTTTCATTATAAAAATTAATTAAAATCAAATTGATGGCAACCATTAAGCAAAATTCTGTGCAGATTGCCAGAGGAGGGGGTCAGGCTGCGCCCTGACCAAAGGCCTGGTGCAACAGCCCTGTCTTACAGGCCCTGCAGAAAGATGTCAGGTCCCGCAAGGCCCTAGTCTCTTGTGACAGAGCGTTCCACCAGATTGGAGCCGCGGCCGAGAAAGCCCTGGCTCTAGTTGAGGCCAGCCTAACCTCTCTGTGGCCTGGGATCTTCAGGATGTTTTTATTTGCAGACCGTAAGTTCTTCTGTGGGACATACCAGGAGAGGCGGTCCCGTAGGTACGAGGGTCCTAGGCCGTATAGGGCTTTAAAGGTTAAAACCAGCACCTTAAACCTGATCCTGTACTCCACCGGGAGCCAGTGCAGCTGGTATAGTACCGGATGAATGTGATCTCGCAGCGAAGACCCCGTAAGGAGTCTCGCCGCAGCATTCTGCACCCGCTGGAGTTTCTGGGTCAGTCTCAAGGGCAGCCCCACGTAGAGCGAGTTACAATAATCCAGTCTGGAGGTGACCGTCGCATGGATCACAGTGGCTAGGCCAGGGCGAGAGAGATAAGGAGCCAACTGCTTAGCTTGGCGGAGATGAAAAAATGCGCCTTTGTTATAGCTGTAATCTGCGCCTCCATAGAGAGGGAGGTATCGAAGATTACACCCAAACTCTTAACGGACGATGCTGGCACTAATTGCACCCCGCAAGAGATGGGAGTTGCCCTCTCAATCCCATATCACCCCGTCCCAGCCAGAGGACCTCTGTCTTCGAAGGATTTAACTTCAACCGGCTCCCACGTAACCATCCAGCCACAGCTTCCAGACATCTGGTCAGTGTGTCTGGGGCCGAGTCAGGATGGCCATCCATCAACAGATAGAGTTGGGTGTCATCGGCATACTGATGGCAACCCAGCCCAAAACTCCGGACAAGCTGGGCAAGGGGGCGCATAAAGATGTTAAAAAGCATCAGGGAGAGAATCGCACCCTGAGGCACTCCACACACCAAGGAGTGGCGCGATGACAATTCCCCCCAAGCGCCACCCTCTGTCCCCGACCAGAGAGAAACGAGCGCAGCCATTGAAGGACTGTGCCCTGGATCCCCACGTCGGCAAGGCGGTGGTCCAGGAGTTCGTGATCGACCATGTCGAAGGCTGCTGACAGGTCTAGAAGAATCAGCAGCCCCGACCCGCCTCGATCCAGCTGCCTGCGGAGATCATCTGTTAGGGCGACCAGAGCCGTCTCGGTCCCATGACCAGCGCGGAAGCCGGACTGAAATGGATCGAGAGCCGATGTTTCATCCAGAAACCTACCAAGCTGTTCAGCAACCGCTCTCTCAATCACCTTACCCAGGAATGGAAGATTCGAAACCGGGCGGTAATTGGATAGATCTAAGGGATCTAATGATGTTTTCTTTAAGAGCGGGCGCACCACTGCCTCTTTCAGTTCCCCTGGGAATATCCCTGGGAATATCTACCATAACTTCTTAAAGGATACTCCATTATACACACACACTTTCCTTTTTCTTCCAGTTGCCTGTAGCCACTAAGTATGCTCAGTCATCTTTGGGCATTTCTGACTTTTTAAAAACCATGTCTTCAAAGACCTCCCCTGAAGAAAAATCCCAGTAAAATAGAGACACTGATTTGCCCAGCGAAAAATAATTTGAAAACAGGGAGTCAGAGCATGAGTCCAACTAGCCTAGTATTGTTTATTCTGACTGGCAGCAGACTGTCTGGCACAGACAGAAGAAGAAGAGAAGATGAAGATTTTGGATTTGATATCCCGCTTTATCACTACCCTAAGGAGTCTCAAAGCAGCTAACATTCTCCTTTCCCTTCCTCCCCCACAACAAACACTCTGTGAGGTGAGTGGGGCTGAGAGACTTCAGAGAAGTGTGACTAGCCCAGCAGCTGCATGTGGAGGAGCGGAGACGCGAACCCAGTTCCCCAGATTACGAATCTACTGCTCTTAACCACTACACCACACTGGCTTTTCCCATCACTTGGTACCTTGTGGAGGGTAAGGTTATGAATGGCTACCTCCACTGTCTAAGGCAGAATGCCTCGGTATGGCTGTAGCTGGGAATCACAGGTGTTGTTGCACCCGGATCTCCCGGTGTGATCTTCACCTAGACATCCTGTTGGCAATGGCAGAATCCTGAACAATGGCAGGCCTTTGGCCTGATCCAGCAGGGCTGCTCATCTAGCCCTTTGAGCAGAAGGTGCCATGGATCTGATGCAGGCCATTCTGCACACATAACAGGTCTCTTCCATTGAGCCGTGTGCCTTCTCCATGATTTCTGCATTATGACTTACTTTGATAGAAATAAACTAATTCAAATATGGCAGCTGCTTGGCTGGAATCTGTTGACAGTCCTCAAATTTTAAGAGGATGGGTAGGTATTACACATACACACACACCACAACTAAAACATCCACCTTACTCAACTATGTGGCCTGAAAAATCCAAAGAACACAATCAGTTTTACAAATTAATTCCAGCTTTAAACACATCGTATTAACTGGAGATACAACATACACAATACTGAGCAGCCAGCTTCCTTTCAAATGTATGCACCCCAAAGCCACCCAATCCATTATTTGACAAAGATTTAATTTGCACTTCACGAGGATTTCCTCTGTAGCATAATCCATTATCACGAACTGAAAGCTGATCTGAAAAAAGCTTAAACAACTTAAAGCACTTTAAGATCAGGGAACATTTTGGGTACGCTTATAATAGCAGCCAACAAGAATATTAGGAAGCCAAGTTTTGAGCATAAATCGTGTCCCAAACGTAATGTCACTTAAGTGCTTTACAACAGAAAAACATTGCCTTATTCACTGCAGAAATGCAAGCTAATCTCCGTGTAGAAGATTAGGCAACCCTAGTTCTGTAAATCATACAGCAACAATGAAAATTCCAGCTTCCCGATCGGAAATATAAAAAGCTCTCCAATGATTATTTCACTGTGGTAGCTCTACTATTGGGAGTGACAGGATATTAATGTAACATGGGGTTAGGAACCTCTGGCCCATAGGCCTAATTCACACCACCATCGGGCCCATCAGGCTATTTTGGGCAAGGTACATCCATCCACCTGTTCTACTTCTGATGTAATATCCCTGACCAGCGGCCATCCTGGCTAGAGCTGATGGGATTTGGAGTCCCTTTACATCTGGAAGGGCAGGTTCCACAACCTTCCTTTATTTCCAGAACAGCTGAAGAAGAATCTTTGCCTTAACGTAACCCCACATATTTTAAGAGCTGCTGAGGACGACTTATGACTGCTCTTACCAACTAAATCCCAGCAAACAGTTACCAAGGAGAGGGATTTCTCAGTGGTGGTATCATCATTGTGACCCCACACAAATGAGGCCCAGCTGGCCAACTCCCTCTTTTTCAGGAATTTTATCAGATCTTTTTTGTTCAAAAATCTTGCAAGAGCAGAATTTTGTCATCACTGATGTGAACTTGCCAGAGGCTGTTGTGTTAAGTGATTTTCTATTAAGTATTTTAATTGTTAACTGATCCTCATAGAATTTTTTATTGCTTTCTGCTAGACACTGCAAAAACCTGTGAGTGGGAAGGCATTTCAGAAACAAAAATAAATGAGTGTCATATGTCTCAGCTCTTCCTAAACACTTCTCTAAAAGGGTTTTGCAGGCCTCACTTTTAACTAAAGTCGTTGTTACATCCAATTAAATTTTCCTGTGAACCAGTGCTATTTCCTGGCAGAGAAACTACAATGCTGATGCATTTGCAGCCCTGAATATATATTTTTCAAATTATGGGAGGCCACAGGAGTTTGACTGCAGAGACCAAAGCTGAGACCAAGGAAATATGCTCAAATGAAACTATTCTCTGTGTTTCGCAGCATCAAAAGAGCCACCAATGAATGCAACAGCCAAATAATTGTGCCTCACACACTCAGGCAGGAAGAACCATGGAAACATCAGACAAGCAAAGCACTGTGAAGCCAGACAGACTTCAGCTGAGGTTTTGCTCCAGAAAAACACCATTGGCAATTATAAAACAGGCGGCAACTTTGCTTCTTCTAAGGAGCCGCCTGCTTAACTGTCATCACGCAGCCCCAGAATTAGGCCGAATTTTTTAACATACAATCCCTTCTCTTTGAGGCCATTAGCATCTTTGCCACTGGAAACAAACATCCAATTTATTATGTACAACTCACTCGAAACCCCACTATCAAAATGTCTCATAATAAATATAAGGGGCACCCACTGGCTGCTTGCAGCAAATGGGGAGCAAAAAAAGGTGGAGTATAGTTAATATATAAAACATTTAAAGTCTTAGCAACAGTAGGATCAAGCATTTTGCCCCACCCAAATTGCAAGACATAGCGATTCGAGGGTTGAGCCTGAACAGGTTCAAATTCATCTTCATTGGATGCACTTGGCAACAGAACGGGTCAACGAAACTGCTCTTTGGTACTTGGGTATTGTTAAAAAATACAGAACCATGTGTTCCTTGGTCTTTCGTGCTGGGGGTAAGCTGGAGGAACAGAACCTAGCAATGATGTCTCCCACTACCCCCTTCCTTGAACCACCTGTATTTCCACCACTGGGACAAATTTTAACAATTTGATAAACAAGGACAATGGCTTCATTGAATTAATATACAACCAATGCAGAAATAAAGATAAACTTGGAAATATTGAATGGGTGGATGGATGAATGAATGAGCACAACACTTTGTATTTAGGTCTATAATAAAAGCAACAAGTAACTGGACCATCAAGAAGAACTGAACATTTTATTCAACAACAACAACAACAAAAACATTTACGGGCACAAGTTTATTATCTGAACAATACAAAACAATGATTTTGCTTCATCTCCTACAAAGAAAAGGCATGTCTGGAGTCCACCCACCATACACACACTTCCTTGGAAAAATATTTTGGGCTGAACAATCTTTTACCAACATATCTTGGAAAAGATATAACAAATCGGACAATCCTTTATTTATGTCATGCTATTGGACTGATGAACAATTTATTCTTAGGATACAAAACAGAATGTATGCTCTGTTTTTCTTACTGCTTTTGTTTGATGAATATGTGCAAAACTGAAACAGAAATAAGAGTGGCATTCAACTCATTTTTACTCAGAGGAGAGCTATCAAAATTAAAGAGCAGTTAGGTCTGTTAATGTCAGCAGGACTACTCTGAGTAAAAATGAGTTGAATACCATATGAAGCATTTAAAAAACACAGCCTGGTGATTTGGTTGGAATTGCTGCTTACTAATGAAATAGGAATTATCAACCACCACCACATAGCAGTGGTTTTCAATCTAAGTTCCCAGGAACTCTGGGGTTCCTTGAAATCTCAAGGGCAAAAACATTAAGGGCACACAAGGTTCTCTGGAAGATGACTTACACAACCACAATTGCAAAATTCTACTCTATTGCATTATCGACAGCAAGCAGCTGCAAGAAACTGTTGGGTGTGCTCCCATAGGTTAACGGAGAGAACCATCAAGTCTGCCCACTGAAAAGAGAATGTACCCAAGAACATGCCCAGGGAGTCCTTGGAAGATAATAGATGTGGAAAGTGTTTCCTGAAGACAGAAAGTTTGAAGAAGAAGAAGAAGAAAAGCTGCCTAGAGAACTACTTCTCAACTTTTATCTAGGCTTAGCACTGAGCTGAGATTTTCAGTTTTCTCCAAGCTGGCCTTGGGACTTTCAACTGAGCACAGAACACCCCACGACTTTTAACAGTACTTGTACTGTAACAAAAACTCCTCAAAGCCATGGGAACGTCTCAGTTTAAATAGATGGATGCTCAGAGCTCCTTCTTCAAGGTCACAGGAAAGGTCAGCACCAGAGCCAGGATGGAAACTGAAATTCCTGACACTGAACAGCATGCTCACTTAAGTCCTTGCCCCCGCTGGACAGCAATTTCCCGCAAAACAAAGTGTAGCAGTTTACCAGAGGCGAGTCTAAGACTATTTGGACCCCTATGACAAAATGACTGTTCCTTTATTAGGCTGTCACGTATGGGATAGTATCTGCTATTTGTTTCCCAAGCAACTGAGGGGGCTACATTGCCCCATGGACAATCAGCTCCCCACAACAAAACCTAGCAGTCAGAGAAGAGGCACAGCGCAGGAACAGGGCCCCAAGAATCACATTATTGCACAATAATGCTTTAGGCTAAGCATTGCCATTACAACCAGAACACAAAAGTGGCCAGTATCTTATTCTCATGGTACGGAGGGGAGCAGTTGCCACAAGACTCTCAGGCCTCATCTCTGGGCCCACCTGGATGCTGTTGGTGAAGCCCAATCGTGTTCACTTTCCTTGAGCCATATCATCTGCTTTGAACACAGAATATCTCAGATTCAGTCACTGGTATCTCCAGGAAGGGCTAAGAATGTCTCTGATGAAACCCTGGAAAGGCACAGTAGTCGCTGAGCTAAATAGGCTGGTGGTCTGACTTGCTGTAAGGTGGCTTCCTCTGTTTGTATATTCCTCAGACCTGCTCTTGTCTCCCAACTTCCTCCACCTCATTTCCCCCCCTTGGTTATGAGAGTCAAACAGTCCTCTCTCACACCCCCAGTCCAATAGGATGGTTCAAGGATGATGAGGGATCAATCTGAACATGGAGGTTCTACGACGGGTAAAAGCCACTGGCAGGCAATATTATCCACCATTTGCTAAAGTCTTTGGTTCTTTAAAGTCATCTTTAAATTGTCAACTTCAAACCACCACTACCCATCCTATGGTAACCAGTTCTGTAAGGTAAAAGTCTGCATTATGAAAACAATGCTTCCCTTTTAAAAAAAAAAATCAACCACATATTGCAAATCAATGTCACCAGTCAGGTTCTTGTGTTTTGAAACAAGGCTTCTTTATTGCAATCATAGTTCTATACTTTCACTTAGTCATTGCTTTTCAAAGCCAAGAAAACCTCAGCCTCTCCTCAAGTGTGTCTCAGTCAGGAAGTCATTCTTAACTTCTCTGATCATTTTAGACATCCTTTTTGGTGTACTTCCTAAGAGATCTTATTTGATTAGGTGATAAAAACTACACACACACACGCACCTGAGATTCCTCCATGTCAGGTTGACCTATCTGACTCCACCCCACCTTTCCTCCCAGTTTCATTCTTTGACTCACCCCACCTCAGAGCATCCTAGGCTTCCTCAGTTCCTCTTTTGCTCCCCAATATCTTCCAACAATTCACAGCTAAAAATAGGGCCTTGAACATAACATCCCAGCTTAAGGTTTTTAACTGCCTGAGGCAAAGGATGAGGTGGTTCCCCTGTCCTAGTTCTGCATACAGAAACCACTCGGACTGGCAATTGAATCTTACTTTAATGCTGGTGACAGAACAGTGCCTTTTAGCAAAATGGAGAGCAGTAGGCTTGCTTTAAAGGAGTAGTTAAAAAAACAAACCCTATGGAACTCCCATTGACTTGTGCCTTGCCCCATGTGTATAACCATTTATGCAAGCAATGAAGAACTTTGTGTTTAATGCAACCTTTAACTGAGATCCTAATTGGGTTTTACAGAATAGCTTCTTAAAGTTTGCTGTATGTTTGGTCATGTAAACGGCTAATAAAAATACAAAAATATATACAGTGGTACCTCGGGTTAAGAACTTAATTCGTTCTGGAGGTCTGTTCTTAACCTGAAACTGTTCTTAACCTGAGGTACCACTTTAGCTAATGGGGCCTCCCGCTGCCTCTGCACTGCTGCTGCGCAATTTCTGTTCTCATCCTGAAGCAAAGTTCTTAACCCAAGGTACTATTTCTAGGTTAGCGGAGTCTGTAACCTGAAGCATCTGTAACCTGAAGCATCTGTAACCTGAAGCATCTGTAACCCAAGGTACTACTGTATACAGGGCAGGATTCCTTGTACACACAGCTCTAACCTCCCAACCTCACTGCCACTCTTCCAACCCCAAACATTTGCTGCCTGAATTGGGTGTGTTTTCTCTTTAAGGATCGGGTGTGTTTGCTCTGTAAGTTGCAGATATACTAGAAAAGCAGATATACTAGAAAAACAAAGGTCCTCCTGTAACCTGTTATCAACAGTTCAAACAAATGTCAGCGGTTTCAAGGTATGCAATGACAGGTTGTGCACAGTAAGGCACACTTTACTGTACACACACATAAATTTATGTTCATGAGGACAAGATGCATCTTCCCATCAACTTTAATAGACCAGGGAAGAGGGCTGGATCATGAATAATAGAGAGTCAGTGTGGCAGCATAGTTAGTGTTGAACCAGGAAATCAGGGCTCAAATCCCCAATGAGCCATGAAGCTCACTGGGTGACCTTGAGTCAGTCAGTCACTCTCTCTCAGCTTAACCTACCTCACAGGATTGTTGTGAGAATAAGATGTGGAAGGAGAGAACCATGTAAATAACAAATAAAACATAATTAGTGACAACTCCAGACAACTAGGGTTTTAACTAGCTACAAGATGTTTAAGTCTTAGTTTTCAATAGTACTCTGTTGATATGATTAGGTCTGCTGTGGCGGGTAGTTTTACAGTTTCATTTTTTGGGATCGCATGATGATTTCCTAAGAGGCATACTGCTGTTATTTATTATTTAAATACCGTACAGAAGCTGCGTTGAAAGGATACTTGGCCTAAAAGATGGCATATAAATATTTCAAACAAAACTAACAACCTCAGGCTAATAACATTTTGGCAAGGCATCCTCAAAATGCAAACACAGGGAGAAAATAAGCACAGTGATGGTACACAGGCCAGAAAACAGGGACAGCTAGAGGATACAGTATGGCCTGGCCTATATTCATTAGAACCCACACAGCAACCCATATATTGTAGTTCTAACGATATCAATCTATTCATCTCAAAACCACAGTCAAAAGGTCAAAACGGGGCCTCCTGCTTTACCAGGAGGAAAAGAAGCAGGGATGACAGATAGTTTGATCTGCTCATTCAATGGTCCTTAAGGCACCTTTTAGGACACGCTGTCATCACAGAGTGACTTACAAGGCTCCTAGTATGCATTAAAATGTATGTATTATTATTTTTTGCTTAAAATATTGCATGTCACTTTTGAGCTGCTGCAGCAAAAAAAGAGACTGCTTAATTTTATTTTAAAAATCACCAATATTACAATTACCCTCCACAAAGGCTAAAGTTGAGGCATATGACATGGCTATATAAATAATAATAATAATATTTATGGGGGAGAGAGAGCCATCAGGGACAAACTTAGCAGACTGACAGGCTGGGAAGGAGAGCATAGGCAATGATTCACCAAGGGCAGCAATTAAAATAAAATATATACAAGGACGCTGGAGAGGAAAGACTTTCACCTCCCAGCTCCATCCCTGGTTCACGGTTGGCCAATGACGCCAAGCAGGCCTGGGGCTCCCTTCGTGGGTCAAGAGGGGGCCGGGACGGGGAGGGCCGTGAAGCCGGTTCAGGTGCATCTTCAGGTGCAGTTATCCTGCCATGCCAGGAGGGAGAAGCTGCGTCTGCCCAAATTCCCCCCTGGCCCGCTGACAGGGGCCTTTGCGGCTTCTCCCTCCCCCCCCCGTCTCCCCCTCCCCCGTCGCCTCAGGCCTGCCCCCCTGCCCCGCTCCCCTCGGCCGCCCCCTCTCTTACCGAGGCTCTGCCCCACCGGGGTGCTGAAAGGGTTGCCCAACAGAAACTCCATCTTGGGATGACAACAAACCCGACCGGCCTCCCCGCCCGCTCCACCTCTCGGAGCCTCCTCTCCTCATCCCCCCCCCCGCCCAAACCTCCTCAGCCCCGCCTCCGGCTCGTGACTGACAAGCCTCGCCGGCCAAGCAGAACCTCCGCTTCCCCACAGCAGAGCCCGCCCCGCCGTGTCGTCGCCCGGGTTCCGATCCCGAAGGCCGAGCGCTCATTAGCGAGCGCGAGCGCCAATCACTTGTCAGGCCAGGCTGCCCGGCCTCGATGCTGTCGGGCGTCGGGGAAGCAGGAGGAGGGAAAGGGCGAGGGGTGGGAGCGAGGGGAGGGATAAATCCCGCCTCCGAAGACAGCCTATTGGACAAAGCCTTCTCAACAAAAAAATAATAATAAACCTTGCGGCCTATTGGATAACCTTCGCCGAAGGCTCGGATCGAGTAGCCAATCCTGATGGGGGAATGGCTGTTTATGCGCCCTGTCATTGGTTGGGCGAGTTGGTTCGGGTTGGTTCCTTCTCTCTCGCGCCCCCCCACACAAACACGCGAACGTGAGTCGAGGTTGCTTGCCGCTGTCGCCGGCCGACCTGCGTCACACGTGACGACGGAAGCCCGGTGGGCCGGCGCGGGAAGCGCGACCTGCCCTTAGCAACGGCCGTGGCATCCCTAGCAACGGGGCCTAACCCGAGCTTTTAAGCTTCGGGGAGGCTGGAGGAAAGCGGCTGTGGGTTCAGTGTGAGCTGGTCAAGTGACGCGCTGGTAACCTGCTGAGCAATTCGGGGCTGGGTGGGGTTTCGGTGGCTCTGGAAGTGGGAGCGGGCATAGGATGTTCTGGGATAGGATGTGTAGATATGACACGTGTTGTTGTTGTTTGCTGTCCTACACCTTTCATATTTGTATGACAGGCAGAAGTTCTATCGGTGTAGCTGCAAGAATGGCAGGTCGAAGTTCCACTTTGGAGTCAACCTCTGTGTGAGCCAAGCCAGCATCTTGCTTCCAACAGCGCCCAGCTTGGGGGGGGGGGGGAGCAGAGCCATTCCAGCTCCAGACTGACAGGTGGGAGGGTGTCTGAAGTGGACCCCCTCCCTTAGTAGGTCCTCAGTAGGGAAGGACTGTGGCAGCACGTCTGCTTGCAAGCAGAAGGGCCCACATTCAGTCCCCGATGGCATCTCCAGGTAGCCTTGCCGCCTTTGTTCTGGCAAAATATGGGTCGGGGTGATTTTATTTTATTTTAATCTGATGCTGATGTGACTTCAAAGCAATCTATTACGCTCTATTGCAGCCTCACAGGATGGCCCCTCTGGAATTTGTCACAAGCACATGCAGATACACATGAATTTGTAGATCTCTCTGTGCTTGGCCACCCAAAGCTCAAATACATGACCTGTCTCACACCCTTTCAAACACATGCATTTGGAGAGGATCCCTAACGTGGCAGAGAGAAAGAGAGAAGTCCTGAAATATAGGGCAAAAACCGGTATCAATACAGGACGTAGCATTTTACATTGAAATACGGGACAATCCTGTATTATACAGGACAGGTGGCAACCCCAGCTAGATAAGGCTGAGAGAGACTCCTGCCTGAAATTCTGAAGAGCCGCTGCCAGTCAGTGTACTGAGCTAGATGGACCTCTCCTCCACGGGAGATTTTAAAGCAGAGTTTGGCTGGCCATCTGCCATAGATTCTTTAGCTGAGATTCCTGCATTGTGGTGGGTTGGACTTGACCTTTGGGGTCCCTTCCAACTCTACAATTCTTTCATTCTATGACTCAGTGTAAGGCAGCCAACTGTGGTCCTCCTCCTCCTCCAAAACTGTGTACAGTTCTGGTTGCCTCAGCTCAACAAGGATATTGTTGAGCCCTAGGAAAGGTTCAGAAAAGGCCCACCAAAATGACCAAGGGGATGGAGAAACTCCCTAATGAGGAAATGTTGCAGTCCTTGGGACTTCTTAGTTCAGAGAAAAGGTGAGTAAGACAGTAGTTTATTATGCATGGCATGGAGAAAGTAGATGGAAGAAAGTTTTTCTGCCTCTCTCATGACCCTAGAACTCATGGATATCCAATGAAGCTCAATGTTGGAAGATTCAGGACAGGAATGAGAAAGTGCTTCTTCATGCAGTGCATAGTTAAACTATGGAATTCGCTCCCGCTGGAGGCAGTGAAGGCCAGCAACCTGATGGCTTTAAAGGACAAATTCACGAAGGAGAAAGCTATCAATGGTTACAAGCCACAATGGCTACTCTCTGGCTCCACGGTTGGAGGCAATAATGTATTTGAATAGCAGTTGCTGGAGACAACAGGACAAGAGAATGCTATTGTGCTCAGTTCCTTCTTGCTGGTTTCCCACAGGCATCAGATTGGCCACTGTGAGAACAGGATGTTGGACTAGATGGGCCATTGGCCTGAGCCAGCAAGCTCTTCTTAGGTTCTTGCTGCTGCCACCACTGCTCGTTAACTTGCTGTCACCCTTTGGGCTCAACCCGCACCGCCACCCAAAGCGAAAGAGCAAAGTGTGCAGAGGCTGCTAGTTGTCCTTGCTCTTGTCACCATTCATACACTTTGAAAGGGAATCAGCATGGACTGCAAAGAGCTGGAGCAGCAGGGACGGGGTCAGCTTGCCCACTGAATTGGCACTAGGATGCTGACAGAAGCTGTGAAGTTCAGAGGGTGGCTTTGGAAGCAATAGCCTTCCTTCATTGCTTGTCCGCAGTGCCTTATTTTTAGTGGTAGAGTGCTGCTGAATATGGAGGTTCTGTTCACTTGCCATTGCTGGCAGCCATGTCCTCCATGATTTATCCCTTTCTTCACACAAAGCTGCCTGTACCATCTCCATATATAAGAAGAATGAGGCGCCAGCTGGGGATATGCGTAGAAGAGTGGATAGTTTGGAGGACTGTATGTTGGTGTGGTAGGTGGGCATTATGCAGACGGTATGGACAGCTCCCAGAAGCTCCTACTATGTGAATGAGGCATTATGTGTCATTCTATTTCAGTGTCTGCGACAGGCCAGGGCAATCCATTTGAGTTCTAATCTTGGGGGGCACGTCTTCTGCTCAAGATGAGTCGACTGTATGATAGCATAGAGCCCAATGTAATCGATGACGAGATGCTGCAGAAGGCCGTCGAGGAGCAAGGACCTCAAGAAGAAGCAGGCCTCCTGGCCAAAAAAGAGGGCATCAATTTCAAAGATGTCTTGGCGCTGCAGCTTGATTTTAGAAGTAAGGATCAGAATACAAAACAGGGACTTTAAAAAAAAATAATAAATCAAGGCTCTTTTACTACAAAGTCCTTGCAACATGGAGATTTGCCATGTGGACAGTCAGTGGTTGAACATCCGCTTTTAGGCAGGATTGTGAAGATACTTGAACTAATCTCTGCTCCTCCAGCTTCATCACCCTCTGCCATCTATTAGTCTCCTGCTCTCCCATAGCTCTCCCTTTTCGCTGCTCCTCCCATTTATGCCAAGGGATGGACAAATCCATGAATTCCAGTGTCTCAGATTTCCTATCTTAAGTTTAGGTTGCCTCATTTCCACATCAGATAGTATGGTGCAGAGCTTTTTTAAAATAAAGTCTGCACAAAACATTGTTGCTGTGTGCATTTCTCCTCATATATAATGCATTTTTGGTACACAGTTTCCCCTAATGTAATGCATTTTTGTGGGCACTCTTTCCTAATTTACACTTTTTTGGTATGTATTTTTTTGTTTGAGACCTGCATTGCAAAACTGGGAGAAGTGGAAGTTTCATAGGATAGGCAGATTTCGGTCCACATATTGGTTTGGGAAGTGTGAATTAAGTAGGTTAGCTTTAAAAGGAAATCTGAATAAATTTCTTCCCTATCTCTACATATGGTGGGAACTGCCACCCAGAACACCTGCATGATTCTACTTCTCCCTTCCTGTGGCTTCAGATATCCTGAAGATTGACAACCTCTGGCAGTTCAAGAACCTGACAAAATTGCAGTTGGACAACAACATCATTGAGAAGATTGAGGCACTGGATACTCTGGTTCATCTGGTCTGGCTGGGTAAGATGGTTGCATTCAGGGTCACAACAAATGCTGTGAAATTTTTGTGTAGGAATTAAGAGCAACCTTCACTTCATTCCAGCTGGTGGTTGCACCCTGGTGTATTTTGGAAGTGATTTCCATGTTGGAATTGTATCATGTGTCAAGCAGCCCCCAATATGCTACTCCAGACGAGGTCCTGAAGCTTCCTTGGCTACCTTTCCCCTCCCAAGTTGACATTAGTTGGGTTTGACTGCAAATTCTATTTGAGTGTTGATCAGGAATTTTGCCTGTGCAGGATAGAGACTGGTGCCATAGGGTGGCATTCAACTAAGGTTTACTCAGAATAGACCCACTGAAATTAATGAACGCCAATTAATTTTAATAGGTCCACACTGAGTAAAGCCTAGTTGAATAGAACCTGTAAACTCTGAAGATAATACCGTATTTTTCGCCCTATAGGACGCACCTTTTCCCCTCCAAAAATGAAGGGGAAATGTGTGTGCGTCCTATGGGGTGAATGCAGGCTTTTGCTGAAGCCTGGAGAGTGAGAGGGGTCGGTGCGCACCGACCCCTCTCGCTCTCCAGGCTTCAGGAAGCTATCCGCAAGCCGTGGGAGAGCTGCTCAAAGTCGCGCAGCTCTCCCACGGCTTGTGGAGAGCTGCCTGCACCCCAAAGCCTGGGGGGCGCTGAGCTCAAAAAACTAGGTGCACCCTATGGGCCGGTGCGCCCTATGGACCGAAAAATACGGTAATTCCATACCAGCCATCAAATGGCAGCTCGAATGAAGATGGCATTTGAGACTGCCTGATGAGAGACGGTTTTTGTTCCCAGCCAAACTGACCTCCACTTTGTTTCCACTCCAGCCCCTTGAAAAGACAGAATGACCTCATCAATTTGCCCTTTGTTAGAAGAAGGCCGAACAACATTCTCTTCAGAGTCTTCCCTCTTTCTCATATTTGCTAGATATATGATTTCCTGTTGGGGGGAAAACAGAACCAGGATAGAAAATAATGTTTTTTTTCTGAAACCTATATGCATTTGAAACATTCTAGTTAGAACAGTGGTTCTCAAAATGTAGGGCAGCTCCCCTTGGAGAAGAGGCACATAGGATACTTAAAAGCGGACAAGAAGTTCCAGGGAGGGCTAAGTCACCTCCTACCTATTGATTCCAACAGAGAGAGAAAAACTGATTCTGTGAATAGAAAAGAGTTCCCTAAGAGGATTTGAATGGTTTCCTTCTCAGAGCTCTTGCCTCCCACATTCTTTTTCTGCTCCCCCAGATTTGTCCTTCAACAATATTGAAGTCATTGAAGGCTTAGATGCGCTCGTTAAATTGCAAGATCTTAGTCTGTACAACAACAGGATTTCTAAGATCGAGAATCTGGACACGCTCCAAGAACTTCAAGTCTTCTCTATAGGAAATAATAACATACAAACTCTGGAAAATGTAAGAGTTTAATTAATAAAGCCGTATAAAGTCTCTAGTGGCAATCCTGTGTACTCTCGCTTGGTAGTTACTCTCTTCTGAACCCAGTGGTGTTTACTTCTAAGTAGACATATGGAGGCTGAAGCTGCTACTTTTCTTTGTCCTCCAACACCTCTCTGGCAGAGATGGTCACTTCCATTTCATGGCCGAGGATCTGAAGCTTAGAGAGTGACATGCCCATGGCCATTTAGTGAGTCGCTGTTGGAGCAGGATTTTTTATATATTTTTTCTTCATCTACTGTAAATCTCCTGTCGTAATCACTAGAAAACATCTGTGCTCAGTGTACAATCGGAGCAAACTCATTCACCCAGTGCCAGTATTTATGTTGCCAAAACAGCACCATCTACACCCAAGAAGAAGGAATAAGCAAGCACTGAAGGAACCCCTCTAGAGGTTTGCAGCAGGACAGAAAAGGGTAGTTAGAAAGATAAACCCCGAAGGGGGTGGATGTGTGCAAAACAACTCAGTAAAGACTGATTGTGCTCATTGGTCACAGAATGCTTACTGGTGATGAAGACAGATAGAAAACAGGGTGGTTATGGAATAGAGTATCCAGAAAAAGGGCATGGCTGGCATGAATTCTGAATTCTGTACTGCAGCACTTCTTGCAGTAGCCACATTGATATCTAGTGTTTTACAGTATTCAACATCACTGTCAGTAGGCTAACGTTTTATCCCCTTGTTGCAGACTGGAAAAAAGCTGGGTATCAGTATTTTAAATGAATATAACTCTCCTGTGTGGACTGAAATCATGCCCCTAGGGCACACCCAATGCTTGTTTGTAGCTGCATATTTACAAGGAGAGCAAAATCAGCCAAGGGGGTGTTCAGTCTGTCTTCAAAGCTCTTGCCTTGACATTTAGCAGTCCTCCATTGAAACTATTAGCCTAACAAATTAAATTCCAGGAGCTTCACTAGGCCCAAATAACATCTGGTGCCAGTAGTAGTCACGGTTTATCCGAAACAGCACTGTCCACCTCCCTATTGCCTTCTTAGGTACCCTGTTCTAATCATAACACAGTGCAGTAAAGAGGAAGAAGTAATTAAAGGATGCAACAAAGGAGAAGGGGCAAACAGGACTTGTAGGCAACTGTCTGCCAGTAAACAGGGACCGGAGGGGCTGAGACTGGGCTTCAAGAGGCTAAAATTTGTGAATGGTGAACCAAGTCTCCTTCCTTTTTCTTCTTTCAAAGTATCCCACTGTTTTTATTCATATCACACAATGCATGGTGCCTTAACAGAGTTACATAAGCAACGTAAAACACAGACAAATCTTCCCTACTACCCACCTCATAACTTCTTATTGTTATTATTATTTATTAAATTTCTACGCCATCCTTCATCCGAAGATCATATGGCAGTTAAGAATCTAAAAACACAAACCGCAATAACAAACAAACAAACACAAACACCCCTACACACAGCTTAAAATACCATAGATTGTTAGCCAAAGGCCTGGGAGAAGAGGAATGATTTTGCCTGGCACCTAAAGACATGTTACGAAGGTGCCAGGCAAACCTCCCTGGAGGGAGCATTCCACAAGTGGGGAGCCACCACAGAAAAGGCCCGCTCTTGTGTTGCAGCCCTAAGGACTTCTCATGGACAGAGAACAGCCTCAAATGGTGACTGCAGGGGAAACAACAGAGAAGAAAGTGGGGGCGGGGGGGAATGGGTGAGAAAATTTCTCTCGACATCCAGAACATGGGAAGCCTCCCTGAAATTATTTAATTTGGATTGTATAATTGGTTTTATTATTTGTGTTTTAATGTGGCAAGATTCAATCTGATTTGTTACTAATTTGAATGCCTTTAATTGAAAATGAATTATTATTATTATTATTATTATTTACAAAAAAGATGATGACTGCAGGGTCCAGGTAGGCTCATATGGTGAGAGGTTATCTAAAATAGAAATTACAGCAGTAGATAGGGAGAGGGAAAGAAAGTCAAGAGCAGAGAGACAGCAGTGTCGGCAGATGTTGTTACACATACTTATCACTTGGTTACAGTTGGAAATGAGGATTTTATTGATAGATGGATTTCATTTATATCCCACTTTTTTTCCTCTAAGGAGCTCAAAGTGGCACACATGATTCTCCCCATCCTCGTTTTATCCTCCACAACATCCCTGTGAGGTAGGTTAGGCTGAGAGGCAGTGCCTGGCCTAAGGGAGTCACCCAGTGAGTTTCATGGCTGAAGGGGGATTTGAACCCTGGCCTGCTGGGTCTGACACTCTAACCACAACACCACACTGCCTCTCCAAGGGGTTGAAGGAGTTGACCTTAACCCCCAGTGAACACCTGTGGTGGTGATCTTTCTCCCCATCCCCTGGTGAAGCATGTGTGTAGGCGGGGGGAAGGGTGTACATGGAGGCTGTTTCATGCTCAACAGGAGAAGGGGAAATGGGGGAAATTGTTTTCCATATTAAATCTTACCTCTTAGTGAATTCCACTGCTGTGGTATCCTTTTAACTTCTGAGTAGACACACATAGGATTTCACTGTAAGACAGTAAAAATGCATTTTCCTGTGGATTGTAGTTTTAGACTAGTAAACTGCCTGAGGATGCCCTTCCCAGAACCTGGATAGATGTGATGCTTGCAGCAGATGAAACTTTGGTTGTTTTAGCTTCCCTTGATATCCATGAGGTTTAGAAACTTGCGGGGCGGGGGGGTTCCCTCACAACCTATGGCATAACTGCAACTGTGCAGCAAAGATCCTTGCTTTTAATGGTTCCGTCTGTTGGGATGGATCTGCTTTCAGAAAGAAACCAGTACTCAGGTTTTTTTGGTCCAGAAGTCACAATGTGTGCTATGTGCATCAGCATGTAATAATTTATTTTTGCTGGGTTCATTTGTGTTTTGAACCAGGGGGCCACCAACCACAAGAGATACCGCAGCAGGATCTCGTTCTCATTCAGTAAAAAGTCTAAGAGTCTGCGAGTGTTTAATGACTCCAAATTTGACATTTTCCGACGAAGAACACCCCCTTTCCTCTTGTTCATCTTTTATGAAAATCAATTTTCCCCATAAATATTTTGTCCTCATGGCTCTCTGTATTTCTCTGTCACCTTGCCACAGGTGATCTATCTCAGGAAGTTCCAAAACCTGCGCACGTTGAACCTCACCGGGAACCCAGTGTGCGAAAACGAAGTATATTCCGCATTCATCGCCGCTTATCTCCCCGACCTTGTGTACCTGGATTTTAGATTGGTAGATGACAACTCGGTAAGGATGGAAAAGTTCAGCCCCTTATCTCTTGCTGTTTTAGCTTTCCTATCTACCCCAAGTGCCAGAAAGCCGGTGAGGCTGCCTCCTCACTCCTCTCCCCACAGGGATTTTACAGCCCTTATTCTAAGCAGGTGGCGCTGTGGGTTAAACCACAGAGCCTAGGGCTTACCGATCAGAAGGTTGGCGGTTCGAATCCCCGCAACGGGGTGAGCTCCCGTTGCTCAGTCCCTGCTCCTGCCTACCTAGCAGTTTGAAATCATGTCACAGTGCAAGTAGATAAATAGGTACCGCTCTGGCGGGAAGATAAACAGCGTTTCCGTGCGGTGCTCTGGTTCGCCAGAAGCGGCTTAGTCATGCTGGCCACATGACCCGGAAGCTGTACGCCGGCTCCCTTAGCCAATAAAGCGAGATGAGCGCCGCAACCCCAGAGTCAGCCACGACTGGACCTAATGGTCAGGGCTCCCTTTACCTTTTTATTCTAAGCAATGGAGTAGGAAGGGGGATGCGGCGGATGCGGGCTGTCCCGGGTGTCAGCCCTGAGGGGGGTGACAAAAGGGCAAAAATATGAGTTTTTAAAATAAAAAACAAAAAAAATTGGGCTCATGGAAGTTTTTTGGGCTCACAACAAATGCAACGAAATGCGGCTGGCACTGGGCGCCACACTGTGGGGGCTGGCACTTACCGTGGGGCCTGCAGCACGCCCGAACCACGTGTCTCTCCTGGGAGTGACGGGGTTGCTTGGGCGCCTGCAGGCGCCACACTGCCTAAAACGGCAGTGTGGGCTTGCGTCTGCCCACCGCCTCTCCCTCAGCCACCCTACAGCTGAGGGGGAGGCAGTGGAGAGGCTTTGCGCAGTGCGCCCTGCACTGGCTCACCCCATCCCCATGGGCGGCTCGCTCCGCCCCCAGGTGCAGGGTGTGTGCACTGCCCTGGGCACCCGAGCGGCTAGCTATGCCATTGATTAGTATAAATTTCAACACAGTAATTTTAACAAAACACATCATCCACATTGTTCCCCCCCTCCATTTCCCCCCTCCCCCCCCAGAGAGAAAACCCACCCTCCCACCCCAGACTTCCCTCAGCTCCTTTCTCTGGTTTCTCAACATATCTTTCTATCTGCATGTTATAAAATTGTAAAGATCCTCAAATTATCTATGTATTATAATAAAGAGTTTGTGAATGTTTATTCAAAACCTGCCAAAGAGTCCAGTTCATTTTGTTGCCTCTTCAAATATTTCGTAAAAGGTTCCCATTCATCTTTAAAGTCACAGTTATCCTTATCACGTAGTTTGTGTGTCAATTATGCCAATTCTGCATAGTCCATCGGTTGCTACGCCATTGATTCTAAGCTGCCTGTCCCCGTTTTCTTTTCCCAGCGAGAGATGGCCCTGATAAAATACCAGTATGCCATCGAGGAGATGAGACATGGGGAAACTCTGGCCTTGGCCAAGCAGCAGGTTCTGGATGCCCAACAGAAACAGGTGGAATATCACAAGGTATGTTCTTTTTGGGCCGTCTGTAGAATCTTAGAGTTGTAGCCCAACCCCCTGCAATGCAGGAATGTAGATCGCAGGGATGTTGAGAGAACCCAACAGATACCGGATTCTCTTTCAGCCTCCTGAATAGGTGTTGGTCTCTGAACACTGAGATATGAAATAAGAACCAGTAAGAAAACAGTTGTGGATTCAACAGACACAAAGTGGAAAGCTAAACCAAACAGTTTGTACAAAACAGTTCATACACGAGAACGGGCCTTCTCTGCAGTGGCTCCCCATCTGTGGAATGCTTTCCCCAGGGAAGTTCGCCTGGCGCCTTCATTATACACCTTTAGGCGCCAGGCAAAAACGTTCCTTTTTAACCAGGCCTTTGGTTGACCTGATTGACATCCTATACCCTTTTAAAATGTGGCTCTTTTTTGGAGGGTGTGTGTGTTATTGGGTTGTTTTTATTTTGATTTTCTATAATGTGATCTTTTCTGTGAACTGCCCTGAGACCTCCGGGTATATAAATTCAATTAATTAATTAATGGCTTGAAAGAGGTTGTTTCCGGAGTGCTAACCAAAGAGAGGAAAAGGTTCTGTAATTTTGGAGCCATTCTCGATAGGGCTCAGCTCCTTGCTGTTAATATTATCAGTTTCTACCTTGTTGACAAGACTTCAGTTGGCAAGCGGGAATCGTGGGGAGATTTATAGATGCCTGGATGTCTTGACCCCCACTTGGGCAGGTGTTTAGCTGAGAACAGGAACCTCCTAGAAGGGAGATGGAAGAGACTGAGTGTGCGGTTCAAGGCCTGGAGACTCCCTTTAAGGAAAGAGGCAGGGGCTGAGGTGGCAGGGGCTGGGGCAGAGAGTGATCTAAAAGGCCTCATTTGAACTCCACACCCGTTTGAACTTCTCTTCTGTTCATTTGAAGCTCTCCAACCTCTGGTTTTACCTATGTATGTATGTATGTTTGTCTCATATTGCCTCTCACTTTTCCTCCAGGGAGCTCAAGGTGGCATACATAGTTCTCCCTCCACCCCCCAATTTTTAACCCACAGCAGCCTTGTGAAGTAGGTTAGGCTGAGAGGCAGCGACTGGCCCAAAGTCACCCAGTGAGCTTCATGGCCGAGTGGGGATTTGAACCCTGGTCTCCCAGCTGCTAGGCCAACACTCTAACCACTATACCACATTGGCCCTATTGTCCTCAAATGACCAGCTCTCAAAGTCAATATGGTCTGCTGAGGGTTGATGAACTGTGAAAGAATACATTGTTTATTTTGTTATTTTTGGAAAACAGGTGGTTCTTTTCTTAAATATTCCACAATATGCATTTCTTCGTTGTGTTAACTGGTCTGCTATTTATTTTAAGGGACCCCGGCCCTTTTATTTTTCTTCTTAGCATCTCAGAACCATCTGAATTTAAGGCATAAGATTCTCCCCATTTCCTTTGGGCAACTATCTTCTTCTGATTCCCTGTCATTGACTGGTTGGATGCAGAAGAATGGTGGGAGGAACCAGCTGGGGAACCCCCAAGGGAAGAAGAACCAGAGTCTAGGGAGTGGTCAAAGGTAGAAGACAGGGAGTATGATGTGTCAGAAGCTGAAGAGGTAACAGAGCTTAGTGAGCAGGGAGAGTCTATGACAGAGAGAAGCCCAGAATCAGAGGCAGAAGCTGAAGCAGGAGAGGAGAGAGACCAAGAGGCAGAGATGAGTCAGGCTGGGGAAGAGTCACGGGTGTCGTCTCCCTCTTCTGCTGTGACAAGCTCCCCTCCCAGAACCAGAAGAGGCATGAAAAGGGTGGAGGAGAGGTTGCCTTCATGCATGTGCAGCCTCCAATTGCTGTGGGAAAGCCCTGGAGAGAAGGGAACCTAGACGCTTGTGGGGAGACAGGGACCTTTCGTCTTGGCAACCGCTTCCTGGGGGCAAGATCTGAGTTGCTGCGCTCATTAGGCCTGACACGCCTGTGCTAATGAAGAGTTAACTCCGGCTTGCTTGGTGCGATGGACTGCCAGCTCACTCCTGTTATTTCCCTTCTGCCTCCTTGCTTCTCTCTCCAGCGCGCTTACGTGGAGTATCTGAACGGAAGCTTCCTCTTTGACAGCATGTTTGCAGATGATCCCGAAGCAGCCAAACTGCTCTACCTCCCTGGAGTGCCAGAGCTACTGGAGATATATCCTTTTTTTAAAAAAAAACCACACAACTTTAAAAAAAAATTAACAGTTTTTCTACACACATCATACAGTATTCATCGCCCATCTCTTTTCCTAAGACTGCCCAATCCATCCCTCTGTGGCACGCTAGGGCAATCTTAATCTGCTGCATATCCTGATATTTCACCCATTATCATTTCAAGTCTTCCTTTTTTGATGTTATCTGCTGCTCATATGTTAACCCCTACTTGTAGGTTAAATTGTATATCGTACCCTCTAAGATAATCTCCCAAATACCTCCACTCTTCTCTTATCTTTAACTAATCCTTATTCTTTAGTTTCACGATCATGGCTACTAATTCTATGTATTCTATCAATTTGTTCTACCAAATTTCCTTAGTGAGTATCTCTTCTTCCGCATATACTATTCAAGCCGAAGCGGCTGCATACAGAAAGATATTGGGTGCCTTTTCTGGAATGGCATCACCTATTATCCCTAATAGAAAGGCCTCTGGTCTTTTGGGAAATGTGAGTTTTAGGGGGGGGAATTAATTCTGTGCGGAACATTTCCCAATACTCTCTAATGTATTTACACGACTTCCACATATGAATCAGGGTTCCCTCCACCTCGTGGCATTTCCAGCATAAATTAGACCCTTTTAAATACATTTTCACTAATGTGCTAGGTGTCAAGTACATGATCTTTTGTAGGTTTTCCTTAATAACATAACAGGCAGAGAAATTCATGGTTTCAGCCCATAATTTTTCCCATACAGACAATTCTATGTTGTAACTGATATCTATGGCCCATTTTGTCATTGTCACCTTTGCCATCTCATCTTTGGTCTGCCACGCCAGTAACAAGTTTTATAGATTTTTGAGATACATCCTTTCTGCTTTGGGACAGAACTGGTGATAAACCTTGAGAAAGGGATGTTCTCTGGAGTGGGGTTTCTTGCTTGTTATGAGGGCTACTGTGAGTCATAGTGATCTCCAACAACAGGAGGCAACAGCCCAAACAAGACACTAGAAGCAGACACAAGCCTTTTTTCTTTCCTTTTCAAACACAACTCAGTACTCTCCTTGACTCCGACTTCACATACAAGACTAAATTTGTGGCCATTTGCGAGAACCTGTTTGAGTATGGCCTGAAGCAATACGAGAAGCGAGAGGCTGAGGTCGCCCTCTTCTATGAGTGCCTCAACGAAGCCCTGGAAGAGAACCACCAGCAGTGTTCCAGAATCCTGCGGGACTTTGAAGAGAAGAATCATGGGGTACACAAGGGACCTCGGGTCAGGGATGGGGAACGCAGTTGGACTCGCAACTTCCATCAGCCCCAGTGAGCATAAGGCGGATGATGGGAGTTGGAGTCCCACAACCTCCGGAGGACCATAGGTTTGCCACTTGTAAGTGATTAGAAAACCGAGCCATCTTTGATTAAAACCGGGATCGCTCCACCACAGCTATTTAGTTCTGATTTTTTACAGGTCAATACTGTAAAGGTAAAGGTACCACTGACCGTTAGGTCCAGTCACGGACGACTCTGGGGTTGCGCACTCATCTCGCTCTATAGGCCGAGGGAGCCGGCGTTTGTCCCCAGACAGCTTCCAGATCATGTGGCCACATGACTAAGCCGCTTCTGGCAGTGCATGGAAAACGCTGTTTATCTTCCCGCCGGAGTGGTACCTATTTACCTACTTGCACTTTGACATGCTTTCGAACTGCTAGGTGAGCAGGAGCTGGGACTGAACAACGGGAGCTCACCTCGTCACGGGGATTCGAACTGCCGACCTTTCGATCAGCAAGCCCTAGGGCTCTGTGGTTTAGACCACAGCGCCACCCGCATCCCTGGTCAATACTGTAGCAAGGGCTTAAACCTCTCAGGCAGGCAAAGCGACCAGGGAGTCAGCCCCACAGTCTGATGAGGAAGCTACATCCTCGAGATGGGATGTTACTTCTTAATCCTTCTTGCTATGCTTGACCTACCTCACAGGATTGTTGTGAGGACTTAATGGGGGGGTCATGTATACCATCCTGAACTGCTGGGGGACGGAGGGGAGGCAGGATAGAATGTCATTAGTAACTGTTCCCCGTGACTGTGCAAAGGATCACATCCTGAAAGTACCATCAGGTGCTGACTTAAACCAAGGCAACAAACTGTTTAAATAGGTGTATTTTGTTTTCAATTGACTTGGACCTAATCCTAAACACTTTTAGCTAGATTTAAGTCAGTCAAAGCACACTATACCCCAGGGGTCACATTCCCCGCACACATAAGTGAGATGTACGCTAAGTGGGAGCCTGCAGAGGCCTTGTGGCTTGTGCAGAAACCCTTCCCAGGACCATGGTCACATTGAGGAACTCTTTATAAGCTTCAGAAGGAACGTCTGGCTTTCATAGAATACAGTTTGAAAATCCCTGTGGGAACTTATGTCAGGAGCTCGTCCTACACTCGAGTAGGACCCTGGCAGAGACACATGCCCGACTGGCATGTTCTCTCCCTCCTGGTCGATCGTTGGGGAGCTTCAAAAGCTTTCTTCAGCCCAAACATCACATTGACCGATGCCAACAGACATTGGCACACTTAGGGATCCGCAGAGTCTTTGCAGCTTGCGTCACAGACCTCAGCAACTCAGCATTTTGGCTAATCTACTTTATTTACATATAAATACACATGGAGCACTGCAACATGGCTCCCTCTCTCTCTAGCATCAGACAACAAAGAGAAAAAGAACAAGGACAATTGTCCCACTTCACAGAACACAGTAACACAAACATCCTGTCTCCGTCACTTCCCACTCTGTGGAGTCAAAACATACACCGTCATGTGGAAGACAACAGTTCTATGACTGCAATCACGGAGCAGGAATTCTAACAACTTAGTCACTGCTTCACATTCCCATTGTGTGCACCAGAGTATCACCACCACCACCACCAATAATGAATAAAATAAATTATTTCTGCCACGGGGCAACAGCTGCTAACCTTCTGTTTCTTGCTGAGCACACAGGTGATAGATACGATTCAGAACCTCAGCGACAACCAAGTCATAGAGATCAAACTGGCTGAATACAACTATGAAATCACAAAGCTCTCGGACGTGCTGATGACTGAGGAGATGCTGCTGGTTGATCAGCTGGAGGTATGAACCTGGCAGAGCTGGACGTTCGGGTGCTGGGGACTCCAAGGCTGGATTACTGCACTTCACACTATGGGGGGCCTCCCTGTGCTGGATCAGAAGCTGCAGTTAGCGTGGTTGCTGGCAGGAGTGAGACCTGCATTGGTTTTGCCCACTTGATCCCAACCCAAGATCAAGGTGTTGCTGTTAGTGCAAAAAGCCATTAATAGTGTGGGAGCAGTTTACTTGCAGGATCACTTTCCCCCATATGTACCTGCTCAACCACTTGGATCTGTGGAACTGGCGCTGTTAAAGGTGTCACGTAATACCTGTTCCACACTTGTAAGAAATCGATGTTTTGGTGTGATGGCAGCTTTGGAACTTCCTGCTGGTTGACATCAGGCAGGTGCCTTCACCATATTCTTTTTGGAGTCTACTTAAAACATTTTTATTTAGGTCAGCCTGTCCGGACATGTGGAAGTTACATGTGTTTTATGTCTTTTAAGCTAAAGCTGATTTTAAACATCTTTTGAATGTTTTTAAATGCCTGCTGCAAGCCGGTTTTTACTGAGAATCTTAATGCTTCGTTTTCTATTTTTGTAAACTGCTGCGAGTTTTTCTTACATTAAAACGTTATCTATCTATCTACCTATACATATATATATTTGGCTAACTATATTAATAAAAATAAATAAATAAAATAGTCAGCAAAAACGACAGGAAGGTAGATTCTCCTGTGTGTTTCAGGCCCGATTTCCAAAACTTGTGGGAGTCAAACTGTTTTGAGTCAAACTCAGTTTTGCCCTCTAATTTCCCACCCCTTTTCTTTTCTTGCTAAGGAAGTGATAAAGGATTTCGAAAGGAACATCGCTGACCTGGTGTCGAACTTTATAGAAAACGAACAAGGAATATATCCTTTTGCTGTCGCTTGCACAGAGCTGCAAATTGTGGCGGGCGCTTTGCTTCGGATCAACAGAGCTGGCTTGTCCACACTGTATGGCATTCGATTGCTTCTCATTACTGTGCGGTAGGGCCGGGATTGATTTCAGTTTTGGAAGCATTTCTCAGGCCCCTAAGAACCACAGGGCTTTCCTCTCCATTCACTCTTTATGCCAAGACCTGTCTGAAGAGCTGCTGCGGTATAATACTCAATGTAATAGCGGCATTTCCACCTAAAATCCTGGGCTAGCATTTTAGCTTTCCTGGAGGACAACCCTGAGAAGCAAGGGTGGTGAGCCTCTACACTTCCACCCCATAAAGGAAGTTCTGTTGTCATGGGACCACTCCTGCCAACCAAAAGTACAAGAAGCTTGGAAACTGGGGCTGGGGTGTCCAAGCGGCATCCCTGGGGAGTGCATTTAACTCGAGGACCTTTGTTGGGCCATGAAGGGCTGAGTCCTTGCTGTCACAATGAACACAAACTGAGGCTGGGTGCACATTCTCATGTGCTCCGCATCCATTGTGCTCCCACCACTGGTTTGGGAATCAGTGCACTCACAATGTCATGATCCTTGTCTCTCCTGGACCTACCCTGTCGCATCTTACGAAATACTGAATGGATCTATACTCATGGTTTTTAACGCTAAAAATGAGTTTTAAAATGGTTCTGATAACCGTATAGCCACGTGACGTTCTTCTTAAACGTTAATAATGCATTATTAACATGCGATACCATAGAGTATGGTAGAGTATACCATACCATAGAATATGTTGTTGTTTAGTCGTTTAGTTGTGTCCGACTCTTCGTGACCCCATGGACCAGAGCACACCAGGCACTCCTGTCTTCTCCATGGAGTTTCTTGGCAGGGATACTGGAGTGGCTTGTCGGTTCCTGATCCAGGTGGATCATGTTTGGTCAAAACTCTCCACTATGACCTGTCCATCTGGGGTGGCCCTGCATGGCATAGCTCATAGCAGAGCTCTCCCCTTCCAGAAACCGGGTAGACCTTGCAGAAAAGGAAGCAGAGGAGAAACAAATATCTTGACGTTTTAGAACATGTTTAATATCGTTCAAATGACGTTTAAAAAGTGAGTGTAGATCCAGCCACTGTGTTTTGATGCGTTCTTCCCCCCAAGCCACCTTAGATCCGAATTGAGAAAACTGTTTTTTAAGCTGGCAATGTGTGCACGGCCTTAGTTTCCATCCTCTCGGCCAGCCTTCCCTGCCTCCTTTTGTTCAAACACTGGGCAGTAGGAAAGGGTTGCTGAGAGGCATCCCTGTTCTTTGCTTCTTAACCTTTTCTCCTACGATGGCTCAGTGCCGGGATCTAGAGAACCAGCACCACGAGAAGCTCCTGGAGATATCCGTCAACACACTGGAGAAAATAGTGAAGAGCGAGTTTGATGAGGAGATGCCGGATGACGTTCGTATGGTGAGATCCAACTCCTCCTATTCCTCCCCTTTCACCATTAAGACCAGAATAGGCAAAACCCTCTTGGCGTGACTCATCAGTAAGAGATGACCCTTCATGGGATGGTGTTTTGTCTACAGCCAAAAAAAAAAAATGGCCCTCCTCTCACCTGGTTTCCTTCCTAGCTTTTTGTGGATAAAGACACCATTGTCAATGCCGTCAACGCCTCTCACGACATTCACCTCCTGAAGATTGACAACCGAGAAGACGAAATTATCACTAAAGCCAATGGCTGGGCTTCCACACTGGTTGAGAAGGTAAGTGAAGAGTCCCATTGCCCCTCTGCAGGAGGCCTTCTCACAGAAGGAAATAACCAGCATTAAGGACATGAGCACTTTCATCTTATTGTTAACAAGGTAGCTGGTGGCAGTGGCATATCGGGGAGGGGAGGTCGGGGCCATTGCCCCAGGTGCAAAATTGTTAGGGGCACAAAATTTCAACACCCGGTGCTGCTCGCTTCCGTCACTAAGCTCTGTTGAAAATGGCTTCTCTATACAAACCAGGAAGTGACCTCTCCAGACAACAACTATTTTTTTCTTATCCCTGTGCTTGCAATCTTCTGGGTGACGGGGACGTTATTAAGACAATTGAATGTGCATGCATACTCAGTCAATTTCCTTCCCTCCCAGCCCTCTGTGTGGATTGGCGTTATGTGCAAACCCAACATCCTTCCTTAACCATGGTTTGTTTTAACATTCCCCCCAGGCACTCAACAAGCTACAAAGGCACGAGACCATAGCTGTCAATGTTTCCCTTTTATGAAGGGAAATTCCTTTATTCTGAATAGGATTCCTTGCAAGAAAAGGGAAACGTTGACAGCTATGCACGAGGCAAGCACAGCTAGGGGGAAAAAACTCCAAAACAAAACACTTTGCAGAAACAAGCCATGATTTGTTTGACTGTCTGTGGGGCAATCTATGGCTAACTTGTGGTCTGTTAAACAAACTGGACCAACTGTTTCAATCCCTGCAGGTTCACAAGACTGAAATTCAAAGAAACCGAAGTCGTGTGTTGGAAATTAACCAATACGTTGACCATCTCCGCAGTGAGCTGGACAACATGGACATTCTGGAGACATAGCTGGCTTTCGACACTGAACTGCCCCTGCCCCCCCATTTGGGGATCTGTGACTTTCTGCTTGGGAAGTGAATCCGCCTGGAGGTCTCCTACCTACTGAAAAGACACCCTAAAAATATTCCTTCCTTACTGGAAGGAATCCTCTGCCCCTCCAACGTTTGTTGATCAAAACAAGTAGACTAAAGCAGACAGTAAGGCATTTAAAAGCAAAAGGAGTTGGCTTAAATTGGTGCCTTGTAAATTGGTGCCTTATAAAGCAATTATACAGGAAGTGGGTCAGTTCCATCTTTTGCATTAATTTCAATTACATAGGTAGTTGAACCTTCAAAAATTGTAGGCTAATGAACAAATTACCGTATTTTTCGTCCTATAGGGCACACCGGCCCATAGGACGCACCTCGTTTTTTGGGGGGGAAATGAATAAAAAATCATTATTTCCTCCCCCAGCCGCGGCTGCCGCCCCAAGCCTTGCGCACACCTGCCCGAAGCACGGGACGCCCTCCGGAGGGCGCCCCGTGCTTCGGGCTGCAGCCCGCAAGCCTTGTGAGCCCGCGGGAACTCCCGCCGGGCTTGCAAGGCTTGTGGATAGCTTCCTGAAGCTTGGAGAGCGAGAGGGGTCGGTGCGCACCGATGCCTCTCGCTCTCCAGGCTTCAGCGAAAGCCTGCATTCGCCCCATAGGACGCACACACATTTCCCCTTCATTTTTGGAGGGGAAAAAGTGTGTCCTATGGGGCAAAAAATACGGTAAAACCCTGATTAGAGGACCCAATTAGCATTGGTGCGCTGTCTAAAAAATGGTTGGCTCTGACATTGATTGGACCCTCATTTCACAGCATGAATGGAACCCATAGATGGGGCAAGTGACTGGCCAGTGGTGAAAGGCCCAAGAAGAGGGGAGAGGGTCTACTCAGGGAGGGCAGAACATTTGCACTGCGCAGAGGAGCCTCTCCCCAGCCAGAACATTTCCAGATATGGTTCTTGGGCTTATGTGGGGGCTTGCGCCAGCCCACTGAGCCTTACTGACGCTCCATTTGGAATGAAAGGATGACCTGGAACACATTGACACTCCTTTGGCAGCTGGACATCTCAAGGGGAAATCAGGATTAGCATGCATCCCATGGTTTAGGAAGCGTGTTCAATGTATTCTTGCATAATGTATACAAAGGGAGAGCCTTCCTGTACTGCGGCTCCAAGCCCATCCCTGAGCAGAATCTCTCTCCATAAGACGCTCAGCTGTTAAATGAACGTGGGACCAGCTTCTCCAAATCTAAGCTCCTACAAAGGACATTCTCCACCTTCAGAAGGCAGATAACCAGCAGACAAAACAGGCAATAAGACCAGGAAACAATGTGAAGGAGGCTGCTTCAGGTGGCCAAAGTTCCCCTCCATGAACAGAGAAAATGGATATGTCAGGCTACTGGCCGAGACTTCTCCTTGACATGCTAGCTTTCTGTGTGCAAGGAAGTTTGTTTCAAGATGAAGGAGCCCTTGGGAGAATGAGGGAGCTGGCCAAGGTACCACATATGGCCCCCAAAAAACAGCTCACATCTTAAAACCGAGTCCAAGGCATTGCCAGAGATGGTTTAGTACTCTTGTTAGTTAAGGTTTGTTCCTATTTAAATTTCCCAACTTTGCACCTGTGCCATGAATGTAAAAGGCAAAGAATCACAATTTTCCTTTCCACACCAACAGAGGAAATAAAGGGTGGTTGCAGCTATTTTAAACCCAGGCCAATTTGTAGGGGTGTGGAGTGCTTCTAACTTTTCATGTGGTTGACAGCCAACAAGGGGTACCGCTGTGTCTCCTGAAAAGCTCAGAATTCCCTCCCCAATGAAGAAGCAGACTGCAGAACAGCTGGGCAGAATCACAGCCCCATTTTTTAAGGGGGGACCTTGAACTTTCTCCTTAAAAATCGTATCATCCTCGCCGTCATGTGCTTGGACTTTGCCATTATTTCTGTAAAACTCCCATTCCTGTTTTCCTAAAGGCAGGTGCATCCATCAACCAGTGGACAAAGCTGATAACCCCCAGGTCTGAGAATGGCCAGAACCTACAGGGTTTTGACCACAGCTGCCTTGGCCGGCCCCCTCCACACAGTCCTGCTCTCTCACTGCATTCTCTTATTGGTCAACCTAAGCCCAGAAATCAGGTTCAGACCACCTTTGTCTAGAATGGTCTTTACCCAGATTAGCTCTCCAGGGATCCAACTCTGCAACCCAAAATCTTTTCGCTTTAGCTGAACTTGGAGCAGCTGCAAAGCAAATGTTTGGGCCAGAGAGCTCTGGCACTGAAACCAACTCCTTTTAAACAAACACACACATGCACCCAGAAATCCACATTGCATGTAGAGGCACCAAACAGGAATATTTAATCAAACTGTAAGGGAGGGGAGAAGAATGCATTTTTCTCTGCTGGGTACACAAAGGGGTGAAAACAACCGCCATAGCAGGCTCTGGCTTCCTTGGAGACACAGAGGCCTGCTATGAAACTATGGGAGGATGTGCAATGGTTAGGGGGATATAGGGAGACTTAACTCTGGTTCTGGCCTGGGTTCTGGCCCCCTCCAACTGCAGATAACTTGTTGCTGCAGCTTACTACAGAGAGAAGGGGGAGGCAGCGAGGAGGGCAGGTCAGAGCAAATGCAACAGATTAGCATCATACCACCTTTGCTATAAAAGCAGCCGTGATTCGCCTGCTGAGAGGTCAAATAGGTGCCTACACCCCTCCATGCTGTCCAAAGTACCCAGCAGCTGTTTCACATCTTCACCCCTTGTGCAACAGAGGCTGCCAAGACCCCACTTAATTCTAAACGGGGGAGCACTGATGCCCACAGCGCAAGCCATTCTCGTTTCGAGAGAAGCAAAGGGATTGACTGCTCTCTCTTGATTTGTCAGGAGCCCCTAGTGAGCCACCACCTTGGGTTAAGAGGTGAGGCTGTGCCACACTGCCCACCACTGACTGGTCCAGATTCCAATCAAGTTGGGTGGTGGGCAGCCTCAGCCCAGCCAAAATGAACACCCTGCAGCAGCTGTGCTCAAGAGGCTTGCCTCCCCGTGGAAAATGTGCATCCTGCTGGGAAACTCAAACTGGGCTGCTGCTGGTAAGCCAGGGAATCAAGGAGAATAGGGGCCACAATGGTACAAAATAGCCACAGCTGGACGGTGCCTGTCACTTCCAGGAATGAACGGATTTCCTCCTGGGAATTCACAACTTGGGGGCCTCAAGCCTGGAGGGCCTGGAGGACAGGGTGTGTAGTACGAGGAAGGGAAGTCTTCTTGGATGTGCCAAGGGCCAGGTTAAGGATGAACAGAAGGAAATGGACGCCAGGCATTCCTGCCCCCTCGTTCAGGGGGAATCGCCACACCCAGTCAGTCTAAGGCTCCAAGGTCCATCAGGATCACCGCTATCACCTGGACGAGTAGTGCGATTCCATCACCCCACCAGCACCAGCTCCCTTTCTTCTCCACCCGCCACTCAGTCGGTCCTGGATGTTCTACATGTCTGCCCAGTGCCACCGATGCCCATTCCTTGTCCACCCTAGATTCTCAGTCCTGCAGCAGCTTGTGCTTGACCGTGGAATTTTCTAAGCAAAGCTGAACAAAAAGGGCAGCAGCAGCTGTGCGGGCCCGAAGTTCGTACATCTCATAGTCGTGGGCCCACTCAATGTTCCCCCAGTGCTGGATCTGAAGGAAGATGAGAAGAATAATCAGACCCTCACTGGAAATAGATCACAACACCATAGCAGGAGGCAAAGCAGAGCTTAGATTTGCCACACGTTTCTCTCTCTTTTTCTTTTCTCTCTCTTGCTGTTTTTGTTTTTATTTAGTTTCTTTTATCTTACTGTATTATGAAAAAGCTTTAATAAAATCTTATTATTATTAAAAAATTGCCACACTCTTGAGCAAACCCAGAATACCGTGATTTATTATGTAACTTCTGCTGTTTTTAGCCTCTGGGATCTATTGCTGTGCTCGGTTTTGTTGCAACGCTGGTTTTATTGAGGGGAGGGCCATTATTTCATTAGGTATTTATTTTTAGAAAAGTCACCTTAGCTGTTTTTGTTAAAAGGTGTGATATAGAACTGAATCCATCAGTGTCATGAACATTTTTTTCAGAGCCACAGGCTGGTCTTATCTGGCAGGCAAGCGCATAATGGGAGCAGACGGTCCCTAAATTAACTTGGCCCCAAAGCCCCAGATCTCTGTCACAACGAGGTTTACCTGGTATTCTTCCTCTAGACGAGATAGTAGGACAGCTTGCTCAACCGTGAGGTGTTTGTCGAGCAGACTCATCGAGAGAACCAGAGACTTCAGCTGGGTGATCATGTATTCTATGCCTAGCAAGAGGGGGAAACGCCCCAAACCAGAAAGAAAGAGGGAAGGAAACCTGTCATTTTCTTGTGCAAATCAATCTCAGGCGACAAGAAGAGCAGTCAAGAAAAGGTGAGGAGTCACCTAATGCCCCATTATTCCTGCGTAAGAAAATAGGACCTATTCGGCGGCAGCATTCAGGTTTCTCTCTTTACTTTACTGGAGGCCATGTAGGAAAACAAAGGTGGCTCAAATGGACACAGCAGACATTTTGTTAACATGCTGTATAACCTGAAAAAAGATACTGTACTTTTCCGTGTATAAGACAAGGGTTTTTTATTAAAATATGTTTAAAATCTGGGGTCGTCTTATACACAGATAGTGCATAAAGTGGATGTGGGGTTGGTTGCTGCCACGAGCCGGAGATTGTCAGCGGCTATTTTGGCGTGTTATTGATGGCTGCGGCAAGGGCTGGTGTTGATTGGCTGTCGCTGCGTCAATAGGGTGGTGTGTTTGGTGGCTTCTGCTGGCGCGGGGACAGACTCTACAACTCTAAAAAAACTCTAACTCTGGGCAATCTCCGCCCATTTTCTTAATTTTGAGTCCCCAAAATTAGGGGGCGTCTTATACAGGGGGGCATGTTGTACACGGAAAAATGCGGTATTTATTTTCTGCTTCCCTCGTCATACAGTGGTACCTTGGGTTACATACGCTTCAAGTTACATACGCTTCAGGTTACAGACTCAGCTAACCCAGAAATAGTACCTCGGGTTAAGAACTTTGCTTCAGGATGAGAACAGAAATCACGCGGTGGTGGCACGGCAGCAGCGGGAGCCCCCATTAGCTAAAGTGGTACCTCAGGTTAAGGACAGTTTCAGGTTAAGAACAGACCTCCGGAACGAATTAAGTACGTAACCAGAAGTACCACTGTACCAGGATTAAAATTGAGGGCTGTAGATTCAGGACCAAACAAGAGAAAGTTGATTCACGGGACACATAATTCAATCCATGGAATTTGCCTCCACAAAACATGCTGAGGGCCACTGCTGCTTAAACACAGAGCTGTCTTTCCTATTGGGCTTACTGGCGCATTGCGCCAGGGCGTTGGCCTCTCAGGGGTGCCCCAGCGAGTGGGGGAGCTGCGCGGCTTTGCCGGTGGCCTCGCCTTTCCCTGCACGCACGCCAGCTGCGCCCCGTCAACCATATGGCTGGTGGGCGTGCAGCTTCCTTCCCAAGCCTCCACAGGAGGAGAGCGATTCCCGCAGAGGCTTGGGAAAAGGTCGACAACTCTGGGAAACCGGGTGGGGTGGGGTGGGCGGAGGGATCTTTGCACCTAGGCGCCGGATATGCTTAAGACGGCCCTGCTTAAACAGCTTCAAAATAACAATTACTTTGTTTAGATTCGTATCCCGCTTTTTTACTGTTGTGCTCACATCAGATTGGATATGGAGAAGGAAGAGGAGGCCTGTCCACAGGCATCTAAATGCAACTTCCATATTCAGAGGCAGTCTATCCCTGAATACTCATTGCTGGGGATAAACAGGAGGGGGCTGTTGCCTCTACATCCTGTTTGTGGGCTTCTCAGAGGCCACTGATTGGCCACTGTGGGAAGCAGGATGCTGAACCATATCCTGCAGGGCTCTTTTTAAAAAAAATTAAGTCTCTCTTAAAAATGCAGAAAGGTCCCCCAGTGTGCCTCCCCCACTTGATCTCACATGGTGGGATAACAACTAAAGAATTCTTAACATCAAAATACATTTCTGGCTAAAGCAGAAAACCGGCAGACGCAGGGTATGGCGTAGGACTAACAGCAGAGACAGTCCCAGGACACAGCCCTCCTTTTACCTTGAAGGGCCCAGCTGTTATACGATGCCAGGTGGCTGACAAAGGTGTCCTTCGTGCTTTGCGGGATGCTGGGACCCATGATGCTTGTTGATGAGCCAATCACAACATTGTACCTGCAAGCAGAGCAGAGCTTAGATAGACCACACTCTTGAGCAAACCCAGAACGTCTTCATTGAGAAAAGTATCTCTGGCTGTTTTTTAGCCTCTGGGTTTCTGGTCAATTTTGTTGCAAGGCTGATTTTTATTTATTTATTTGGAGAGGGCTCTGTATTTAGATAGATAGATAGATAGATAGATAGATAGATAGATAGATATAGATATAGATATATAGTCACCATAAATACATTTGTAAAAAGTTGATATAGCTATAAAAAGGAATCCTGTCACATCCAAGAACCTCAAAAACATCCCTCCAAAGCCACATGCAGCCTATGCAAAGTCTCTGTGTGTATGTAGATTTTTTGTGAGCACTCAAGATTAGGTACTCATACAGGAAACCTGGGGATGGGTAGAAACGAACCCTCTAAAAAATAAGCCTGTTGCCATTGTAAGAGCAAATGCACCTCCAGTTTTAATCTAGGACACACACAAAAACAATACCTATCTAGCTAACAGAAGTGATAGTCCTTCAACATACCTTTGGAGGAGGCAGTTGGCAGCCAGAGCATTGCAATTCCTTTCTCCTCTCCAGCTGTCTTCCCTAGGAAGGCTCAAAAATGGGCCTAAGAAATCTAAATGGCTCCCCAACCAACACAGTTTAACTTTCGTGCCCTGAGCCACAAGCATCCTCTGGGGACAAGGGCGTTTCTGTGCATCATCAGCATTTCCTTGGCACTGACTTTTTGCTTACCTTTTCTCTGCCCACTCGATTATGGGATCCCACTCATTCTTTTGCAGTTCCACCAAGGCAGGCGGCTCTTCCACCCGGTAGCTGGAATACCGTGGAAGCAAAGCAAAAAAAAGTACCATCAAGAACAACAGGATTAGGTTCCATGCAGCTAAGATTGCACCTCCCAAGATTCAATCCTGCTTTTCCAATTCCTGACAAAAAAAAGCTGTGAATCCCAATTTTATCACGCACACAAATGCCCTCTAAAATTTTCAAGTTGACTATGCTGTCCCAGCTGTGGCATGGTACTGTTACTCATGGACCTTCCTGAGTAAAAGCTGTCAGTATATGGAAACACCGCAGCTGCAAACAGCCAGCTTGTTGACATCACAAGATGTGGCTATCTGTGGGAAAGAATTTCCCAGGAAGTTCACAGGCTTTTCAGAGCTCTGTGAGGAGTGTAATTTGAAACCTTCCATTTGCGTGTGCACAGGAAGTTTGTCCGACTTGCTAGAAGAACTGAACTAAAAGGACGTGTTTTTTTTCTCTAGTGCTGTAGTCAGAAATAAAAGAATGTAAAAGACGTTTCTGACTTGTCTCCTTTCCCTGCTAGGGAAGAAGCAGGAGGAGGGGGTGTGCATTTACCCACGCTTGGGAAAATGTCGCCTATCAAAATCTCCCTGGTCTGTCTGGATGTCAGCCAGAGGAGGTTACCGGTATGCAAGCTCCGAGGACAGTGAGAGGGGCCAGCCTCTGTGGAGGGGGCTTGCAAACCAACAAAAGCAAGTGTAGGGTGTCTCTCTCAAGTTCTCCAATAATTCTCCTCCCTCCGTCAGCCAAGCCAAGGTGATGGTGGGTAACAACATTGTGGGGCTCGGCTGATGGAGAGCAACCTTCCTGCCCAGCCCAGCTTTGTGATGGATAAGATAGTCACTATCTGCTCTTCAGACTGATTTGAAGGACAGAGAGTACAATTTTCCACCTCATGATGGGGAGAAAAGTATCCGTCCCGCTTCTCTGCTGCTCTACATGGCTCAGCTGAGTAAAAATAATAATAATTTATTATTTCTACGCCGCCCATCTGGCTTCCAACAGAAGGTTAAAAATACATTAAAACATTAGTCATTAAAAACTTCCCTAAACAGGGCTGCCTTCAGATGTCTTCTAAATGTCAGATGGTTGTTTATTTCCTTGACATCCGATGGGAGGGCATTCCACAGGGCGGGCGCCACCACCAAGAAGGCCCTCTGTCTGCTTCCTTACTTCTTGCAGTGAGGGAACTGCCAGAAGGCCCTTGGAGCTGGACCTCAGTGTCTGGGTTGGACTATGGGGGTGGAGATGCTCCTTCAGGCATACAGGACCAAGGCCGTTTAGGGCTTTCAAGGTCAGCACCAACACTTTGAATTGTGCTTGGAAACGTACTGGGAGCCAATACAGATCTCTCAGGACTGGTGTTTTATGGTCTCAGCGACCACTCCCAGTCACCAGTTTAGCTGCCGCATTTTGGAATAGTTGCAGTTTCCGAGCCACCTTCAAAGGTAGCCCCATGTAGAGTGCATTGCAGTAGTCCAAGCGGGAGATAACTGAGGAGAGCAGATACCCTCTGGTGTGCTTGCACACTTGCGCATGTGAACATGGCACCGCTGGGGTGATCACATCTGGGATGCAATGGGGTGATGAGGCGCCTCGACCTAAAATGGTCAGCCAATCTTATGGAGATTATAACAATGAGGTAGAATTCAATAAATGAGGATTTATCTGCACTAGGAGAGGTACTTCAGTTTCTACTTCAATGTGGCAGTGGATTTTTCATTCATACCCACTACACAGTGACTGCAGAAACACTGGTTTTCTCATTCCCTGATCAGATATTTTTAAGATTCAGCTTCTAAGGGAGCCCCTTCCCAGAATGCATTTCTACCAAACTGTGTCTGTCTCCAAGAATTTCACAGCTGCCTTGATGAGCTGATCTTTGCTTCGCTGCGACGGGTTATCCAAAGCTGTGTTGCACAAGGTTGTCTGAAAGGCAAGAAAGAAGCTACAGAAATCGAGAGCTAGACTAGCAGAGTGACACAGCGGAAGCAATGAACCAGCCAATTCCCCGTTTAAGTCTCCCCACAAGCTCTGAAGATGTAAAACAGCTTGTATCAATACAGTCATACTCCCTGTACAGAAGTCCTTGCAACAGCCGCATTCTCCAACCTGGTGCCTTTCTGTTTTGGACCACAATTCCTATTAGCTCCAGCCAGCACAAAAATTTTGGTATAGAGGCTGATGAACGCTATACAGCGGTACCTCAGTTTACAAACTTAATCTGTTCCGGAAGTCCGTTCTTAAACCGAAACCTTTCTTAAACCAAGGCGCGCTTTCCCTAATGAGGCCTCCCGCTGCCAGTGCCCTTCCACCGTTTGGATTCCATTGTTAGACCAAGATAAATTTCACAAACCGGGATACTACTTCTGGTTTTGCGGAGTTCATAAACCGAATACAGTGGTACCTCAGGTTACATACGCTTCAGGTTACATACGCTTCAGGTTAAAGACTCCGCTAATCCAGAAATAGTGCTTCAGGTTAAGAACTTTGCTTCAGGATGAGAACAGAAATCGTGCTCGGCGGCGCGGCAGCTGCAGGAGGCCCCATTAGCTAAAGTGGTGCTTCAGGTTAAGAACAATTTCAGGTTAAGTACAGACCTCCGGAACGAATTAAGTACTTAACCTGAGGTACCACTGTAGTTCATAAACAGGGCTGTTCTTAAACCAAGGTACCACTGTAATATCTGGAGGGCACCAGGTTGCAAAAAGTGAAAAGCAGAAAAATAGCACAATGTGGAGCTAGATGGGCCATCTATCCCAACATGCCACTTTGTAGGGTCTTAAAAAACACAAAGCACAACATGCATACATAGTTGAGTGGAGTACTCAAAACTGTATCTCCCACCGGCAATCTGATTTATACAGTTCAGTCAAACATTAGCCTACATTAGCTACCAGGTGCACATCCTGCTCTGCCTAATAACTCAAAGAGAACAGATTGACTGCAATCTCAATCTTCCATTTGTTTGTTCACATGCCCCACCCTCTCCTTCACACACCAGGTGCATTGTGTAGAACTTGATGGTGTCCCGCTGAGAGTCCCATTCGGTCGCCACAGCCAGAGCCAGAGTCTTGCTTGGCACCGTGAAGAGCTTGGCCTGGGGGGTTTTCAGTTTTCTGTGGTCCAAGTTGATTTCAAAGCCACCTGAAGAAGAAAGGTTAAGAAAAACCCACTAAGCCTGCAGCTTTTGAGATTCTGCTGAACACTATCTTCACACTGTCCAGTCACTCTTTGCAGTTTTAAGGACCAGTGGCTTGTGATGGGTTTCATTTATTTGAGAAGTTGAGAGTCTCACAGCGACGAATTCTGCATCCAATATTAAATTCTTGAATGGTGCCATAATGGAAGTTCCTACTCCAGTGTTTCTCAAACATGGGTCCCCAGCTGTTGTTGGACTACCACTCCCATCATCCCAGACAACTGGTCATGCTAGCTAGGGATGATGGGAGTTGTAGTCCAACAACAGTTGGGGACCCAAGTTTGAGAAACACTGTCCTACTCATACCCTATCACTGAAAACCAACAAATAGCTTTCTTAACAATAACTAAACACTTCATTTATTGATTTAATTTCCCCCACCCTTCAATTTCAGCAAACAATACCAAGGTGGTCCAAAACAAACATAAGAAAAACAAAATGCTTCAATAAAACAGGGTCAAACAGTGACAGCAAAATTATATGAATGGTCAGAGAAATACCAGTGTAAACACGTGTGCTTTCAATTGCAGCGAAAACATTCTGACATTGGAGCCACATATGAAGATATCAAAGTTTTCTACAGCCACCTCACAAATAGAACTCTCTTCCACCAAAGATTTGCCAAAGCCTGAGTAAAACTTTTCCTGAATGTGTTGCAATACCCCTTCTAGGTGCATTAGAATCTTTTGCAACACACAGGAGCCAGCATGGAAGGTGTAGCTCCACCTGTTCCACTACAAAGCTCACCTTGGCAAAGTCTCTGCCTTTCACCTTAACATAACCTTGAGCTGGGATGGAGAAGAAGTCCAGATGAGCCTGTTCCAAACATCTGCACGACAGACAAACTACAGTACACAGAGGTGCTCACCTTCACCTTGGGAGATGCTGACATTCTGGTAGAACCTTTTCCTTTCTGCAAGAAAAATACATATCTCTGTTTAAGAAATAAATAAAATATGTACATATCCAATGTTCACAATCCAGACAAATGTACCGTATTTTTTGCCCTATAGGACGCACTGGCCCATAGGGCGCACCTAGTTTTTTGGGGGGGAAATAAAGAAAAAAAATTATTCCCCCCCCCCAGGCGCGGGGCTGGGGCGGGGGAAGCCCGAGCTTCCCCCGATCCCAGCCCCCAGAACAGGCTGCTATCCGCAAGCGGGAACTCCTGCAATTACTGAATCAATATGAATCTTTCTGTTCAAAGATACACAACAGTCAGTGCTCTGGAATGCTTGACCCTCCCTTACACCATGGCTATCTATGATGATCTTTACAAAGTTAGGTTTTTATTCTTTTCATCCATTGCTTAACTGCTAGCAATCTAATTTTTAATATGAATTTATATGTGCCAGTATGTTTTACAGAGGCAGTGAAGTACCACAGATAAAAGAAAAGGGAGTGCAGGTAGCTCAAGAACCACTAATTTTAAATGTATCTCTTAGAAAACATCCTTTGGGATAAGATACTGTAATAAATGGTCAAAGTATTTTACATACAGTACATGGTGTAGCTCACTGTCTAAAATGTAAGTGAGTGGAGCCAAGCACCCCAGAGGAGCTGCCACTCTTTCCATTGACTTTCTGCCTATCAGCTGCCAACCAACATCATTTTAATGACTTTGTCCAGCCCATTTTCTCAGTGAATTACATCTCCCAGAATGCATTGCCTGCAGATGTTAGATGCCATCAGATTGAAAGAGAGCTCCCTCTAGCTGCAAAAGAAAAAAAGAACTTCTGCATCTGTAACCATTGATAGTAAGCTGCTGTTCCTTGTTTGTAGAAAGCACATGCTGAGTTCTAAAGTCTTCTAAAGACATCATTTGTTATCAAGGAGGGTACATTTAAGCCTTCACAGAAGAGAGAAACCAAACTTGTAAGTAGCATGGCTCTGTCTTAATGATCAATACAGCAGGATAATTGTCACCAGTGTGAAGGGAGATCAAAAAACCATCCAGGTCCTAAGACTTTATCAACTCTTAAGATTCTGTGAAAGGCTTAAAACCAGATCAGATCACACATGCAAGCCACTGCACACTCGGCTTTATCACAACAGATACATCTATCAATGGATATGTGTAGAATGTGTGGTGCCAGAATGAAATCTGCAGGTTCTAAGGCAACATGGTGAATGGTAGCAGTTAAAACAGCAACAATGAGGGAAGCCTATTATCTTTATTATCTATTTTATGACCAACTTGTGGGCATCCTAGAGGCATTCTGTTTGCTACTATGAGAAAATGACACCTGAAAACACTTTTTTCAGGGGGTGGAGAAATATTTAAGGCTGGGGTAGCTAAATCCCCGTCTGAGGTTCTGTTGCAGGCCCCCCACCCCGCAAAATTTTCTCCCCCACCAATCTTCAGTAGCAGTGATAAGAAAACGGAATTAAAATAGGCATGACACATAAAGTAGACTTCTGCATGGGTTAGCAGTTTGTTTGCATGCAGCCTCTTCGGGCCACCTCTACTTCTGGCATATAGGTCTGAGGAAACTGACCAAGGAGACCATGCAGCCCTTGGCCCAAAAAACATTACCTGTTCCTAATTTAAGAAAGGCTATAGCTCCGAGGTAGAACACATGCCATACTTTAGATGCAAAATCTCATTCCATTTTGAATTCCCAGCAACTCCAGGTAAAACTAAGAAAGACCCAACTGAAATACTTTATTGTTAGCAGCTGCCAGGCACCATAAATGGCACTGAGCTACGTGTAACAATGTGCTGTCTCAGTGCTGCATTTCCTGCATTCCAATCCTAGCTATCAAAAAGTATGAATCCCAACCACAGCAAACCCAGGATCAGCCTGCAACCTTAATTCTTACCTGCCTGTGGTGTGTAGGGTCGTCTTGACTCCACTTGCAATAACACTGGACCACGAACGAAGACAGATGGCCAGAGACGCCCGACCACAAGGGAGTGCCTTGATGACAGGCGCTGTAAACCACCCCACCACATTCTGGTATTTGGTAAATTTAATAAATAATAATAATTTGGGGCAATGAGGGCAAAGAAAGGGACCAAGCAACCACGAGCGATTCTTCAGAAGTAGCTTCGCCTTTCCTTATGTGTTCTGGATAAAGGTATCATCATAAAAAGCTGACCTAAGTTTATAAACGTATATTTTAAGGACACAGCAAACTAGAGCTAGGCTCTCTAAACATGGGAAGAGGCCTGGAGGGTATTGTGGGGGGGGGGGTGTTGTTTTTAAAAGGGTGGGGGATAAAAGGAGGTCTCGGCAGCAGGCTGCGCTGGGGAAAATTTATGTCGTGGGACCCAAGGACAGCCCCTAATGTAGACCTTCTCTTGGCCCCAAAGGAATTATAGTGAGATTTCCCTAGGCAGTACAAATGAGAAGCCCCCGAAACCAACTCAATAAAGCTTATAATAACAAGAATTTTAAAAACCCCTCTTCCTTTCCACCCTCAAAATCTTCCTTTTTGTGCTCGCCCGCCCACTTCCTTATTCACCCACGCTCATGGGCGCCGCCATCTTGCTACGTCAGGGGGGAGCGCGGGGGAGGAGCTACCAGACGCGGCCAATCAGCATCACAAACGCGTTTTGTCCCTTGCGCCGCGCCGTCTCCCCGCGACACGGCGGAGCGAGCGAGGAGCGACTGAGGGAGTGGAAAGAGAAAAGCCCGGCGGCGTCTTGCCTTCCTTAAAAAAAAAAATCCCTTTCCCTCCCCCGCCCTCCTACCCCCCACGTGACGCCGGACACCCAATGGGGTTCGAGCGCCGCCGCACGGCGGGCCAATCATGAGCGGCGGGCGGAAGAGGAGGCGGCGGCGACGCCGCTGAGGGGGAGGAAAGGGCTGTGAGGGGAAAACAGAAAGAGGCCGAGCCAGGCCGAGCCGCGTCGGAGGCAGGCCGGCCGGGCGAGGGGAGGAAGGCGAGGACGGTGCTCGCTGCCCGCGCCGCGCTGGCGCCGGGGGACCCGCCCGAGATGCCGGTGCGGAGCGCCTGCCGCTGCCCTCCGGAGGCCCCGGGAGGAGCCTCGTCCGCCGCCCGCCTCGAGCCGCCGCCGCCCATCAACACGGCGCAGCCCGGCGTCAGCACCAGCCGCCTCTACAGCGGCGCCAAGTTCCGCGGGCAGCAGCGCTCCAAGGGCAACGCCTACGAGGTGGAGGTGGTCGTCCAGGTCAGCAGCGCGGCCGGAGAGAGGCAGGCAGGCAGGCAGCGCCGCCCAAACCCCACACTCCTCTCTCCCTCCCCCACCCACCCACACACTAGGACTGCGGAACTCCCTGCCTCAGGAGGCAGTGGCAGCTACTAGGCCGCCCTCTGTGGTTGTTTGAGGAGAATGCCTAGGGGGCCGAGGTCCCTTCGCCCCCCCACCTAAGAGTTGAGGGAGCTAAGCCCCCCGAAATTCATTCAAATGGTGTGTGTGATGGGTTATGTGGGGCAAGGCTTACCTGGGAGGGGGACCCCCCATTTATATTTTTTTCAGTTTGACAGCCCTGCCATAGTAGTATCGCCCCCTGCACCTACTGTACTTCCCTTCTCTGGTTTCGAAAGTGGGTCGGGCAGATTCACCGAGGAGAGGAGCCAGTGGTGACTACTAGCCACCATGGCTATCCGTGGCAGCAAATGCTTGCCAATGCCAGCTGCAGGAGGGGCTCTTGCGCTGGGGTCCTGCTTGCGGTCTTCCCTGTAATGGGCATCTAGTTGGCCCACGGGATGCTGAAGACTTGGTGTGCCTCTGGCTCCTCTTCTGTAGGAGGACAGGGCGCTGAGGACTAGCTGTGCTGCAGGCTCTTCTTGGAATTCTTAGGACTCCGCAACCGGCTTCATCAAATGGATGGCTTGTGGCAGATAGGAGGAAGGGTTTCTTCATGCAGCAGGAGCCGTAGAGTTTAGCTGGTGAACTCATCCCACAGGTTGCCTTGACAGCTGACAGCCTGGGTGGCGTTTGAAAGGAGGCTAGGTGCACTTACGAAGGAGGATAAGGCTTGTCAAGGGGCATTGTCCAAAATGTTCTGCCTCTGCTGTTGGAGGCAGTGTGTCTCAGTATGAGCTGCTGGGAATGCATTTAGGCCCTCCTTGCAGGCTTCTTATAGACCTCTGCTTAGCTACTGTGAGAGTAGGATGCTGGACTAGATGGGCCACTGGCCTGATGCATCCAGGTTTTGAGATTTTCTCCCTTTTTGTTACTTTGCATGGCTTGCATTTTATTGAGCTCAGTTGCCTCTAAAAGATGTCTTCATGAGCAGCTTTTCTGCTCTCACTGCCTGGAATAGCTTCTTCACAGAGGCAGAAGCAAAGCTGAGTGCTAAATAGAAATACATTTTTCCCGTGATCTTGGGACTGAGTGCGGTCCTCCGTTGGAACGGAATGTTTGAAGATTCAGGACAGATGAAAGGAAGGACTTGGTCACACAGTGCATAGTTAGGCTGGGATCTGCTCCCACAAGATGTAGTGATTGCCACTGACTTGCATGGTTTAGGCAGTGGCTTGGATAAGTTGGTGGAGGTTAAGGCTGTCAGTGGCTATTGCTTATGACTGTGTAATATCTCCGGTATCAGAAGAGATGTGTCATTAAGTTCAGAGTGCTGAGGAACATGATTGGGGAGAGTGTACGGTTGTGCTCATTCTTGTGGGCTTCCCAGAGGCACCTGGTTGGTCACTGTGAGAAACAGGAGCCAGATACAATTCAACTTTGGTCTGATTCAGGAGGGCTGCACACATGTCACTAGCGCAGCTGTGATGCACCTACCGCCCTCTGCCACATCTGAAAGATTGAAACCTCCCTCTCACCACAGCAGCTCTGCTGGTGTGGTGGTGGTTTATTTTTCAGTTTTATTAAAACATTTTTTTTTTATTCTGCCCATGTAGTACAAATGCACACATCACTCTATTTATTGTATTTATATGCCATTTTTCAGGGCAAAGCCCCTACCCCCAGCAGCTTACAAAAGACGATTACCCACATACATATAATAATATAATATAGCTTCATATGTTAGCAAGAACATTGTGCTCCCAAATGACTTGCAGTTCAATCTGCCTATAATGCTTCCAGTTACCTTCCATTCAGGGTGGCTTGCAACATGTTATGATTTTGTTTTTTAAAAATCCCCCAAAGACGGGGTCAACAGTTTTAAAAATCCTAAAGCTTCATAAAATAAAATCCTGTCAGAATAAAAATGTCTTCAGTGGCTGACAAAAACAGGAAAGGAGGGCGGACACACTTTGCAAGATGAATTGCCCCATAATTTGGGTGTAGCCACTGAAGGACCCTTCTTCTGGCCCCACCCAGCTGTACTCTCTCCTGCCCTCGCTGCATGAGATACAGAGCCTCTCCCTCTGATCTTAGGAGGTGGGCTGCCATCCTTCACAGACAGGCTTGCTCAGGAGCATGTCTCAGTGGGAGTGCTTGCTCCCAAGCATACAGTTGTAGACCAGGTTTTTAAAGAAAGGTGTGTCAGCCCTATGTCTTCTGGAAATTCTACAGTACTTTGCTGCTATTAGGATGGGTATAGGGGCAGTCTTCTCCCTCTCATTGAATTTGAGATGAATTAATCTCAGGGAGCTTGAAAAGGTCTTTGTCACTTGGTACTGCAAGAGGTAAACTGGGTGAGGAAGTAGTTGAAAGAGTAATGGGGCTGGAAGTGATATTAGGGTAACCGTTACACATTTAACTCGGGATATCTAAAGCACCGCCCAATAAATGCATTCTTCAAGGAAGCTACTGCTAGTAGTCCTCCATTGCTTGGAGTTTTAATGGTTAATTTTATCTCTATTCTGTTCTCTCTCTTTTTGGTAACCTTGTACATCACCTGGAGATCGTGGTGTTAAGCAATATATAAATTGTTGAAATAAAATAAATAAGCTCTCCATTTCTCTAGTGACAAGATGTGTGAATGGCCCTTACCCATTCTCACTTTAGGCTATGCTCACTGGCATGCAGCCCTGACCACCCACCGACATACTGCCACGTGTCACCTTTGGGGTCCAGTGAAGTCAGTAGAACTTAACTTCTGAGTAGACATGTATAAGACTACATACATTGTGAGCTACAAATCTTTTGCCTTGCGTCTGGTTCTTGCTATATGCTCACTAGGTGGTGGTAAGGGAGAGCTGGTTCTCTCTGAGCCTGCAGCTAAGCGGCAGGGCACATGTTCTGTGTGTAAAGGCGCCCAGATTCAATACCCAGCATCTCTAGGTAGGGCTGTGAAAACCCCCTGTCTGAAATCCTGGAGAGCCACACCCAATCAGTGCAGATATTGCTGAGCTCAATGGACGTGGACCAGTGATCTGATTTCCATATGTTCCATGAGGAATTAAATCTTTCTTTCTAGTGGATGGGCCATTGCACAGTACAGACAGCCCCCCATTTACACACATTCAATATGTGTGTGACCTGTGTATATGTTCATCGCACCAAACCCAAAGTGACCCAGACACGTTGTAAAGATGTCACTGAAACGTCACTAAAAGGGCAGGGCATTTGCATACTTTTTCAGGGGGTTCCAGTTACTGTATACGTGATTTCACTGACGCACACAGAGCCTTGGAACATAGCCCCCGCGTAAATGGGGGCTGCCTGTAATAAAGCTGTGTTCTGCATGGAAGAGACTCCAGATTCAATCCCGGGAACTTCTTTATAGGGAAAGATCCCTGTTTGAAATCCTGGAGAATCGAAGCCAGTATATATATATATAACCCATTGTTAATTAATGGTCTGACTCTGCATTGGACAGCTTCCAGTGTTGTCACTTGCAAAAATGGGGATGATCCTGACCTATAATTTCTGGTTGTTGTAATAATTAATTCACACTAATCACTTTGAATGCTCAAAAGTGGTGTGTAAATGAGTATTTATGAGAGTGGCTTTTGTTTTATTTCTCACCTTCCCAAATAATAAGATCAGTCCAGTAGCCCACCTAGTCCGGCATCCTGTTCTCACAGTGATGAACCAAATCTCCATGGGAAGCCTGAAAGCAGGAACTGAGTGTAACACCCCTGTCCCTGCCTGTGATTCCTAACAGCTGGTATTTAGAGAAATACTGCCTTCAACATTGGAGGCTAAACCCAGCCATTGTGTCTAGTACCACTGATAGTCTTACGCTTCATTAATTTGTCTAATCCTCTTTTAAAACCATCCACAATGTGGCCCTCACCGCCTTTGTGTGAGTGAATTTCATAGTTTACTATGTGGAAAAATTACATCCTTTTGTCTGTCCTGAATCTCCCAACATTCCAACATTCGGCTTTCTTGGATATTCCCGGGTGTTAGTATTACCTCTATCTAATTTCTCAATGCCATGCATAATTTTATACACTTCTGTCATGTCTCTTCTTAATCACCTTTTCTCAAAACTAAAGATCCCCTAGTGTTGGAACCATTCCTCAGAAGGGGGTCACTCCATCCCCTTGATCATTTTGGTTGTCCATTTCTGAACCTTTTCCAGTTCTACAATATCCTTCTTGAGGTGAGATGACCAGAACTGTACACAGTATTCCAAGTATGGCTGCATCATCATATATTTGCATAGTGGCACTGGCATTATATGTCAAATGAAGGGATTTTTGCCCCAATTTGCTTTTTTTACACGGAATTGCTTTTACTGTTTTACTGTCCATTCACTCAGATTGGAAATATCTTATTGGAGTTATCTGCAATTCCTTCTTGTTTTAACCACCATGGACAATTTGGTATCATCTGCAAACTCACTTCTATTTCTAGATTTTTTCCTGAACAAATTAAAAATTATGGGTCCCAACAGCAATCCTTGAGGGACTCCACGTTATATATACCCCATTAGGAGATCTATCCATTTATTCCTACTCTCTGATTCCTATTTCTTAACCAGTTACTCATCCTCAAGAAGACCTCTTCTCTTCTAATTCAGTGCCTGCCAAGCTTACTCGAGTGTCTTTCGTGAAGTACTTTGTCAAAAGCTTTTTGAAAGTTTGCAGTGTCAACTGGATCATCTGTGTGCTTGTTGACACTCTTAAAGAACTCTAAAAGGTTAGTGAGACATGACTTAACCTTTGTAGAAGACACACTTGCTCATCTTGACTCAGAGGCACCTAGCATTATCTTATAAACACTTACATAGGAATGTGCTCCTCAAATTCTTTCCTCTTCTTTTGCATCCCTTATTATCTGCTTGTATTTATTTCGCTAAAGTTTGTATTCCTTTCTAATATCTTCATTTGAACAAAACTTCCATGTTCTAAAGGACACATTCCTGCCTCTACTAGCTTTTTTAGCATTGCTCGTTAAACATGCAAGCATTCTCTTGGCCCTTGGTGATACATTTCTTGATCTGTGGTATAGATGAGCTTCTCATATTGTGGTCTTAAACAACTCCCAAACATTTGGGGTAATTTGACCCTCTTGACTTTCCCATTCAATTTCTTTTTTACCAATCTGCTCATTTTGGGGAACTTTCCTCTTTTGAAGTTGAACGATCAAGGGGACAGTAGCATGTTGCCAGGACAAAATTACTCTTAGGGCCTGGTATCACCACCCACAATGATTCTGTGGAAGAATCTACTTTGGCCTTTCTGAATTTCTGTCACATATCCACAACTCCACACAGTTCGTGTTTCTGTACAAGCCCCCAGACTCAAACTGGGGGTGGTCAAACTTTGCTTGTGAGTTTCCTAGAGTTCTCTGGCTTGCCACTGTTAAAAATGGAATGCTAGGCCTAGTGATCCTTTGGTCTGATCCAGGAGATTCAGTTCTTCTGTTCTTGGATTACACATGTGCCGTTCTCTTCCTCCAAAGGGTTTGAAGTATGACTGTATGTGTCTCATGGGCAGTGTTTAGATCCAGACAAACAATACTATTGTTTGAGCTAGAGAGCTGTGGTAGTGTGACTTCAGACTGCTCTCAGGGGGGTGGGGTGGGGGGCTAAGCACAGACAAACAATGTCACAGACTTAAGGTCAGGCGCCGCTAATAGCACCCACTGGTCATTGTTTTTCATTGCATCCAGTGCTATATTTGTCGACAGGTCAAATTATGCTTTTGTGTTTGGTACTTTCCAGTTCTGTTGCTGCTATGGCTTATTGATTTAAAAATTTTTATAAACTGCCCTCTCATATAAAATCAAGGTGATGTACAACAACATATACAGGCAAAGTAAAACATAAAATACTGTAAAAGCAATACAAAATGATTCATCATCTTGAAAACAATTAAGCTGAATAGACCTCTCAGCATAAAAAGGTCTTAAAGAGATGCCCGAAACATCACAGCAATGATCCTTACTCCTCTATCATGTCCACCCAAACTTTTTTTTCTAAACTAAAAAGCTCCAAATATTGTAATATTTCATCACAGGAGGTGTGTTCCAGCCCCCTGTCCATTTTGAGAGGCAGAGACAAGGAGCAAAAAGCTGAATGGAAGGGTCAAGTTAATAGACACTTTCTAAGGCACTGAGTGGAGAGGACAGTGAAGTGTCTCAAGCTGTTGCCTTGACTCATCCTTTTCCTGAGCCATCTCAGTGAGTCTGTGTGTAGTCAGCGTGGCAGCCTGTAAATCAGTAAAATGAGTCAGTTTCCTAACTCTGCTGCCATTCCCTTGGAAGCCAAAGAACTGTCCTCTACCCCATTCTCCTTTTCCATATTAATGAAAGCCAGGGAGCATGGGGAAGCAGGATAACTGGTTTTAGTGCTGTGGCATCTCAAAATAGGGCTGGAAATTTCCTGGGTACCTAGAAAGCTGATGCTCATATTCAGAACACTTGGCATCCCTGTCCTTGTAGGGATGGTTCCCAAGCAAATGAAAATGAATCCTAACCTGCTGTTGCTTGGAAACAAGTAGTATTGTTCAAAAATTGCCTTTAAAAAGCTGGCTGAGAGACTTCACTGTTCTCTCGTTCTGGAGGGTTCCTTTGAGTGGGGGATCCCAGTGGTTCTGTAGGAGCAGCCAGCAACTTGTATCCTATGACTCAAATTTGAATTGGATACATGCTTGGAATTAGATGTATTCATAGATGTGGCACATGAGAGCTGTGCAGGGGCAGGATACCTCTGAATACCAGCTGATGGAGAGTAACAATGGAGGAGGGATGTTGCCTGCAAGTGCTGTTTGTGGGCTTTCTGGAGATGGCCACTGAGTGAAATAGGGTGCATAGATAAAAGAAACTCCTATTACCTTCCCTCTGTTTCGATTCGTCTTCACATTGAGACACTAGGAAAAGCAAGTGATGCATTAATACCACTTGAGTTTGTTGGTGTGCTGATTGTTCTTTAACTGGTCACAAAGTCATGGGCAGTTTTCTGCTTTGTCTTCTAGCACGTGGACATGGAAAACTCCTATCTCTGTGGATACTTGAAGATTAAAGGCCTTACGGAGGTATGTACTGAGGCAGAGTATTTTAGGCCAGAACTGATGTTCTGTGTGTTTCATTCCTTTACAAAGCCCTCTCCTAACTTCCTTGCAAAGGTAAGGAAACTTGCCTGGGAGGGTTGTATGTGCTCATCATGTTCTTGCTTTGTTCACTTGCAGGAATATCCAACCCTTACAACTTTCTTTGAAGGGGAAATAATTAGTAAAAAGCACCCATTTTTAACGCGGAAGTGGGACGCAGATGAAGACGTGGATCGAAAACATTGGGTGAGTTCCTTGGGCCTAGCTGTGTGCCTGGGCTGTGCCACTTCAGGCTGCAGGTGCAGGCTCATGTAGTTGACAAATTCCATCTAGGTGCTGGAAAGAAGGGTTCTAATTTAGTCTTCTCCCTTATTTGTTCCCTTTCTACAAGAAGGAATGTGTTTTAAGGGTAGAGGAAGAGTCCCTGGTAGTCTGAGGTGGTATACTTCAAGCACAGGTTTACCAGCTCAGTGAGAACTACACCCATCTGGACAGTGTTGGGCCTTAGTTTAGCTGAATTAGGACTTCAACTGAGTAACTGCTCTTGGTGACTTTGGTTGGTGGTTTGTTATTTTTTGCCTCCGGTCTCTAGGGTAGGAATTGGCAGCAGGTTCTGGACAGCTTCTTACCAGATGTGTCTGCGCTAGCTGAACACAGAAGGAAATTGACAAAGAGCAACTCTTAAAAGAAATGACACATAATTACATAGCTCTTATTTTAGTGTTATTTTTTGTTCTTACTGGCTGCCTTCTTGAGGAAGGCTGTGATGTCCCAGCTGTTTGGCGTGACTGAGGCTGAGTTTGTAGCTGCACGCAGAAGGCTGGGTTTTGTGGGAAAGATTGCAATTCTGCCATGATCAGCAAATAGAGAGGATGGACAGGGAAGAGGGAACTTTGGCATCCTTCTCTGGAAATTAATTCCTTTAGTGGGTGGCATCCAGGGTCTGGCTGGTAGTGATTAGCTTGGCAGGTATTTGAACTTGTCTGGAGTCATGCAGCACACATCTTTCCTCCGGAATTGTAAGCACTGTGTGTCCCTTTTGCTTCTAGGGGAAGTTCCCAGCCTTTTACCAGTACGCAAAAACATTTAACTCTGATGACTTTGATTATGAGGATCTGAAGAACGATGACTTTGTCTTTATGAGGTGGAAGGTAAGTTCTTCATGTGCATTCACATAGGGTGTGTTGCTAGAGGGCCTGTGTGACAGTCTAACTGTCACTTAGCGCAGGCACAACCCTAGGAGGTGTAGGGTAATCTATCTTATTTGGTCTTGCTGCCTAATTGGGTTGCTGCAGGCAGGATGGAAGGATAACACAAGGTTTCTTTCCTCCTCCACATCCAGCAGGGAGGGCAAACATCTCTGAAATTCCTCAGTATCGTGTGCAGTGACAGCATGCAGTATAGAATTATAGAGTTGGAGAGGGAGAATCATCCAATCCAACCCTTTCAGTACAGGAATCAGCTTGTATTAGACAGTCAGGCTTCCTGCACAGGACCCTACAAGGAAGCAAGAAGTCCCCTGCACCTCCAGTGTAGTCCTTGTTCTCTCTTGGCCCCAAGTCTAGAGCACTGCAGAGAACAAGAGCAGAGCAGCAGCACTCTTATGTCCCCTTTGTTGCAGTCAGGCTGCAGGGTTGCAGTGTCCCGTGAAGAAAATTTGTTTGAACCTGAAATTTCCCCAGAATGTTTCCAGACTTTTTTTGTGTAGTAAACAAAGCTACAAAAATACATTGTGCTTTCACTTGCTGTACCAATATCTCAATTTTTTGTTCATAGTTAAAAGTAGATGAACAGAAATATTTGATGAAAAAATATATAGTAAAGTGTGTTAAATGCCATTTACTTTGAAATTATTTATATGGGAATATTTGTGAATATCTTCATTACTGGCAGTTCAGTTGCATTCACTTCCCTTGCAGTGTTTAAATTTCAAAGAGAAGAAAACGAAAGCATGTTTTAATGTATTAACTTTAGTAAACCCAATGTGAGCTGTGCTGTGCAAACACTTAACTAGGGGCTGGTGCCTAATGAAAGCTATAACAGACCAGTGTGTGGGGTGTTCTATTTTTCTGTAGAAAAATGTCCAGTAGACATTTGCTGCAGTGAAAAAACTATCCCAGCTCCCTTCTAGCTTTTCAAAATTTTGTTAACTCTTGTGCAGGAACAGTTCCTGGTCCCTGATCACACCATCAAAGACATCAGCGGTGCTTCCTTTGCTGGGTTCTATTACATATGCTTCCAGAAATCTGCAGCATCTATAGAAGGCTATTACTATCACAGGAGTTCAGAATGGTAAGGGGCTGCCTCGGTGGAGCACTGGCTGGAGGACTTTCTTTTATTCTGCAGGGCAAGAGAAAAGGACGCTAAACTCAATAACTTTATTGTGGTAGCTGAAGGCCATGACACAGACAATATAAAATACAATACAAAACCTTTGCTTAAACAACTGGAATCATGTATTGCAAGCGAGCCTATAAATGAGGAGCCTCCACAACCACATACAGTGCATTTCAATTTAGACCTCTGAATCTTCCTTACAGTTTACTGCTATTTTGTCCTATTCCTCCTCCTAAACTTTCTTGCTGCCGGTGCAAAAAGAGTCACTAAGCATTAGACAACAGCCACTGAACCGTCTCCGCCAAGGAGAGACTGCTTTCTTGAACAAATAGGGGAGTTAGAAACATCTCCTAGGTTCTGTGTATAACAGGAAATATAATAAAGAATAAAGAATGTCTTCTACTTGTGGTTGCCCACATACAGAGTCTATCTGCGTATGGGGTCTTGTTATAATGCCCATCCAGCACAGTTGAGGGCATTCCTTGGAAACGCAGCTCAGAAAAGGCAGATCTTAATGAAACAGGCAAGAGGAGAAAAGGGCAACAGATTCTACCGGTGCTGGAAATGAAGAATTGGGAGTGCACTTGGAGAGTGCACCCAATTCTTCCTCTTCAGTGTGGCCCTGTGGGTTTATCTCTCCAGTGGTTTGAGCCAAGTGGGGAGGCCTGGCATGCTTAATTGGGGCTCACCAGCTGAAGGTTGCTCACTGCAACGTTACTGCTTTGCTCAGCTGAACTGGGACTGCTTAAGACACTGTGCCAAGGCAATCTACATGTTGGTCATGTTCAGACAATCCCATATTGGCCTAATAAGCTGAGATAGGAATGAGCCTCTTGCCTGCACTTGGTGCTCCTTCCTTCATGGTGCAAGCAATGAAACCAGGAACCCATGGTTACCATCTTCTGTGTAAGCCAGTATGTTAAAACTAGGCAAGAGTGGCTGGGGCTGTTGAGCAGGGGTCTGCAGTGTGGCAACAAGTTCCCGGGTGTTACAGTTTGAAAACTGTTGCCCTCATTAAGCAGAATAAGGGGTAGATTATGTCATTAAAATCCTCTTTGCTTGTCCCCCCAGGTATCAGTCTCTGAATTTGACTCATGTCCCAGAGTACAGCGCACCCATTTACGAATTCCGGTGACAGCGATACCAAGAGTGGCGCCGAGAGATGGCCAGTGGGGCCAGGGGGAGAGAGAGAGAGAGAGCATGCTCTGTTAAGACAACTGCGATGTCCCTGTCAGGACAGGAGACTCCAGGCTCTTCTCCTGTCGGGCTACCGGACTGGTGTGAGAGCGTGAATGTGAAGCCTGAGGCTGCCGGAGCCTGACCCTTTCTCCAGCTGCGTGGCAAACTTGATACTTTAATCTGGTTTTAAAGCTACCATTCAAATGCACTTTTCTTATTGCACAGCTAGTCTCTTTACCACTGAAAACTCTTCTGCCCCTTTCGGAGGAGGAAATGGCTGCGCCCAGCTGGATTTCCTTAGAGTAGAGGAAACGTAAGCTGCTGCCGGCTTATGTCTCTCCGCACTTTGCTGTAGCTCATGGGTTCTACTTAAGAGCAAGTCATCCACAGATGCCCTTTCCTTTCGAGCCTCAGCGTTGCATGAGGCTCCTGTGTGCATCACACCCAGCTGTGGCATCCACTACGGGAAGCAGTTGGCCAAGAGGAGGAGGGCCTAGCAAATCGCCCGTTCCTGTTGGCTAGCAAGGCTGCATCTCTCAGGAACGCTAGCCAGTCACAGAGGCGTAAGCCGTTGTCTTGGATTGCACCAAGGGGGGAATGGCTAACAGGCCATCATAGTGGGAAACGTAATGATGCTTATGCAAAGTCTCAGATTTAAAGGAAAACCTTTAAGGACTTCGTACAAAAAAAGAGACACAGAGAGCTATTTTTATGGCCATCCCCCCTCAAAAAGACTCAATGGTATATGCAAATCGTCTCTCATTACATTTTTACCATGGCTGCTTTCCCTGAAACCCTTCATGGTGAAAGCAGTGAAAAGTCAGTGTTGGTTGATGGTGGTGATCTCTCTGTGCAACAATCCAGCAGTGTTGACACCCGCTCATCCCAGCGTAATCGCTTAGCGGTGGTGTGAATATTCAGCTCCATGCACATGCTCCCGTTTCTCATGCTACAGGAAACATTTGATGTTTGCTATGATTTCTATCAGGGAAAAACCTCCTAACTCTCCATTAAAATAAACTGCTCTCCAAGGACTTGAAAATGTTCGGAAACATAAGGCTTGTGTGCCAAATTTTGTGTGGGGCTTGTGTGTCTGTGGTGGGCTAATACGTGTGTGTGTGTGTGTGTGAGAGAGAGAGAGAGAGAGAGAGAGAGAGAGAGAGAGAGAGTGTGAGAGAGTCTAAAAGTTGCTGGCCTGCTTAACATGGCACTCATCCGCAGAGGGTTTTCCCAGAATCATCTTGATTATGCGTACCATTGGCTGGCCCAGGAGACGGAGGCAACTACCCTGGCACTTGGTAGATCAAGACTGTTGTACAGCTGAGCCTTTTGCAGAAAAATGTCCAGCTCTTTTCAGTTTTTCCTTTATGCCTTTGTAGGCACTTGTAGGATTTACAAGGCAGCTTAAAGCAGGTCTGTGTGCAAGGAAGGTACTGGTACTTTCCCCGGGAGTCTGCCCAAAGTTAAGGCTTACAGTGGCTGCCCCATTTGGGATCTGCTCTTGTCCTGTGACATTTCTGTCATTCATAGTGGCTTGGATTTCAGAAAATAGTAATGGCACTTGGGGCTGAGAGATAATTTCTCTCCTCTCTACATGCAGGGCTCTGTGTGCACTGCAATAATGAGGGAGCACAGGAGAAAGTGCAGATTGTTGTAAGCCATGTGGAAGTCAACTTTCAGTAATTCAAGAGCGAATTTCTACCCCCCATGGCTTTGATATGTTTGAAAGTGCGGGAAAGCCTAGGGACGGTTTGGAAGACAGAGTTGTACAAGGTTTCAGTGGTTGAGAGGAGGAGGGGATGGATGTAGGGTAGGACTAGTGGTGAGGTAGTGCTATATGTAGTTCCTTATTTCCTCCTCAGCCAACAAAGGCAGAATATATTGTGCAAAAGAAAAGAAATGGTGTGCATGCTTGCACAATTGACATCTGCTGTGCAGACTGCAGAACTTTGTCTGTCTTGGTGCAGAATTTAGATTGCCAAGATACAGAGTTCTAATACTTTTAGAGCAGTGTACACATAGCCCTGCCTGTCCTGAGCATTTTAAAGAGTATTTTTTTGCATACAATGTACGGGAGAGAAAGCAAAGCCCCTTAATGGAATAGGGTTGAATCATTTTTTTTTTTCTTAGTTCAGGCTTGCTCTTTTCCCCCCAACCATGTACTGTACATTACAGTGGCAGATTTGCTAACTGAAGCCTTAACAGGAGTGTGTGGGAGTTCTCACATTAACCACGCAGGACACCCTTTCATGGAGACAAACATGGCAAAGAGGCCAATTTCTCCCTTCCCTCCCCTGCAAATCAGAGCAGTCTTAAGAAGCTGTCTGTTATTTTCAGGGGGACGGGAGAGATATGAAGAGCTTGAGGAAATGTGGCAAATGGGCTTTGGCTGGCACTGATCCTGTAGACTGAGGTTGGAAATGTATTCCAATGGATCTGAATGGCAGTGGGGGCTTTCCTCTTCACTTTCAAAGGAGACGGATCTGAAGTGCTTTGCATGGCCACAGGACGTAATATGACATCCAGATACGTTTTTTAGCCTGACACAGAAGAGTGGATGGATGCTGATAGGGAAGTGGATGGGGGAGAGTATGGCTGGGTTTGTGAACCTCTTCACTGCTTTTCCACCCTACCCCCTCCCTCCAGTTTTGATCCACGAGTTGACTGTCTATGCACAGTAATGGAGGTTCTTTGAGTGTTTGGGGGCAAATATCCCAGGCTGTACAAACAGCTGCTCCTTTCCTTAGGCTTCTCTCTCATCTTATGCCTAAGAAGATATCACATTTGGGAGACTAGGAATTAACTGTGCCTTTGCTTTGCTTTAAGATAAGGGGGGGCACAACGTGCTTGGGAAAAGCAGTCCTTTCCTCAGCCTATTTCAGGAGGAAATTAGAGTCTCCAGCAGTAACTCCAGGCCAATTGAAACCACCTTGTGTGTTAACGCAGGAAGGCAAGGCATCTCCAGCATAGCCCATGAAGGGGTTAAGGTGAAGGAGAGAGTATCCTGACAGCAAAGCACCATGGTCCTCATTTCATTTTTGCAAAGCTTTGCATGCAAGAAGTACAGTGCAAGGCCAATACTAGCATTTTAATTCTGTCCCCTGTATTGTGATGCACAATCCACTGCAAGTGGCCATGATCCAGCACATGCAATTGCCAGTTCCACATTCCCAGGAGGGCTTTGGGACTATAGATCTATATTACTATAGATCTATAGGACAGTAGCGCTCTGTGCTGCATAGCAAAGTGGTCTTAAGTTGAAGGGAGTTGTCGAAAGCAGTTTAGGCTAATAGCACAAAACAGGAGAGGGAGGGCTTGAAGTCCAAAATCCATAAAGGGGTGTGTGTGAAGCACAGGTTCTCATCAGCTGGCAGAGAGCTTGATTTTAATTGCAAGCTTATTACCTTTTAAATGCTAGAATATTTATTCAGAGATGGACAGAAAGATTACCTGCTGTAATTCACCCTTCCGAAACAGGATTTCAGAATAATAATGTACTGTAGTCCATGTTGTGTCAACAGTTTCTGCATTTGTGTTATGCAAACTTGGCATTTCATAGAAAACAGCCTTTAATTTGATACTTGGAAAGGGCTGCATTCGTTCTGAAGTCTACTCTTAATTTGGCAAATGCTTCTGTACAAGACCACCTACAAGTGCTTGCATTCCCTTCATGCTTTATTACTGGCTTTGCTGGCTGGGGTTGATGGGAGTTTGAATCCAGTAAAATCTGGAAGGCCACAGGTACCACGGGCAGCTTAAAAGGACATGGGAAGGAACAAGCATTTTAGAAATTGCTTTATTATTTAGCACATAACGCCCTGCCCCCCCCCCCCGGTTGGCTTGACTTGCTTTCTCCACACACACAAACAAGCAACACACCTTTCCCTTATAAACCGTCAGATGCTAAAAGAAATGAGAGTATGAAGCATGGTTGCATTGTGCTTGTAGAGAAGACTAACAGGCTGGGGCTTGTCCCAGGCAGCGTGGCTTCCGAGGGTGGAATCTTCCAAGTCTTATTGAAAAGGTTTTATAAAGCTATCTTGTAAATCAGAGTATTAAAGAGTATTTATAGACAAATTGCAGAAAAGGGAGTTTTTCCAGAGTTATCAGTGTCCAAATTAAAAACATGAATTTAACAAGGATGTGTTGTGTGATGTTTCTCACTGTCCTCTCTTTTTCTGCTGCTGCAAGGGAACAATGGCAGGGCAGAGGTGTGGGAGTTGTGTGCTTTTTTAAGAAAGGTAAAAACTGACCAAGGAAAGCTAGAACCTGTATCTGCAGTTCTTGCGTAATTCTAATTCTGTAGGCAGGGAAGTATGTTGGACACTGAAGCCTGTGATCATTTGCTCCTTAACTGCACCCTGCTCTTCCTCTGCCCATCTGTTGCATAGGTCTGTATCATAACTAAATTAGGTCACAGATCAACACGGGGCTCTCAGCAGAGTTTTGCCTTTTGACCTACAGACACCTCCCACGCCCTATCATGCCCTATATTGATGAGGCTTTGAAACTTAATAATTATGTTGCTAGCCTTAACTGATGTACAGTTGCTCTGGCCACAAACAAGCCCTTTGGTGCCTGCTTCATTCTCACCAGTTTCCTGGCTGCCCATAAAGGACTCCCATCAGTGTTTATGGCCAACGTGCCAAACTAGGGTGGGGTGGTGGGTTTCTTTGGAGGGGTGGAGGCGTAAGGTCTTACAGATGCTTCCTGGGCTAGAAAGGGGTAAATAAATCCTCCTATATAACTGTTACCTATGCCGCAGGTGAAGAGAGGTGAGCCTGAGAGGGTGGGATGGGGTGGTTGTCTTACAACAGCCCAGGCCCTCCCAAGTGTCCCTATTTTCCAGGGACGTCCGTAATTTAGAGAAGCTATAACTGGTTTCTTATTTGATCCCGGAATGCCCCACTTTTCTGTAGGATGGCCCTATTTTCATTGGATAAATATTAGAGGGTATGGAGTTCTCTGACCCCCGAGCCGTGTGAAGGCAATCTTGTATAGGGAAGGGGGTTTTTTATGTTTAATGATGTGTTTTATATATATTGGAAGCTGCCCAGAGTGGCTGGGACAACACAGTAAGATGTGTAGTAAATAGTAAAATTATCATGGAATGGGACATCCCTATTTTCATTGGAGAAATGTTGGAGGGTATGACAGCCCCAGTTGGTGTTTTCTCTTTTTTTGCTGGGGTGCGGAGCTGATAATTGTACCACAGAATTGTAGAGTTGGAAGACACCACGTGGGTCATCTAGTCCAACCCGCCGCAATGCAGGAATCTTGCCCAGCGTGAGCCTCCAAACCACGACCTTGCGATTAAGAGTCTGAACCTCTACTGCAGCTTTTTAAAAAAACTATACGTTTTTGACACACCCTGTAAACAAAGACTTGTTTCCCGAAGGTTTGGGAAAGTTTTCCATGAAGTCTCTCTCTCTCTGGTGAGTGGGGAGACAGGATCCTTCACCCACCCGGCCCTTTCGCCTAGCCCAGGGTGAGGGACAGGGCCAACAGCAGCCCTGAGACGCAGAGCAAGACCAGTAGAGGGAGAGACAGCCAACAACAGCCCTGCCAGGTAGTCCAGTCTCGGGCTCCGCAGCTCCTTCCACGCAGATACGGCGCCCTTCTCAGTTGCAAACCAGGGCTCAGCAAACTTTTTCAGCAGGGGGCCGGTCCACTGTATCTCAGACCTTGTGGGGGGCCGGACTACATTTTGAAGGGGGGGATGAACGAATAATAATGAACGAATTAAAATGCCCCAGAGATGCATTTTAAATAAAAGGACACATTCTACTCATGTAAAAACACGCTGATTCCCGGACCGTCCGCGGGCCGGATTGAGAAGGCGATTGGGCCGGATCCGGCCCCCGGGCCTTAGTTTGCCTACCCATGGTGTAAACTAACTATCGCCCTCTCTCTTCGACGCGCGGAACGGAAATGCCGCCGGCTTCGGTTGGCGCAGGGGACAAGAAGGCGCGTCGCACCGCTCCGGGATCACTTCCTGTGGGAGGGGCGGCTGACTGCAACCCCTTCCGGGTCAGCGCTCCCTGTCTTCTCTCCCTGGACAGCTGCGCTTCCCGTCCCGGAGTGCCACGATGGGGATCCTGGAGAAGATCGCGGAGATCGAGAAGGAGATCGCCCGGACCCAGAAGAACAAAGGTTTGGCTCCTCCTTAGGACGCGCCGGCTGAATGGAAGAGGCTACCCCTTGACTGGGGCCTTTGAAGCGCCTGGTCGGCAGGCAGAAGTTCAGCAGGTGCGGCTTTTCTCGGTTGAAAAGCTTCGCCTGCTGAGTTTTTGCCCCGAGAGGGTTAAAAACAATAATAGGAGGTCTAAGGCCCTGGGATGGGCAGTGGCAGAGGGTTGAGGCTGTTTTGCGGGGTTGGCAGGGTGTGGATTTATTTTATTTATTAGGTTTATTAAGGGAGGGAATGAACTGCAGGGTTGAGGGTGGGCGGCTTTCCAGATGGGCTCCTACAGCACCTGCATGCAAAGTTTGTGTACCAAGTGTGTCTCATTTGTTTGCCCCGCACTGCCTTTTCGTTAACGCTATTTTGCTTAAGCACTTTCTGTGTGTTCCCCCCCCCCTTTGGTATAAGTACATTTGGGGAGGGAAAACAAGTGCGGTTGCGAGGTAGCTAGGGGACTTTAAAAAGCGGGGGAATAAGACGGTGCATGGAGATTCATAACACTGAAATTTTTTGTTGCTGATTTCAGGTCTCTTCACAACATAAAAACACAGAATAAGAACACAAAATGCATAATAAAAGTAAACAAACCAGAAACTATCAGAGAGTAACAGTTAAAAGCCTGAAGCTCTTCGTTTTTAAAGTTCATACCTAGTGTGCAGTGAAATCTGGCTCTTTATCCCTTTCCCCAGCCCAGCTGAGTAATTGACAGAAATACAGCCAGAGGTGCTTTTTGCCTTTAGAAAGGGGGAACGGTAGCTCTGGTTGACCAGGTTGGATGGCTAGGCAAGAGGAACAGAGAAGGAGCCATTAGGAGAGTACAGGTACACTAACTCATCGGTCACTGATTTTGTTTCCTAGTCGTGTATGTGTGTGTTACTTTTTCTATTTCCGCTCTAGCCACCGAGTACCATCTTGGCTTGCTGAAGGCAAAGCTTGCAAAGTACAGAGCTCAGCTTTTGGAGCCTTCCAAATCGGCGGCGGGCAAAGGCGAAGGCTTTGATGTGATGAAATCTGGAGATGCCCGGGTGGCGCTGATTGGTTTCCCCTCTGTGGGTAAGGTCAGTGACACTTGGAGAATTCCTATTCCTGTGTCTGTTACTTGGTGTGCTTCCTTTTAAAGCAGGTGTGAGGAACCTGTGGCCCTCAAGATGTTGCTGGGCTGCACATCCCATCAACCCCAGCCAGCATCGCCAGGATTCAGAAACGATGGGTGTCTGTAGTCTGGAGGGCCACAGGCTCCCCACCCTTGCTTTAAATGAAGTCTCACCCTCAAGTTTATAATTCAGGGGTCAGGATGTTGGGAGTCATTCTGCACAGAAACAGTAAAGATGTTTGTACGTTTAAGAACAGATTTTGTGAGCTCTGGGCTGAATGGTTGCAGCTAGCCATGACTACAAAAGGAGAAAAGCTGCAGTTTGAACTTCACTGCAGGAAAAACACCCACAAGCTTTGCTGTTTGTTGTTTTGAAATAAAACCTTTATTTAATTTGGTTTTACACCTGTCTCATGGAGTCACAGTCTCTGTCATCTGCCACCAGTGGAAAATCCCCCTCTAGCATGGGAATCTTTAGCCAGGGGCCAAATCTGTCCCTGCAGACCTCTCTGTCTAGCATTTGGGACTCTCCCCAGCAGTGTTAGAAACTCAGATATATAAGCTAGGCACCAAATGGCTCTTTAAACCAAGGTTATAGTCACCAAAACCGAATGTTTAGTTGCCATTTGGGGGCAAGACGGCTCTAAAGTCTTACTTTTCAAAGGATAGATGGATGGACTGTGATTGATTTTTCAGTTAAACATATGACTGGATTAAGAGCTTTGAGAACTTAAAGAAGAAAAGTCACTTGATCCAGGGTCAGTCCACGCCTATTCTGACCTCTGTTTCTTTATGGTGACATTCATAACGTAAGAATATTGTCCACAACTGTGAGCAGGGCAGTGGGGTGGGGTAAATGAAGACAAGCAACAACAATTAGCTATAATGTTCACTACTCCTGCTCACGCTGCACCGTGAAAGTATTTGGGTTTCTGAAATTCATTCTGATTACGCAAATAAAATATAACACAGGCATAGGCAAACTTGGGACCTCCATATGTTTTGAGACTACAATTCCCATCCTCCCTGACCACTGGTCATGTTAGCTAGGGATGATGGGAATTGTAGTCCCAAAACATCTGGAGGGCCCGAGTTTGCCTATGCCTGATATAACAGATAGAATTCTACAGGATAGGGTATTAGTGTGTGAAAACAGTCCAGATCCAATGATCCCCAGGCATGCACCTCCAGATGGTGGAGTTGTCAGGCACCATCCTGGTATCCAGGCATCTTCACTTGTTTCAAAGTGGTCAAAAGCCAGGTGCAAAATGCGCCTGGCCATTTTCGAACACTGGTCACTGCCTCGCAGACTATCCTCCCTTGGAGGGTCATGGAGGGGATTAAATGGGAGAGCCTAGTACACCGCCTTGAGTTCTTTGGAGGAAAACCTGGGATGGAAATGCAAACAAGCAAACAAACAATAAAATAAAATATGTTTTTACATGGAAAGTTCACATCAGCACGGCTGCTGATTTGTCACAAGTGGGTGGCTTTCCTCTGCCACTGCTAACACACTCATCTTCCCTTTCAGTCCACCTTTCTGAGTTTGATGACTTCCACGGCGAGTGAGGCAGCTTCCTACGAATTCACCACATTAACTTGTATTCCTGGAGTCATAGAGGTTAGCGCAGTTCCATTGGGTTGCCATCTGCTGGGGCAGGATTGAAACCGCACTGCAGTTTTTATGTGAATGCAAGGGTTGGGGGTTGTTGAATTCTGTTTCTTTTAGAGTGGGAGGCTCCATGTATTTCAGAAGCAGTCCATGTTTGCCTTCTGGGGTTTGCCAGATGTTAAAACTAGGAAGCTAATGCCTTAACATTGGGTCCTCTCTCCAAGAACGCACCTAGAGTAGATTGGAGGCCCACCAGCTGTGTTCTGATAGCCACCAAGGACTCGATAAATGCCCTGGTTTAGCTGCCTGCTTGGGGCTGCAGAAATGGAAGGTTACCACGCCGACAGCAGGCCAGAATTTACAGCTACTCAAGGTGGTGGGTGACCTCAGGCTAAGGCCACACACCCCTTTCCTCAGGACGTCCCCCCCATAGGTCCAATTTCATACCCCCAATGTGCCCTTGACGTCTTACATTGCCTCTTGCTCCTCTTTATGGAGGATGGAGAGGGATGGGTGTAGAAACTAGTCTGCAGAAAGGTAAAATTTACATTAATTGTTCTTTCTGTTTTTGCCTCTGGTCCCACTCTCTACTTTGGATTTTTTTTTTAAAAAAAGCCTCCGGTATCAGAATCCTTTAGGCCTGCCAATTCTCTTCCTCATTTTTTGGATGAACAAGTTTTAGATTATTGTTTTCACTCCTCCAAGGAACTGTCCTTGTGGTCTCTGAGCAAAAAAAGCAGGCTGTGCAGTTCTAAATAAACCAGTAGATCCCCTGATGAAGTGTGTGTGAGTTTGTAATAGTAATAATAAAAATAATAATAATAGTAGTAGTAGTAGTTTATTATTTATACCCCGCCCATCTGGCTGAGTTTCCCCAGCCACTCTGGGGTTAAAAACAATACAGCATTAAATATTAAAAACTTCCCTAAACAGGGCTGCCTTCAGATGTCTTTTAAAAATAAGATAGCTGCTTATTTCCTTGACATCTGATGGGAGGGCATTCCACAGGGCAGGCGCCACTACCGAGAAGGCCCTCTGTCTGGTTCCCTGTAACCTCACTTCTCGCAGTGAGGGAACCGCCAGAAGGCCCTCGGAGCTGGACCTCAGTGTCCAGGCTGAACGATGGAGGTGGAGACGCTCCTTCAGGTATACTGGGCCGAGGCCGTTTAGGGCTTTAAAGGTCAGCACCAACACTTTGAATTGTGCTCGGAAACGTACTGGGAGCCAATGCAGATCTCTCAGGACTGGTGTTATGTGGTCCCGGCGGCCAGTCCCAGTCACCAGTCTAGCTGCTGCATTCTCTGAACATGCATGAGAATGCTAAAAAGGTGAAGTGACCTGTAAGCTTAGGATATCAAAACCTGGGGCGGGGGGTAAGGGCTGGAGGTGCTCTGTAGCATTATAATCACCCCCTCCCTCCATGTGCTGCTTCACGGTCTTCTCTTTCGTCTTTTGCCAGTACAAAGGAGCCAACATCCAGCTTCTCGATCTGCCTGGGATCATCGAAGGAGCTGCTCAAGGTAGGTGGGGAATGTCGCCTGTGTCTCATTCTGCCCAAAGCACATTGACGTTCCCAGGGCAGTAGCACTTTTGCACAGTGACAAGGGACCTTTTCTTCAGCTTGATGGAGCACATTCGCTCCTGGGCAGCCTTCCAGAGGCTGTTCCCTCATGGTGTGTGGGGACCAGAGGCGAAAGTGAGCAAAGCAACACATCCTCATTCTATTTGTATGGCACCTTTCTGCAGTTAAGCCATGCCCAAGGTGGCTTAACAGCATCAAAATATGTACATAGTTTATTCTGACAGTTACAAAATTGCAGAAGAATATAAATATCCCTGAACTCTAAGCTAATGGAAGCATCTCAGTAAGTCTTCAGAAATAATAATAATAATAATAATAATAATAATTTTATTTATACCCTGCCCTTCCCAGTTCAGAAAACTGGGCTCAGGGCGATTAACAACAAATTTAAAACACTTAATCGATGAAACAAAAAACAGCATAAAATACAGTTTAAAACATGAATAACAATAAATTCAGAATTGAAAAATCAATTTAGGGGGGAAATCCATCCAATAAACATTAGATGATCACCAGGGCTAGCTGGCTAAATTAGTCCTGTTTGGGCCAGTGAGAAGACCAGAGGAGAATTAGCTGTGGGATCCCAGAGCGGGTAATCTTCATAAAAAGGGGAGGAGAATGGAAGAAAGGGGAATAAAAGATCAGGCTAAGTTCAAATTGAAAGCCGGGCGGAATAGCTCTGTCTTACAGGCCCAACACAAATAATAATGAGGCCTAACAATAAAAATTGAGAGTCCCATGGACTGCAAGAAGATCAAACGTATCCATTCTTAAGGAAATCAGCCCTGAGTGCTCACTGGAAGGACAGATCCTGAAGCTGAGGCTCCAATACTTTGGCCACCTCATGAGAAGAGAAGACTCCCTGGAAAAGACCCTGATGTTGGGAAAGATTGAGGGCACAAGGAGAAGGGGACGGCAGAGGACAAGATGGTTGGACAGTGCTCTCAAAGCTACCAGCATGAGTTTGACCAAACTGCGGGAGGCAGTGGAAGACAGGAGTGCCTGGCATTGTTCTGGTCCATGGGGTCACGAAGAGTCGGACATGACTAAACAACTAAACAACAACAAACAATAAAAATGCAAACAGCAGCAACAACCCCCCCCCCAGTGAATCACATCCTCTTGCGTATAGAAGGGGTGGGTTGGGACTAGAACGGGAGTTAAAATCCCTTTTTGATCTTGCAGTGCTGCAGCTCCACCTGCTTTTGGCCCTGCCTCTGTGCAGCATCCTCCTTTCGTATTAAGAAGTGTTCCTCCCACCTTGATTGCCAGTCAGGTTAATCGTGCTGCTGGCCCTGCCTCCTCCCTCCCTGTCCTTGGACAGTGAAAAGTCTCGTGGTCCTTGGGGGATGCTCCTGGGAGAAGGATGCAGCCAAGCAGCGGGCTGATGAATTGCAGGCATTTTCAGCATGGGAAAGGGGGGGGATAGTTGTCTAATGAGAACTGGCCTGGGGAGGGTGAGGAGAAGACGCTACCCGAGCACCGCCATCTGTTTGGAGGAGTGGGGAGCAGCACTAATGGAGCTGTATTTTTTAAAATAAGCCTTTTTGGGAAGCCGCCTGCATCAAAAGACAGGGTGGAAAGCAATTCCTTGTTTGCATGATGCAAAAAAGCAGAGATTCTGCTCTTGCTTCTGCTACACAGCTTCTTGCTCTCCAGCTGTCACAGCAAGTAGCTCCCATTTTCTCATTTCCTTTGCAGGAAAAGGCCGAGGGCGCCAAGTGATTGCTGTAGCCCGGACTTCTGACGTCGTTATCATGATGCTGGACGCTACAAAGGGGGAAGTGCAGAGGTTAGTGCCTAGAGGGCAAAGCACCCACACGTGGGTTGAATTATGGACTGGAAGGGAAAGGGTCGTGGCTCAGTGGTTGAGTCTCTGCTTTTCATGCAGAAGGTCCTAGGTCAGTGGTTGGCAACGTGCGCCCCATGGGCCAGATGCGGCCCACAAAGACCATTTTACCAGCCCACGAGCAACCCCTGAACAGAGCCGCCTGGTTGGCGAGTCCCCCGCGTGCTGCACTAAACCGGTGCAGCGCAGCACGGGGACTCGTCAAGCAGCGCTGGAAATTGCATCTGCGCACGCGCAGATACTGGAAATCACGTCTGCGCATGTCCAGACACCAAAAAACGCTTCTGCGCAGGCACGATTTCCAGTGTCTGGGCATGCGCAGAAACAATTTCTGGTGCCGCAGACGCAATTTCCAGCATTGCGCTGTGCCACTCCGGCCCACCGATGATCTCCGTGGGAGTGATCTGGCCTATGGCTGGTAAACCTTTGTCGACCCCTGTCCTGGATGCAACCCCTGGCATTTTCGGGTAGGGCTGTATTTGTCTCTTCCTGAAACCCTGGGAGAGGGTTTTGGCTCTCATTTTACTGGGTTTATTTGGGTAACGGCTTGGCGGCTCTTTATGACCACATCCTCCCTCCCTCCTGCAGAGCTCTGTTAGAAAAGGAACTGGAATCAGTAGGAATCCGGCTGAATAAAGTCAAGCCCAACATCTACTTCAAGGTGAGACACTGCAGGTGGGCAAATCATAGGACTGACAGCTCCTCCTGTACAAAACACATAAATACAGCAATCGCCAGCTTGGTGGCCTCCAGGTATTGCTGAGGTCCCCAAACCCATCAGCTGCATCCAGGTTGCCTGTGGTCAGAGATGACGGAGCTGTGGTCCAAGAACATTTGTGCACCGAGTTGACGTTATTTGTGTCTCAATAAATAAACCTCACACATGGGAGACAGGACAGACGGTAGGGAAGGCTAGCCTCCCACTCTTCTCCACCTTCCTTCCACCCCACCGGAAATGCTTCTTGGCTGTGTGTAGGAAGTATCCAGCTTTGTGAGATCACCCCCCGCTTCTCAAAATTGGCTCCTTAAATGGGTCACTCGAAATGTGGTGGTGAGGGGGGCTGGGGAAACCGTTTGCAGGAGAGCCGCAAAACTTCTTGCTTAAAATAAAGATGCTTTGGCTTATTTAAGTGTATTGCTGCTTATGTGAGCAGCTGCGTCAAATTCTGCCCATGTGCTTTTCATTGTTTCTCTGCACGGAGAAAGGACTAGAATAGGGTTGTTGGGGAACTTCAGGGCCAGCGGCCAAATGTGGCCTTCCAGGACTCTTTATGTGGGCCTCAGGTTTGTCCCCAGCCCATGCCCCTCACCAGTTCTGCTCTGCACCTCCTTGAGTGGTTTTGCCTGGCTAGGATATGTCCTTGAGCTCTGATGATGCTTCTTGCTCAGAGGGGTGCAAGAGAAAAAGCCACTAACATACTTGCATGGCTGGAATATACACTAGTACTGTACAAAGGTAAGAGTTTCACACTTGGCTCTTCTCGCTTTTACATCTGGTCCTGCCCGTCACTGGCACGCGGCCCCTGGAAGGTTGCGTATGAGAGAATAAGGCCCTTAGGCTAAAAAAAGAGGTTCTCCCTCCCTTTTATAAATTAATAGCAAATAAAACAAAAGCTGGACTCAGGCTCCTTCGGGAGGAAGGGCAGGGTAGAAATTGAACAAATCAATACAGTGGTACCTCGGGTTACAGACGCTTCAGGTTACAGACTCTGCTAACCCAGAAATATTACCTCGGGTTAAGAACTTTGCTTCAGGATGAGAACAGAAATCGTGCGGTGGCGGCGCGGCAGCAGGAGGAGGCCCCATTAGCTAAAGTGGTGCTTCAGGTTAAGAACAGTTTCAGGTTAAGAACGGACCTCCGGAACAAATTAAGTACTTAACCCGAGGTATCACTGTATTCTGAAGCAGTCCAGGCCTCTTGCAAGCCGCTCTCTGACCATTGCTCTGACCCAGAACAATCGTGTTCCAGTCTAGTGATTCACACATGCCGTCTTAAAGCAGCCTGCCACATCTGCCCCTGTTTGGTCACGTAGTGTAAATGTCACCAAACTTCTTGGGCCCATGAGCATATTTGCAAACTACAGGAACTGTTGAAGTCGCCATAAGTGCTTGCACTTTTGCTGCCCAGCCATTAATCACATCATTATTTTTTATTATTATTATTATTATTGTTGTTATTATTATTATTTCTGCTACTACTATTACTACTCTTACTAACACTCCAGGAATGTAGTTTCAAAGTACACGAACATCTGCAAATGTCAAAAGGATTTAGCCCGTGCAAAATTGATGTGAGTGATCACTTTAGCTCAAAATGAATATATCTTGGGATATACCAAAGGGGCATTCTCAGCAGTTCACCTTTCATGTCTGTCTGCATTCGGCAGTGCCATCCTATGCAAACGTTGCGGCATCCAGTATACTCAAAATATAAACTTTTGCTGAATCAGCCTCATTGAGGGCCATCTTGACAAAGCCTCTTTTCTGTCTTTCAGCCCAAAAAGGGAGGGGGCATCTCCTTCAATTCAATGGTGACGCTGACTCAGTGCTCCGAGAAGCTGGTACAGCTCATCCTCCACGAGTACAGTATCCTTTTTCACTTAGATTCTTGGTAGCTACATTTCTCAGCAAAGCGATTCAGGGCACCAGCTGTAAAGGTGCCTTGCAGTGTCATTGGTAACGCCCTGAGCAGTTGAGGGTGGGTGGTTTGGACCCAGGCGACCTGAAAGATTCTATCTCCCTGCCTGGGTGCTGAGATCCTCGGGTGAGCACCTTCTCTTGGTCCCATCAACATCAGAAGAACTGTTGGTTGTGACGCATGAGACAGAGCCTTTTCTGTGGCTGCTCCCAAGTTACAGAATTCCCTCCCAAGAAAGCTTCACCTGGCTCCTTCCTTGTTATCCTTCCGCTGGCAGGCTAAGACCTTTCTGCCCAGACAGGCATTTGGAAACTGAGATGCAGATGATGCTGATATCTAGGCTGCTTCAGAGGAAATTGTTCTGTAATTGCTGGTTCTAAATGTGTTTTGATGTATTTGAATTTGTTGTTGTTTAGTCGTTTAGTCATGTCCAACTCTTCGTGACCCCATGGACCAGAGCACGCCAGGCACTCCTGTCTTCCGCTGCCTCCCGCAGTTTGGTCAAACTCATGCTGGTAGCTTCGAGAACACTGTCCAGCCATCTCGTCCTCTGTCGTCCCCTTCTCCTTGTGCCCTCCATCTTTCCCAACATCAGGGTCTTTTCCAGGAGTCTTCTCTTCTCATGAGGTGGCCAAAGTATTGGAGCCTCAGCTTCAGGATCTGTCCTTCCAGTGAGCACTCAAGGCTGATTTCCTTCAGAATGGATCGGTTTGATCTTCTTGCAGTCTCTCAAGAGTCTCCTCCAGACCATAATTCAAAAGCATCCATTCTTCGGCGATCAGCCTTCTTTATGGTCCAGCTCTCACTTCCATACATCACTACTGGGAAAACCAGTATTTGAATTAGTTTGTTTTTATTCTGCATTTTATAATTTTGCAAATGTTGTAAGCCACCTTGAATCCCAACTTGGGAGAAAGGCGGGCTAGAAATATATTTAGTCATCGTCACAATGTCCTGGTCCTGAGACATCGCTGGGCTCAGGAGCGAAGCAGTAGGCTCAGACCGAGAATGAGGGCGACCCTGGAAAGGCACTGCCAATCAGTGTTGACAATACTGGACTCTATCAGACGTATTTTCTCCTCGCAGCAACCCTTTGGGGTAGGTTTGGCTGCAAGATGGTGACTGGCCTAAGATTACCTGACCAGCTTTGTTGCCAAATGGGGATTTGTCCTTGAGTTTCACCAACCCAAGCTGGATGCTCGTAACAGCACAACACACTGGCTCTCTTAACAAACACAAAAGTGTTTAACCTTCACTCTGCTCACCTAAGAAATATTTAATGCGGAGGTTCTGTTCAGGGAAGACTGCACACCTGACGAGTTCATTGACGTGATTGTTGGCAACCGGGTCTACATGCCCTGCCTTTATGTGAGTACCTTGTAAGAAGTTTCATACTTTTAACAGAATGGGATGGGGGGGATGTATTTATAATAATAATAATAATAATTTATTATTTATACCCCGCCCATCTGGCTGGGCTTCCCCGGCCACTCTGGGCGGCTTCCAAAAGAATATTAAAATACTATAATACATCAAACATTGAAAGCTTCCCGAAACAGGGCTGCCTTCAGATGTCTTCTATTTAACCATAAGCAAGGGTTTCTTTTAAGGGAACAAGTTTCTGAGGAACACAAGTGGTGGTGGGGGAGAGTGATTGCCTTCCTGCCCTGCTTGCCCTGCTTCCCTGCCCATGGGCATCTGTTTTACCACTGTGGGGAGAGAATGCTGGACTAGATAGACCTCTGGTCTGACTCTCCAGGCTTTTCTTAAGTTCTCTCTTTTTTTTAATAAGATATTTATTAAGATTTTCAGAATATTACAAAATAAAGAAAGAAAAAAGAAAAATACAAAATAAAAATGGTTAAAAACAATTCAATCTTTCCATTACTTATCTTTCATTTGCTTATTTCCCGGACCTCCTCACGCCTCCCTTTTTTGTATTCCAGTTCAGTTTGTTAGTTCAGCGAATCCCTCCCCTCTTTGTAAATCCTAGTCTTTAATCATAAAGTGTTGTAACATTTAATTTTTACCTATTAATAATCCATTTTTTCATATTCCCTTATAACATTACAGCTAAAGACCACTTAGCTTCTATCCAACATCATTCTAGCATTCATTAATTTTGCAATATTTCTGTAAATAGTCTTTAAACTTTTTCCAGTCTTCTTCCATCAACTCTTCTCCCTGGTCTCGGATTCTGCCCAGGCTTTTCTTAAGTTCTCAAACACCCCTGTGGAACGCCCTCCCATCAGATGTCAAAGCAATAAACAACTGTCTGACGTTTAGAAGACATCTGAAGACATCCCTGTTTAGGGAAGCTTTTAATGACTGATGTTTTAATGTATTTTAATATGTTTTTAATCTTTTGTTGGAAGCCGCCCAGAGTGGCTAGTGAAACCCAGTCAGGTGGGTGGGGTATAAATAAAAAAATATTATTATTATTATTATTTATTCTACCTATAAGAGCTCTCATCTAGGTATTCTGAGTGAATTATGCATTGATTTGAATAAGCTTAATATCCAGATCTTTGGCATTCTAAGACAGAATCCCGTATCCAGAAAGCATCCATTCGTCATGCAGTTAGGCCTGTTTGTTTATGGTATTTGTATTCCAACCTTCAGCCAGACAGGCTCTCAGAGGGTCACACAAAGATCAGTATTAAGATGCTCCCTGCTCTCCAGCCCACAATCAAAGCAAACTTGATGCACAAGGCAAAAAAGGGATAGGAGGAAGGCAAAAAAGGGATTGAGGAAGAAGCAAGCACAATATGCCTGCAGTCTGTACTGGGTGCAATCTGCAGTTCCATGCAATTGTCAGTTAACCTGAGAATAAAGTTCATTCAAAAAATTGAACCAATCCAAGTTCATAGCCCCTATGGTTGTGGAGACATTGTGCGGACAGAGGCTTCTCTCTCTGAAAAGGGTGGCCAAAAAAGAAAGACACCCTTCTTGGGGGGAAAGGGCTGCAAAGCTTTAGAAGAAGCAGCCTGTTTTCCAAAACAAATAAGCAAACCACCAGTTGCCTTCCCTGCCTTTTTGGATACTGGATTGGAGACGGATCTCTTACTGTTATAAACTTTTGTTCGGGAAATAAAATCATCGGAAAGCTACAAAGGCTAGCTGCTGCATATAGTTTCTTATGAAGCCTGTTACTTTTTAATGTAGCACCATCAGGCATGTCCCTGCCCCAAGAGGCTTACACTCCAAATTTGGCTCCCCAACTTGGTGCCCTCCAGCTGTTTCGAACTACAACTCTCGTTAGCACCAGCCCTCAATTTAGCTGAACAGAGAAGGTGGAAACTGACTCCTTGCACCATTAATATTCCTTTCTCCACCACCACCTTTTGGATTAGGTTTATAACAAAGTCGATCAGATCTCCATGGAGGAGGTAGATCGCCTGGCTCGAAAACCCCACAGCGTTGTGATCAGGTAAGGTGAACCTCCCCAGCGCAGTGTCTTGTGGCCAGCATGCGGTTGGCTTAAACTCCAGAGCATGTGGTACGAAGAGCCCTTTGGAAGAAAAGTCATCCTTGGCTTCTGTTCTCCCTGTATACCTTTTGTAATTTGTAATTAGATTTATTCTCGCTAGAAGCTGAAGCCTATGGGCAAGTGCATCTCAAATTATGTGATGGGATGAAGCAGTGTGTACCCCCCCACCTGGCCCAATGTGCCAGGAACCACTACCGTACTTGGTCCCTGTAGCATCCCACCAACATCTTGCAGACAGACACCACTTTGAGCAGCACCACTCTAGACAATGTGCACATTTTTGTAAAATCTCAGCACAAACAAGACAACTATTTGAGGCTAGCCAAACAGGCTGAATATCTTCTCTCACCCCAGCCCCGGTCTCCAAGAAAATGATCCCCATTTGATTAACAGAGAAATGGAAACCAAAATAGAAAAAAGATGTTTCAAATGATGTAAAAGGTTTTAAAGGCCTGGGAGAGAGGAGGAAAGTATTTCCCTGGTTTTGAAATGACATTAAGGTGCCAGGCGAGCCTCTATGAGGAGGAGATTCCACTGCCCAAGCCTTTTCGGTGTCGTTATCGCCCTGCCACCCACTTTGTGTGTGTCCGCCTCTCTCTAGCTGCGGCATGAAATTGAACTTGGACTACCTGCTGGAGATGCTGTGGGAATACCTGGCCCTTACCTGCATCTACACCAAGAAAAGAGGCCGTGAGTAGCACAAGCAGGCCAGCAGGATTGGATGGAACTAGATCTGAAAATGAATACGGGCTTCAGGGGAGGAGGGAGGATCCGAAATTCTCATGCCTTAGTGACCTTGCTATTTTTTCTCTCTTTTCTCGGTCCCGGACAGAGAGACCAGATTTTTCAGATGCTATCATCGTACGGAAAGGGGCATCTGTGGAGCATGTGGTAAGCATTGAATTTTTGAGCTGCAGAAGCACCTGCCCTCATCTATTTTCTCCACACACTCTGCACTGCCAGCTCTTCCCAGGCTGAAACCATCCAGCCAGAGATTCAGTCTTCTTCTTTGAAAACACACTAGGGCAGGGGTGGCTAACCTGTGGCCCCCTGGATCAGCCCCCTGCCCATTGACTGTACCGCCTGGGGCTTCATGGGAGATTGAGTCCAGGAAGACCGCACTGCCTTTTGGCTACAGCTCTGCTTCAGGAGCAGTTGTTGCCTTAATTGCTTCAATGTCCTGAGCTAGGAAATAGGGTAGCCATTGTCCGGTGGTGCCTTCTGTTTGGGGACTGTGGGGAAGAGACCCATTTTGGGGGGAAGGGAGAAGCTGTTCTGCAGACAGCTGTGAGCATGAAGTTGCCACTTTGGAATTGGGTATGTAACGCCAGGCTCATTTTTAAGAGCAGCTCCGCTTCAGAACCTCTGCGACACAACTTTGGAAAGGGATAAGGGGTGTCATCTGCAAGGAGTACAGTAAGTAAAACTTAGGGAGCTGAGATTGCAAGGCCTCACCTGGTACATCTGAACCTTTTTCTCCCTTCAGTGCCATCGAATTCACCGGACGTTAGCAAGCCAGTTCAAGTATGCGTTGGTTTGGGTAAGTGTGCTATGACAAGAAAGTGGGGTGGAGCAGAGGCCTCGGGTGTCTTCGCCATGTATTAGTGATATAGGCAGGAAACATGGGGGAAGCTCTTAGTGGCTTTTTTAAAAGGAAGTTTGACAAATGCACTAAAAGGGACGGGTGAGCTATTAACAGCAGCTCTGTAGAACCTCCATGTACAGAGTAAGAATATCTCACGGCCAGCGAGGACTCTTTCTTTTATGCTTCACTGGTGGGATTCCCACAGGTATTGCCTAATAATAATAATAATAATAATAATAATTTATTTGTACTCCACTAATAACTACCTAGCAGTTCGAAAGCACAAAAGTGCAAGTAGATAAATAGGTACCGCTCCAGCGGGAAGGTAAATGACCCGGAAGCTGTACGCTGGCTCCCTCAGCCAGTAAAGCGAGATGAGCGCCACAACCCCAGAGTCGGCCTCGAATGTACCTAACGGTCAGGGGTCCTTTTACCTTTACCTAAGCTGACTGGGTTGCCCCAGCCACTCTGGGTGGCTTCCAGCATATACGAAAACGCAATAAAACATTAAACATTAAAAAACTTCCCTATATAGGGCTTCCTTCAGATGTCATAGTGCCCTCCAGGTGGTGTTGGACTTCAACTCCCATCAGCCCCTGTCAGCATAGCCAGCTATGATGGGAGTTGTGGTCCAGCAGCATCTAGAAGGCTCCCACGGGCTACCGAACTAGTAGCTGGGTCTTGTTGGCTCTGTAGTCTCCTCCAGCTGGGGTGTTCTTGGGGCTGACCTCGCAACAGGTAAAGAACTGAGGTGGGGATGAATGCATGGAAAGATAGGGTGGCAGCCTCAAGGGGCAAGCTGAGGTGTCCATCACAGCATCCAATAGCTCAAAGGGGGACAGCCTTCAGCCCCAGGCCCCCGCACACCCCCCCTGCTCAATTTCATGTGCTCTGATTTCAACAAGGGGTGGGGGAACAGGGAAAAGAGGTGGCGAAAAGTCGAAAGGAAAACAGGGGTGGTCTTCCGCAGCCTTCTCCTCTCAACAGAGAAAAGAAGGCTCACCCCTGCTGCAGCTGTTGAATCCATTAGGCCCGGGATAGAGAACCCGTAGCCCTCCAGTTATTGCTGGACTCAAGCTCCCATCACCCCTGACCCTTGGCCATGCTGGCAGGGGCTGATGGGAGTTGGAGTCCCACAGCATCAGGAAGGCCATAGGTTTGCTTTCCCTGCCCGTTCCGGGGGCGGGAGTGCTCAGAAGGGACCCCTTTCTTGGAGACATTGGCAATCCATTGGCCAGTGGCATTGGGCAGTGGTAGGGGCACCTCCCTCTCTTCTTGCCAGAGAGACCCCCAAACCAGGGCTGGTGAAACTCTGTTGTTTTTTGGCTTTCAAGGGAACCAGCACCAAGTACAGCCCCCAACGAGTAGGACTCAGCCACTTGATGGAACATGAAGACGTCATCCAGGTTGTCAAGAAATAATCCTCGTCGCTGGTCCCTCTCCCTGCTCTGCTCTGCAGTATTTTCAACGCGACTCGGCAGAAAACTGTCTAAAAGCCAAAAAGAAGAAGAAAAGCCTCTGTCTGTAATGGGAGGTTTTTCCTTCAGCTCCTCATAAGCTTCCATGAAGCTTCCACGGAGGATAAGAGACTACTGTGGAACTTCTTGCAGGTTAGGGACACGGAGAAGAGAGGTTCTTGTCTTACATACTGACATGCTTAAGGGGCACCTTTCAATAGCATGGTCTTGGGTGCCTTTAAGATGCTCGGAGCGGGTTTGGTTGTGACTTGACAGCTGCCCAGAAAAGTGGCCTTGGATCCATGAGCTGAAAAACACAGGAAAAGAACCATCCATCCTCCTCCTGTTCTTCCTCCCTTCCTCCCGTGTGTGTTGGTTCACGAGCAGAACAAACAGCTCTGTTCAAAAATCAGCACTTCCACTTGGACAAAAACGATTCCAGGCAATGCAAGGATTTGTTTACAGGTGGATCGCTTCGTCACGTTCACAGAGTGCCCCGTGGAAGTTCATTTCCACCCGTTTTCTGGCTAAGAGGGGTGGTGTTGATAACTTCCACTGGGGTTAACGGAAACGAGGCCAACTTCTCCCTCTCCCATATCACCCCGTTTGGCAAGACAGCAACCAAGAAACAGCACACCTGCTGCTCCTGCAGCTCTGCTCAAGAAATTTACTCCAGACCCATCAGAAGCCATTTGTCCTTCAATTGAAATAAAGAATGGTTCTTGTTTCTCTTTGGAACTCCCATAATGTCAAAGTTGTGAAGTATCATTTTCTAACTGCTGTGAAATATTTCCAGTGGTTCTTTTTATGCTCTTGTTCCTGAGGCTGCAGCTTTTCTTTTCCTCCACTGTAGGACTGGTCCTGCCCGCTTTTAACAGCTTATTTTGAGCTTCTATTTGGCTTTTCTTCTTAACAGTACGTTTTTACAATTTGGAAATCAGCCAGGGCTTAGGTGGTGTTCTGGCTGCTCCCATTCAGCCCAGGGTTCTCTTATGCTTGGCTGGACACACATGGCAGGGAGAAAAACTGTTGCATTAAGGGAGAGAGATTATATTTCAAATCTTCCATGGCCTATATTTGTAGAATGTATTTGTAGGATATTGTAGAGTTGGAAGAGGTTCAGAAAAAGGCAACCAAAATGATCAAAGGGATGGAGAAACTCCCCTCTTAGGAGACGTTGTGGCGTTTGGGACTTTTTAGATGAGAGAAAAGTTGAGTAGGTGGTGACATGGTAGAGGTATGGTATAGGCATAGAGATTTATTTAACAACAGTAACAACAATAACAGTGTATACCAAAGAGGCCACAGATAATTAATGGCCAAAGGCCTGGCAAAAAGGATATGCTTGTGGCTGGTGCTGAAAGCTATGTAATGAAGGGCAAGAGGTGAGCCTCGCTGGGGGGAGCATTCCACAAGCAAGGGCCCACCATCAAAAAGGTCTGGTCTCATGTTTCCACCCTCTAGGTCTCCCATGTAGCGGGCATATTGAGAAGGGCCTCAGATGATGATTGCAGGGTTTGGGTAGGATCATACGGGAAGAAGTTTCTACCAGTTGGGTTCCCTCCAGATAACCTCCCATCCAGCCAACACCAGGTTGACAAGGCTTCTGTAGTTGCAAGATTCTGACGCTAAGCAGGCGCCCAGACTAGACCTCAAAAAAAAGCTTGCAGCTGTCTTGTTACAGTCAACCTTTCCAGTGGTAAGTGGGAATTTGTTCAGACTGTGAAGTCTTAACACGCCCAGGTTTATTTTTCTTTATTTTCATTACATTTCATATCACGAGTTTCCTCCGGAAAGCTCCAGCTGGTGTGCGTGACTTTCTCCGTTCTATCCTCTTAACAACCCTTCGAGGTAGGCTAACCTGAGAGCTAGCGACCGGCTGGCTCAGCGAGCTTTGATATCTCGCTTGATTTTCATGAAGAAAGATGCTACGCCTTCTCTTGCAGAAGTCTGAGAAGACTTCTGTGTACACGCACACTACTTCTTCCCGAGTTGCTGATAGCTTGCAAATAATCCCCGGCCCCCAGTAGAAGAGAGCCGTTTCTTCCCCTCCCAAGCACAGGTGAGAAGAATAGGAGTCATCAAATATGCATGGGCCCACTGTAGCCGGCAAGAGCCTCGCGGCAAACATGGCGCTGTAGGCTCAGGAGAGGCATCACCTCGCCGTCAGCAGGCGCCAGCTGGAAGCTCAGCTTCCCCCAGGTTTGGGGGGACAGCGAGGGCGTCCCTGCTGCAAAGGATGTCACCAGGGTGCAGCTGCAGTACGAGTGGAGCTGCTGCTGTTCCGGCTCAGGTGAGCGACTCGAGGGGGTTATTAAATTGTGTCATCCAATCCATTTTTCACAGCAATGGGTCACTTTGCTAATGGAGGTGGGGCTCCGTCTTCTCGTTCACTCCCAGCTTTTCTGGTGCTCCAGGGCTTATGTTTAATTTTTGTTCCATTTCTAACGTTCTAGCTAGCTAGCCGCTCCTCCGAGAAGCTCAAAGCGGTTTGCAAGTCCTTCAAATTTGCCCTTGCTCTGTTTTAGCTCTGCACCAACTCTGTGAGGGAGGTTGAGGGAGCAGGGGTCTGGGTGAGGATTTGGAGCTGAGGCTGGGTGCAATGTACCGTTTACTCCAGTTTCAATGAAGCTCCCGCAGCTCGTGTTTGTAGCAGGGTGCACGTGACTTCAGCCACAATCCGTAAGTTCCCTGTACTTGCTTCCGAAATACTCCTGGCGATGCGTTTTTCCTCAAACCGTTTAGTTTTAAAATGTAAGCCACAGCATAGGTATTCCTCACCCCCTTTGACCTGTGCAACAACCTTGCTTGGTAGCTTAGGCTGAGAGGATGTGACCAGCCCGAGATCGGCCGCTGAATGACGATTTGAACCTGGGTCTCTGGGGTCAAAGTCCATAACTTTAATTGCTACACCACACTGGCTTGTAGCAAAAGCCTATCTGTTTCTCCAGAGTTTTCTGCAGAGATCTGTAGATGCCCTGAGCCCAGGCAGTTCCCAAAATAGCTTGACCTGGCAGCTGTTCTTACAGCTCAGGTGTCACCGTAACAAGTAGAAGATCCTGCTGAATTGTGTGCTTCTTTCCAGTGTGATCTACACAGGGTTCTGGGATCCATACATCTTCCTTAGTAGGATATCTCCTAAGTGCAACTAGCTCATCACAAAAGGGCATTGCCAATCTTATCTCGAAAACTATTGTGACATTGTTTTGCTCAGCAGAGGCTGATATGTGGCCTTCTGGACTCTCACTAGCAATATTTCCATTTTTACTATTTCCTGAAGAATTTCAGAATGGAATCATAGAATTGTAGAGCTGATGTTGAGCCAGAATCTCCTTTCTTGTAACTTGAAGCTATTGGTTCGGGTCCTAACCCCCGAGCGGGAGAAAACAAACTTGATCCCTCTTCCCTATGACAGCCCTTGAGATATTTGAAGGTGGCTTTGCTTATTGTTTTAAAAAGTCCCACTGAGTTCAAAGAGTCCTACTGAATCCTAATGAGTTCAGTAGGGCTTTTATTACCTAGAACAGCTTTTCTTAAATAATACATTCCTGGAGCTGGTTCAAATTGGGGGGGGGGGGGGGAGAGACACACCACATGGACATACGAGCAAGGAGGGAACTTTAAATTAAAAGATACAACTTGCAAAAAAATCTCAATAGTTCTTTGCCAGTCTGCACTGAACAAAGCGGTACTGGTGTTGCATTTTACCGCCAAAAAAAATGATAAAAATTAACGGCATAAATTCACCACTACCTGTAATTGGGCCTCGAGAAAGATGGAAAGAAACAAAGATTTAGCAACAGCTAAAAAGCGAGTGATTAAAAAGATGGCCATTCCAGAGAAAGGGCCAGTCCTGACGCCACATTGGGGTGCTAAATCACCACCTCCTTCCCCAGTTTATGGGGACTCTCATCTCCAGCCTAGAAGTTGTCCGGATGTGAAGTTCCATAATGAACCCAAGCAATTTGGCAACTCAATCTATATTTCTTAACTAGAGCAGGAGTGGGGGTATCTCCCAGGCCCTGGGGGCCAAATGTGGCCCTCTGGGGATCTCTATCTGGTCCTCAGAACTGCCCCCAGCCCCTACCCCTCACCGGCCCAGTTTCACACCCTAAGTGGTTTTTGCCTGGCTGGAATGTGTTCTTGAGCTCACGAGAACGGCCCTTGTTTATCTGGGCAGAGCATGGTCCGTTGTCCCAGTATGTATAGAAACTAAAAAGATAAAAGAGTTCACATTCATTGCTCCCCGCCCCCCACACCTTTGCCTCTGGTTCTGCTCTGGCATGCGGCCCCCAGATGGTTCCCCTGAAGGGAATGTGGCCCTCAAGATGGGGAAAAAGGTCCCCCACCCCTGTAACTTGAGGAGTCGGGCAAGTCAGCTTCTGCAGGTTCTGTGGGTGGGGGACATGGCAGGTCGCGGTGGGCTTGTTTGGCCAAAAACATAGTGATTTGTGGGGCAGTAGGGATATTGAAAGGACGAGCAGTTGTCCAAAGGCTCTGCAGGGTGCTTGGGATCTACTTGGGAGCTTCATCCCTGTCACTAGGTGTGGCGGCCATTCCCTTATCGCACAGAATGCCTATTCTGAGGAGAAAAAAACCATGGCAACGGGCCTAGTCAGCTTGGCTTGCGTCAGTCGGTATGCATGGTGTGTGCCGAGATCTTCGCTTGCAACTTTTCTCTCTCTTGAATTTCGATATAAAACGAAGAAATAAACAATTTAACACGAGAGCAGCAAAACCCTCTGAAAGGGGCCGAGTAGTGTTTTGGGTGCAGCTCAAACATTCTTCGAGCTATTACGTTTTATCCTGGGAAGACGATATTGTTCTTTTAGTTGGTTGGTTGTAAGACTCTTTGGGTCGCCTTGGGCAAAATTAAAGCTGTTACGATAAATTAGTGTTGCCGTATTTTGAAGAGCGAGAAAGAGAACCCATTTGCCGGCTTCTGCTTTTAACTATGGATCGCTATGACGACTCCACCTGTGAAAAAGAGGGCATGTGGCGATGCTGAAATAAATCTCATTAAAACCGGTTTAAAAACAACCTATTATAAGGAGGGTCCTAAAACCAGACACCTCAGGGCAAAAAAGTGTGTCATCAGTATTTGCCAGAAGCTGTTTAGCAAAGGTGCCAGGCCTGTGTGGGGACTTAAACTGCTTAGGGGCCACCACAGAGAAGGCCCTTTCCTGGGCAACCGCAGATGAGCCTCTGAGGTGGAGGAACTGCCAAGAGGGCCCCCCCTGTTGACCTCAGCACCTGAGGGGTCTGTGGGGAAGGAGGTTGTATTTTGGGTATTTCAAGCCGGATTTCTGGCCACTCTAACTCGGCGGCAGGCAGGCATCTGTACAAGAAGCGATGCCAAAGAGGACCGAGAGGGATTTCTTCCAACCCTGTCAGGCTGCCTCATTGTCTCCCATTATTTACTGCTTGAGAGCTGGCACTGGCTGCGCCTGCCCGGCAGGGATTGAAGTGGAAGCAACAGTTGTCAAGACAGTCTCGGAGAGCAGCCATTGCTTTTCCAAGTGGGTCGGGGGACAGACGGCACTCGATGCCGGTAGGCAGCATCGGACATCTTTAGCCCCCCCACCGCTCCCCACTCAGTTCAGACAAGGGGACTCAGGATGCTTAATGCAAGCTGCAATTTCTCCACCTGCCGACTCTGGGCTGGCGACTGGGTGGCACCAGCTCTCCAGGAGACGCCATGTTTTTAGGACTTTTGAGGCTTCAACTCCCAGATTTTCGGTTG